CGCAGCCTTGCACATACGGTAGCAGAGCAGAATCGCTACGCTTAAAGCAAACGGCATCCCCAGGTCGACTCGAATCGCACGGACCGAACAGAGAGACAACAATACGATCCTCACAGGCCTTGTCCCGTCCAAGGCCGCTGCATCGTTGCATCAAAGCCGCACGCCACGGTGCGCAGTTGCCACCTCGTCTCGCCCTCTTGGCTCTTCGCCGTGTCCAGGCGGTTTGGCTGCCAATCCGACGCGGTGCGCTGCTAGGGGTCCATGCTGGCTGTTGGTTGTCCGTGACGGACGGAGTGTGATCAAACGTTGCTGAAAACAACGGCCATCTGACACGGCGCCGACGACGTGCAGCAGTTGAAACGTTGAAACACACGCACTCTACCCTGTGCCATCTGGGTTTGGCACCATTCTTCAACCGCCAACCGGTCTCGGATGATACGTCACCTCGCTTCATTTGCTTGCTTCTCTAGGACGTGTTTCTACCTACTGTAGGAGTACATACGAGCGCTTGCACTGCTTGGAGCAATAGCACGAGGGCATCCTCGTACGGCTACTAGCACCACGCCACTGAATCCGGGGAATTTTGACCACAAGCGAACGGCAGGGAGCATTGAGCTCGGACAAAGAGCAGCAAATCGGAAGACCAAATAAAAACAAGGGAGCAACGACGACACCTTCACAGCCACAACAGAGACGAACACCGGGGACCTGCACGAGAGTGTCAAGTATTGTACTGACGGGCAGCTGCCAAATCCAGGCTTTTTGCGCTCGTCTGCGTCCGCATCCACCTTGCGATCGCGTCGTTCAGCACAGACGCACAAAGAGCTCCAGGTAATCATAACCCGCGCCCCGCGAATCCCGCACGCAGCACAGCACACACAGAGCGCGACAGTGTCCGCACCGGCTCGTTTCAAAGACAGGGCCAGGGACCAATCTGCAGTCCGACGGATTGGGGGACTACCAAGACGACAGCACTAACACGACAAAACAAACGCTCCTGTTCGCTTCTGCCGACTTGGCCCGTTTTGTTTACCGGGCGCTTACCGGCGCAAAAACTGCAGAGAGCAGCATTTTCCGCTTGTGCGCCGGAACCGTCAGCCCCTTGTCCCGCGGTCTCGGAATCGTTCTAGAAGACCGGCTCAGCGTCCCTAGAGGGAATCGCCTGCGTTGGTGAGCCCTCTTGACAGGACCTGTGCAGCCGCGCGACGGCGTTGATTGGCCAGCACCGCAGCCCGGCAAGGCCGTTTGCGGAGCCTGCGTGCATGGGAGTGGCCGTCCGGGCAATAAAACGCTGAATTCAAGTCGAGTTGAGACGGACGACTCGAAACACGGCCTCGAATCGGGGGGCACGCGCCGAACCCTGACGTGACGCTCGAGCGTCCTGTCCGGGACTTTGTGCGGCCTTTTTGCCAAGCAGCCAGCAGACACGGCAGCGTCTCGTCTCTTCTCGTCTCGTCTCGTCTCGTCTTCTGGTGCCCCTGGCCGGCGCCACAGCGGGCGAAACCCCTTTGGACTGCAGCAGACAAGGGGCAACAATTGCGGAACCTCCAGGGCCATCGAGTCGTGTGGCATCAGGTTTGAACGGGGGACGGCCGTTGAGCACTGTACTGACTGCTCACAAACGACCTCCGTCCGGCACTCGCTACACTGTGTGCGCTCGTCCCGTCTCGTCCTCGGGACCCCCCCAGCTCACCCATCAATCAATTAATCGACACCTGTTACACCCCCATACGCGACGCTGGAGCCCTCCAAGGCCCGGGGCTGGGGCCCACCGACAACGCCCACCATGTCCGACTACAGCGCCGTCTTCCTCTACTCCAGCACCCTCGGCGCGCTGCCCCTCGATAGCAACTTTGCCAGGGCCGCGCGACGAGAAAAACAGCACGCCCGGCGCCCCAATTCGACGTCGGACGCTCTGCACTCTGTCCCAGCGCGACACTCGCGCAGCTCCAGCAGCCACTCGCAACTGTCCAGCTCCAGCTCCAGCGCCCTCGGCCCCGCCGCCAGCGCCTCCGGTGGGCCAGACAGCGCCAGTTTGCGGCTCAGTCCAGCAGCCAGCGCCAACACCAAGAAGAGCACCAGCGCCAACGCCGCCACCAGCAGCTCGGCAGCTTCTGCTTCTGCTTCTGCCTCTGCTCCGGCCTCGACAAGCTCCTCCAACCCTTTCTCTCCCCCCCCTCTCTCCCATCCTCATCCTCATCCTCAACCTCATCCTCCTCCGCCGACCCCGACTCAGTCCACTTCAACCGGCAGCAGGGCCTCCAGGACCTTCTCCCGCCTGCATCGCGCCAGGCTCAGCGGCAGCGCGTCCACTGTCGTCGATGCCGCCGGTAGAAATGCAAACGTCCAGTCGCCGCCTGAACAGGACAACAAACAAATGACGGGCTTTCCCGCCAGCCGCGCCGAGTCTGTCTCGTCCGCCAGCGGCCACACGCCGGCCTCGTCGCGCACAATCCTCTCGACCGACCCTTCGGCCACCGACGGCCTGCCTGCCTCGCGGCCCTTTGTCCAGCGCAATGGCCGCACCTTTCTCAACGACCACACGCTCGTCTACCCCTTGCCCTCGGATCTCACCGAGCTGCACAGGCAGGTCCTGCGAACCATGCTGCTGATCCAGGTCATTGGCGCTCCCGTGCTGTCGCCGGACCTGATCAAGAAGCCTCCTCAGCGCGTCCTGGAGATTGGTTGCGGGTCGGGCTTCTGGAGCAGCATGTGCCACCACTACTTCAAGAGCCGCGGTCACGGCGGCCTGTCCTTCACCGGCATCGACATTGCGCCGCTGGCCCCCGAAAACAGCTCCAGCACCTCGGACGACGCCATGAAGCCCAGCCCCGACATGCAGTGGAAATTTGTCCAGCACGATTTGCGCCAGATGCCCTGGCCGACCCCTTCTGAGGAGTACGACCTGGTCATGGTCAAGGATGTGAGCTATGCCGTGACCAACAAGATGATGCAGCCCTTTATCGAGGAGTGCGTTCGCATGGTCAAACCGGGTGGGACGTTTGAGATTTGGGAGTCGGACCACGTCATTCGAAGCCTGCGACCGCATGTTCCCACGTCCACTGTTTCGGCAGAAGATGCAGAGGAGCAGGCCGCCGCCGCCAGTCTCGGCGCCTATGTCATTAACCCGCAAACTCCCCTCTCGGTCCCTTCAAACAACTACATTGCCGAATACAACTCGTGGTTGACGCGCGCGCTCGAGAAGCTCGACATCAATCCTCTTCCCTGCACCGTCATCGGCCCAACCCTGCTGCAGGAGTACGAAACCTTGGGCGACGTGCGTTCCCGAAGAATAGCCCTTCCCCTGAGCGAATTCCGCTGGGAAAAGGAGGGCATTGGCGGTGTCATCACCACCGACAGCAAGCCCGAGTCCAAGGGCAAGGAGGCGTCGGCACCAAAGTCGGACAAGAAGACGCTGACGGCCGGGCAGATTGCGCTGCGTCAGACGGCCTTGCTAACTCAGGTGCAGGAGATGCAGGCTCTCGAGCCCATCTTGCGAGACGTCAGCGGGAAGAGCCAGGACGAGTTGGACATGTGGCTGACCAAGATGATGAACGACCTGATGGACGAGAGCGGCACGTCTCTGGGAGAATGTCTCGAGTTTGGGGCTTGGTATGCGAAGAAGAAGAAGGTGGCTGCGTGAAAGAATGAACAAAGGTCACCAAAATATTTGTTTTGAATAATTTTCTGACTTGGTGTTCTTTTTTGCTTTCTACTTTTTTCTTTCTTCATCATTTGTTTTGTTTGGCGGTGGAAAAAAAGATCATTTTTGGGATCAAGTCTGATTCTTCACTTGATGTGCATCTATGGCTGCGAGTTTTAAGGAGGGATTCACTTGTTTTATATTATATACGTCCCTGCAGCGTCTTTACTTTATTCTTACAACAATCTTCCCGTTTGAACCAACAAGGAGCGATGCCTGCTTATATCCTATATGTATATCCCTGCATCTGTTCTTTGTTTCAACTTACGCATCGCTGTCATATCGTTTTCTCAATGCTCGATATCGTTTCAAGTAGTATCTATTATACCCCCCATCGGAGATTTGATTAGCAATTGGAAAAGTTGAGGATGGCATATATGGTTCTTTTGTGAATGGGTGCAGAGGCGATGTAGATTTCATTCTGTCTGGTGGTGCGGTGTATATTCTTTGATAATTCATGTACTTGACCTTTGTCACAATAGGCTTAAGGAGGATCTTACAGAGCTTCAATTTCTACAAAATACTTTTGTCAATGCTTCTCGGTTTTATAAATCATTGTAGCTGTGCAATTGGTGAGCGTACCTTTCTTTACGTATTCAGCTTGCTTGATGCCCGCGCGGATCTTGTCTTGGTTGCTCTCGGCGGCACGAGACATGAAGGCTTTGTGTAGACGGGGGCGGAAGTAGCCGTATCCGAGGGGATATTCACGGCCAAGATATAGTAATTCTAACAGACTTTATTCAGTTTATCGTCTTTTATCATGAATTTGTGTGCAATTGAAGATGTGAGGCGATTTGTTTGTTGTGAGGTTTGGTTTAGAGATGCAAAAGACGCTCGGTAAATTCGACGGGAAATATAACTTGTAAATGCCGTCGCGGTTCAAGATATAACTCACCTTTGTATATGGCAATGACTTGCCTCCTCAGCTCATCATTAGGACGCATCATGGCTTCTATCTCAAGACCAGCTTCATGCCGCAACCAAACACAATAGAGACAAGAGGTTGAGCTTCAAGCTCCAAGTTCAAAAGAAACAATGTCATCACCGCCCCGCCACTTTCTCAACGGAGCTAAAAACCCCCAAACTCTGATGACTTCCAGCCTATCACAGCTCATCTCCATGCAAGGCTGAGCAAACGCCACCTTTTTTCGTCGTCGCGAGCCTGCATTTCATCATCATCCGATATTCACAACTATCTCATCCCTCTTTAAAAAAAAAATCTTCCACCAATTACGCGCAATTGAATACTCTCCCTATATAGCTAGGCCTCTACACTGCAACTCTCCTCACAAAGACGATGCCGCGCCTCCCTCCAGCACTGCAAGTCTTCCCCACGCTCACCCGCTTCGCCATCCGTCCCCGGCGCCTGGCAGAAGTCCCCATCGGAGGCCCCGCGAGCAGCGTTTCCGCCCAGGCGCTGCAGCAGAGCGCGATCCATTTGTACCATGACCTGGGCGTGGTGGTGTTTGCGGGGTGCTCGGTGAGGGAGGTTAGCCGGATAGGAGATGTGCTGAGGGAGGTTGTTGCTTTGGGGGGCCAGGGAGGGTTGGTGACGAGGCTGGATGCGTGGGAGGGCGAGGTTGTGAGGAGGCGGGAGGAGGGTGTGATGGAGGGGGATGTGTATAAGGCTTTGGATGAGAAGAGGGTGAGTGATTTGTTGTGTGGAGTGAAGGGGGGGATAAGGCTGATGAGGTTGTTAGACGGGGATTATCAAGCCTACGGCTTTGCTACGGCTTGCGACGACACGGTTTGAGGAGATACTCAAGGAAAAAGTTCCGGAGCTCAAGACTGCAAAGAACATTGACCTTCGAGAAACACAAGTCATGGTGCCGGCATCACCCCCTCCGAGAGGAATTATTAACGTATGATGGCTTCTTTCATCTTCTCTTTGTTTAGCTACAGCTCACGCAGACGGTAACAGAAAACGGTTGACGGACAACGCCGAGTCCCCATCGAGTCCTTCACCACCATAGGCGTCAACCGTGTCAGCGGCTTCACGATTGGAGAGACACGCTTCTTCACCGTCGGCTCAGGCAACTACGTTGGCGGCGCAAGGGCAGACTACATGATGCTAAAATACGGCGAGGACAAGGACAAGAGCGCGAGCATCAGCGTGACGCCTTACTGGGGCCACGGAAAGCTCAAGCAGCGGCGGCGGGCCAGCGACGAGGCACAGGGCGCCATCTTTGACGACGTCGTGCGCAAGGTGATGCAGCCGCTGTGGGATGTGGAACGCAGTGTCTGGGCCACCAAGGCAGAGGAGCTGGAGAAGAAGGAGAAGAAGGGGAGACGATAATACCCAAACAAAGACCACCGCTTAAGCGCTTGTATAAAGATGAAAGAAAAAGGCAGAATAGCATGTACGATGGACGTTGACGAGTTATGAATCCCTGCAACGAGAATCCGCCCGCGCTGTACTCTAGGGTGGGCGAGAAGAAGATTCACTGGTCGTGTTGTAGGATGTACTATCACTGATGGCTTCACAAAAGGAAGCAAAGGCAAAGTGGGTGTAAACACCGCATATAGGCAGATAAGACCTGTCAATTCCCCCACCCTCACCAATTGCCGCGGTTTTCACCGGGGCACAGATTTAGACACCAAAAGTCGCGTGTTTGGTGGAATCCCCCTCATCTTGCGGCTGGGGGATTGTTCCTCAAGAGGCCATTGGTTGGAACGGGCAGAGGAAAAAAGATGCCAAGTACTCTGTACTACCTCACAAGGTAGCAGTCCATTCCAGGTTCTGGGATCTCTGAACTGCCGAACCCAACCGCGGGCTTGCCCTGGAGATGACGGGATTGGGAAGTGTGTTGGTTGTAGTCCCGGTGCCGAGACGGAGGTCGTGGATTAGGTCGGGTGTCACTCAATAGACGTCAAATACCCAAGTGAGTCAGTAATATACTAGGTAGACGGAGGTAGTACCGTAGTATGTATGCACTACTGGACTCTGACAGCTAGCAGCAGGAATAGGGCGAATGTCGCGGGAATAAAAAAAAGCTGTACAGTAGAAAGCAACTCAACGTCCCAAGATCGGAGCCGCAGCCCCTTAATGCCGTCGTCTGCCGGCTCAATGCAAATGACACCATCAAAGCCCACGATAAAGCCAAGGAGGTCACGCTGGTCGCAAGCCGCTCGCCCGCGTCTGAGAAAAGATGGCTAGTCGACGACGATCACTCTGAGGCAGAACGAGAGCGAGGGTATCGCGGGGTATCGTGACCCGAGGAGGGGCAGCTAGCCGACTTCAACCCTGCTGTGAGCATTGATTGTTTTTTAGCATCGATAGGGCAAGGCAAGGCAAGACAGAGCAATGCATCCTTCGTTGCGGCATGTCCAAAGAGGCGTTCCGTATTACGGTGCGAGTTGCCAGAGGGAATTGGTCAGTAAGTAAGCGAGTAGCCGATTCGAAGGGGAGAGAGCCGGTGAGGTTGTTTCTGTCCGTGTGTCTTCTGCCTCTCTCCCCATCTTGCTCCGTTCCTCTGCTCCCCCACACAAACAACCTCACCCACGACTAGAAGGATTGCCGTCAGCTGGCTTGGTGATTAGCGTTTCGGGGCGGCTGAGAGGCTGGATCGGAGATTTGGCCCCAAGGGCCACGATTACGTTAGCGGCCGGGCAAGCAAAAAAGCACAGTCGATGCGATGCGATGCGATGCGATGCGATGCCACGGTCAAGGCCAAGGAGCGGTCAGAACAGGCCAAGTGCATGGGATCCCGCCAGAGTCAGCACTCATGCAGTGACTCGCCTGCTGTCTGCCGCTTCCAATGTCACGCTGTTCCGGCCCCCTTTAGTGGGATGAGGGTTGAGGCCATCGTCTGTACGAGTACTGTACTGTAGGTTGTAGCGGCAGTTCAGTCAGGGATGCAGCATGCACGGAGTAGCATTGCTAGCAACTTAGTAGCAGCAAACAGTACAAGGACCGTGTCGGTGTGTTTCCGATGAGGACCCCCCACTTTTCGTGATCGCTGTACGGAGTACGAGTAGAGAGGGCGAGGAAGAGAAAAAAGAGGCTCCATCGGGCCAGAGATTTTTCAACTGTTAGCGCCTACGATTAAAGACGAAGACTGAGAGCGAAGAATAGGAAGAAGAAGATGCTTGGGCGTCATTAGTGGTAGGTAGAGTGAGAATGACTTGACAGACAGCCGATGGATGTATTTCTCTTTTTTTTTCCTTTTTTTTCTAATTCAGGTTGACTTGCAAAGAAACATCAATAACATCTGAAAGCGGGGGGTCCTTTGAACAGCGCATGCACGTGCAAGCGGGATGATGTACCGAGTACCTACCTCTCTACATGGACGAAAGCGTCCTTTCGAAACACGGAGCGCGTGCCCATCGGTTTTTTCCCTTGTGCCAATGGTGATTGGCTTCCTGGATGGCAGCACGAGATGAGCGAATTGCGGCTTATGGCCAGCCAGGGACTTTTTTCTTTTTTCATCTCTCAATTGCTGCTGGTTTAGCCTATGCTACAGTACCACCCCATGTACTGCTGTTAGTACACATTGGCGATCAAAGAGTTGCTTCATTTCACTTACACTTTTTCTTCACCCTCTGCAAGTACCAGCAACATGGCGACTGGGGTCCCCCCTCGGAAGGGGCTGGCAGCGACGTCAGATCCCTTGCCGCTGGCCCTCCTTTTCCGTGGTACGTACCGCATGGCAAAAGCTTAACCTGCCCTAGCCACGCGCCAGCCTATCGAGAGTTTTTCCGGCCAAGAACAGCCGACAGCCTCAATCCAAGTCCCGACGTGGCCATGAGCCAAAACATCAGATTCAGCTGTTGCGCTAAAAATGGCCTGTCAGAAGGATCAGTTGCTGCTGTCGTTGCCCGTGGCCCGCTGTTCCGGCGGCTCCGGCGGCTGCTTTGCTCTGTGGCCGGCCTCTGCTGGGGACGCTCAGAAGCCCACAGCCGTTTGCACCGTTTCGGTCTCGGGGCGCTGCTAATTCGGCTTCCAAGTACAGTTCTGGTACAATTGAATGCTTGGACGTTGGCTCTGGTCCGGGTGCGAGTACAAACAGGCTGGGGGGAGGTCACTCGGCGTCGCGGAGAGCTGCAAGGGATACACACTAAAGGCCTATCGAACTTCCTCCCCCTGTCTACTTTAGTTGCCGCGCTTGCAGCGAGTTATGGGCATTTGTGCCGTGATCAATCCAGCTTAGCAGCCTCGTGAATCGTCAAGGTATGCCGGTCTGGGTATTAGGTATACCACTTGCTGTACTGTGCTCGCTCTCTGCTCCTCGCCCGGAGTGGATTATGGCTTGTTGTCTACCGAAGGTACTTCTTGAAATGTCGTGGCTCTGTCATGTGTCAGAAAACAACCTTACCTTGATAGGCGGCGCCGCCAACGGCCGGAGCACAGTACGGTACATGTACGTTGCTGACTTGGGTTATACCTCGAACCGCACTGCATTTGTACCCTTTCGCTACAAGTCGTCGCTGGCAGTACCTCCTAATACTCCGTCAAAGTACCTTCGGCTTTTATAGCCCAGTCCAGCCCAGCCCATCAGATGCCTTTGATCAAATGCTATGTAAAATTAATCCAAGACATGATAAGAAAGCCATGGGCAAACCCGCTGCTTCGTTCCATTGCATTGCATTGCACGCCTTCTCGCATTCTCCAGTCCAGCTGGGAGAATAGAGACAGGGGACGCAGCCCGCAAAATGCCCATCCAGTTGCTTGCGCTTGCATGTGCCTTGTGCCGAAGCAAAGTACGAGTACTTGCACAGTACATCCGCTGGCCTGTGAATCCCCACATGCCCCCCATTAGCGCGCTGTAGAACGGTAGATCCAGGGCCCGCCCTAGCGCCTCCTGTGCCCTGGAAGCCCGCCCAAAGGCCCTAGAGCTCTGGCGCTGCAAGCCCTGCAACACGGCGGCTGCCCCCTCTACCACGCTCTAATATTCCCCGGTTCGTGGGTACAGTCGCTGGGCTGCTTTTCTTTTTTTTTTTTCGCTTCCTCTACCACTTCCAGCAGCTTCTGTCTTGGGGGGTCAAAATCTCACTCCTTCACCCCGAATTCCTTCGCAAACGACGACGGCTTCTCGACCAGCGCCCACCGACGGCTCATTTGTTTGGGCCGTGCAAAGTGCCCTTGTTCCCTCTCTTGTCCAGCCGCAGACACACGCCAGCGGTCTCCCGAATGACGACGACATCCTGCAATTAGCAAACTACAAACTTCGACTCACCTTCTCCCCCACCACCAAGGGAAAAAGAAAAAAGGGCAGCAATCCTTCCCGCAATCCGACTCCAGCCCACCGACGGACCAGCCGCGCGCAGACTGAAGCCAGAGGAAGCAAACAATCCCCTTCCCGCTGCTGCTGGCCCTGGCCTCCAAACAGGTCTCCAGGGTTGCTCGGCAGTCAGTGGGGGGAGAGAAGCAGCCGCGCATGCCTCGCGCATCGGGATCGAGCAAGCGACAGTCAGGAGCCGCTCATCGCGACACCAAGGAGAATGGGCTCGTAGCCCCGGCAAAGCGAGTTACTGGCAGGAAGAGCCTCAATCCTCCCGAGGGCCCTGCGAGGCCGGCCGACCATGGCGCGGGCCACGCAGGGCCGCAGTTTGTGCTGCCCAACGGCGTCTCCAAGGCCGCCATCGACTTCCACGACCGCTCCACCGATGCTCGCAGGGCTTCCGTCGGCAACTACTCTGAGACGTCCACGTCCGAGTCGTGCACCTCTCATATAGGCTCTGGTTCCGCTGCCAATGTCGACGGTGGTCATCGCCAGATCGACGTCAACGCCCTCAAGAACGCAGACGTCCACCGCGATTCCGGACCCATCGACATGGTGGCCACCGTCCTCAAGACGCTCCCTATGCAGGACACGCTCGCCATCCTCATCCTCCTCATGCAGCTCCCGACGCTTTCCCTCTCCATCATCTACGGCATCTTTACCTGTCTGACCTTTGTTCCCCCCGTCACCACCAGCTCGGGCATCAACCTCAACTTTGCCGAAATCTTCGATGGCCACTCCACCATGCCCTCCCTCGTCACCGTGGTCTGCATGGACTTCTTCTTCCTCCTCGTCTGGCTGTTTCTGTGGCAGCCGGTCCAGGACGCCATCTTGGACCTCGCCAAACCCATCATCGCCATCACCCTCGGTGGCGGCACTACGTATAGGAACGGCGGCGGCTCCCGAGGCCTCACCACCTGCTTCGTCTGGATCGTCGTCAACCATGTCATCCGCAGCACCAGAACCCACTGGTCCCGTCTTGCTAGGCACATCCCCGAGGACTGGCAGGTGCCTTCTGCCCTGAGCAGCACGTTCGAGTCGACCTCCGTTCTGCACGATAAGAGAAGTGCGTTTGCGTGGGTCCGGAGCGGACTGGCCATTCACATCCTCACACAGGGGCTCGTGAGATATATTCGTGAGTGGTATTTGAGGAGGGAAAAGGCCAACGCGGCGTCCGGCCAGCACGATCCCGAGGCAGGGAAGCCCGTAGCCACCATTTCCATCAACGGCGAGATTGCCCACGACACTGGCTTTAACACGCCCGACACGGAGACCGGGTGCCCCCCTCAACCCGCCGCTCCCGCCACCAACAAGAAAAGGAGAAAGCAAAGCACGCAGGTCAGGCTGCAGCAGCCGCTATGGGCTGCCCTGGCCAGCACAAAGATTGTTGTCATGAAGGAGTACGAGTCGTCCCACGTGCCCTCGAAATCGCTCGGCGTCAACACGACGGACATTCACAACCTCGGAAACGCACCTTTCAACACACAACCCAAGCAGATATGGATTTCATACATCGGCAGCGACGAAGTATGCTTTAACACGAGCCACTTCCCGGATCTAGACGACGAACCGCCACTCCCCACCACCGCCAACGGACACGCAATCACGCGGCCGGCCGGTGTCGATACGTCCAAGCCCTTTTACGTCAAAGTGAACAACGCATTCTGGCAACCCACACGCATCTTTCCTGTTGTCGAAGCAGACGACGGCGGCCGAGGCGGTACTCGTTGGACGGGAGACATTTACGGTCTCCGCCCATCGTCCAAGTACGTCTGTGAGTTTGTGGACATTAGAACTGACAAGATTGTCTTCTCCACAAGCATCCGGACCATCAAGGAACCCGCCCGAGAAAATAGCAATGCACCCGTCGCCGTGTCTGGCTCTCAGCAGTCACTGCAACCCGATTCCCCCGCCACTACTTTGAGCATCTCCATTGCGGCCGCAGAAGTCAGGCTCAACGACGAGAAGAACCGCCTCAAGACGTGGCGGAAGGAATGGAAGTCGAGAATCAACACTCTCAAGAAGGAAAACGAGCTTACGGACAACCAACTAGCCTCGGCCGGCCACAGCGATGACAAGTACAGGCAAAAGATCCGCCAGCAAGAGACCCAGAAAGCACAGGCCGAACGCGATACGGAAACCCAGGCCGAACAGCTCAAGAAGTTTGACGGCTCGCCGGAGCTAGCCGAGAACAAGAAGAAGATGGAGCGATCCTACTCGGGCGAGAAGAAGCTCTATGATGCTGCGCAAAAGAGTTTCCGCGAGTACAAGGCAACGCTGGAGAGCGAGGTCCAGTCCAAGGACAATGAAAAGGGCAACCTCAACACCAAGCGCAACAAGATTGCCACTCGCATTGCCAAGGTTGAAAACGAGCTCGCCAACATCACCGATGCAAACAACCGGGGTCTCAACGAGGTGGAGCGCCGAAAGCGTGAACGTGCAGGCTGGCAGGAGCAGATTGTCAACTCGGACAAGTCGTTCAACGATCAGCTCGGGCAGAGCTATGCGTCCAACAACATGAAGGCTGAGCATCTCCGCGGCCTCCAGAACGAGTTGCAGACGGTTAGAAGCTACATGAGCCAGGCCAACGGCTTGCCTGTTGACATGGCCTCGCTCGAGTCAGCCGTTCACGCTCCCTTTCATTCGCCGCAGCCTCAGCAACAGCAGATGCCGCCGCAACAGCAGCCGCAAACTCCTTGGAATCCCAACCCCGCTGCTCCCGCCCATTTCCCTGCCAGCGTCAACTACTGGGGAGGCGTAAACGGCGAGAACCACTCATCCACGTCTCTGTCCCTGGGCCCCCCCGGCTTGGCAGCCTGGCAATCTCCGCCCATGACCTCTTTCGAGCTCCGCGGCGCCAAATCGCGAGGTCGCAGCTCTAGTATGCTCAGCGACGTCAGCGGTTTCACCCAGCCGAGCGACGAGGAGCCTCGTTCTCCCGTCGGCATGGGCATTTCACGACGCCCCTTGTACACGAAGCGGTTCGGCATGCACGACAGCAGGCGGAGCACAGGCAGCGGCGGCAGCGGTGGTAGCGGCAGCATGGGCGATCCATCCAGCCCGGCGTGATGGCATTTCTTCTTCCTTGTCCATTTGTATTTATGCTTGTTGAGTCTGAGGGCTAAAGGTTGTCAACGGTGCGGTTTGCCTGGCAGCGTTCTCCGTCACGGGGATCGAGCGAGCTGGCCAACGTGCTGGAAGCGATGGGTATGTAGTTTGGCATAGTCGCCTTTGGTTTGATGAATGAAGCAGCGCTTTGCAGAATCCGTGTGTCCCCTCGCCGTCCCCAAGTGATGTGTAACTGTGGCTTTTTCAAGAAGAGTATCTTGCATAGAGGATGATGTGTCTGTCCTGAAACGATTGGTCCGTCTGAAATAGATGGGCAGCCGTTGGTATATATATTACCCACCCCATGGCAAGGCTCGGCCAACAAGCATTAATCTATGCTGCCTGGAGCACAGCCGTGTGCATGCAGGGCGGTTACACGAGTCCTATGGGGAGGCAAGTCGCCCAATCAATACACCTCTCTGGGCCGCTTTCTATATATCTGAGGGGAATGTGAATGGAAGTTGAGCTTGGTCAGGTGCTTTTAGTTGCATCATGGCTGGGCGCAGGTGAGGAGAAAGTGATGTGCGTCCCAACGTAAAACGTAAAAAGAAACATCTCAAGGTTTCATTCTCTCTACTCTCTTTGTTCTCCTTTTTCTTTTCAAATTCATCGTTGATTCTTTTTTTTTCCCCAAGTTAACATGGCTTTCTGTTCGACCTGCAACCGAGTATTCAAGGACGACGCCGCGCTGTCGATGCATCTACGAGACAGCAAAGTGCACGACTCCGAGTCCGCGGCGACAACGCAAGAAGCTGTTGCCTGGAAGTGCGTGCGCTGCGAGACGGGGTTTGATTCGAAGGAGGAGCTGAGGATGCATGTGCTTTCGTCTGAGAAGCATTTCGCGTGCGTGGCGTGTTTGGAGGGCGGGGAGTGGCAGGACTTTTTGACGAAGAGGGCGCTGAAGAGCCATATTTGGGGGAAGCACAAGCGCCACGGCTCGGTACAGGGAAGTGATGAGTCGAAGGAGGACAACAAAGGGAAGGGAAAGGCGCGAGAGACGCCGCTGGATGGATTCTTCACCTCGTTTGTGGGATTCGTGTACGATGCTCGTTTGTCGCCGGAGGCGTCGTGGAAGAAGCTGAGGCGGTTCAAGGGCTGGAAGGGTCCGCCTGAGAGGAGGAGTGATGCGGAGAATGACGCTTGGGGGGGTTATCAGGGGGCGCTCGTGAGGGAGGTTGAGATGTGGTTTGGGGATGAGAAGGATTTGACGGCGTGGTGGACGCTTTGCAAGGCGGTGGGCAAGGTTGATCCGCCGGATGAGATTCAAGAGTGCAAAAAGGTATGTGTTTTCTCTATGTCTCTTGACTGTCTGCTTTTTGATGTAGTGTGTTTGGTTGGGATGGGAGAGGCTGATGGGAAGCATTTTGAATGATAGATTCTGCGGACGACGCATGTCAACATTGTCGACTTGATCAACTGGGGCAGGAAAGGCGGAAACGAGAATGAAGGGAAAAAGGTCAGAGTGTTCACGTCTGTGGAGGAGCTGAAGGATTACAGCGTGAAGAGCAAAAAGATATTCAAGAAGGAGCAATTGAAGTCGTATAGTGGAGGGAATGTGGTGTTGAAGCACTTGTTGAGGGTGTTTTTCACTCAGGGACGGCGGCTGGTGTACATGCGGTGAGGCTGCCTACTGGGTATAGCTTCATGATAGATGCTGTGTGCTTTTGCAATGCGGTGCAATTCCAGTCTGTGAGTCTATTCTAAAGGTTCTATTCTAAAAGTCTATCTAATGTCGCGCCATGCCGGGCCGCGTCATGCCATGCCGGGCATGCCTGAGTCGTTCGAAACTCGTTCTTCCTCCATGCGTGCTCTCAACGACTGCTGTCCAATTCCAACAGCGCAAGTCTTCCAATGATCGCCATCGTCTAAGCCAATCCTCCAATTCCAACAGTTCTGGTTCCCAAGATCATCACCATCCTCAAAGCTGGTCCTGCAGCTCCATCATCTGAATTGACTCTCCAACCCCAACAGCGCCAGTCCCCCAGTCATCACCATCCTCAAAGCTAACCCTCCATCTCCAACAGCTCCGGTCCCCTCAATCATCTCCCTCTGCTGAGCTAACCCTCCATCTCCAACAGCCCCGGTTCCCCATTCACCTCCAACAGCTCTGGTCGCCTGAATCATCACCATCATCTAGGCTAACCCTCCAACGGCCTTGTCGACCCCTTGCCTTCCGGAATGTGAACAGTTCCCATTCCGAGAGGCTCCTCAAGCTGCGTAATGTTCCTCAGCTCTGGCAACGTAAACGGCTCCGTGTAGCTCATGCTGTCGACTCTCCCCAGCAGCTTCTCCAAATGGCGAAGCGAGGCAGCAGGAGCATATCCCGGCCCTTGATGTCCTGCCAACTTGGTCACCACAAAGGTGAGTCCTCGCTCCTCGTGTACTGTCCCCAGCACGCCCGAACCAGCTGGCATATCGCTGGCGTAACCTGTCTGCTTTTGCTTATCGGGATCGAGGCCGTAAAGGGGAACATAAAAAGGATCTTTGGGCTTGCACTGAAAGCCCATCTTTCCACCCCATGTCATGTTTTGGATGCCCAAAAGGACACCATCAATGTTAAGGAGCCAGTCAGCGCCGCCTTGGGCAATGATAACATTTTGGGTTGTTTCAATGACTTGCGGGAGATGCTCCAGGCCTGATGGCAGAGAGTTATCGTCATAGCCATTAGCGGTCCCGAAGACGTACTGTTTGCATTTTTGCCAAGTAACCGAAGCGGGAGCATGGATAGCCGTTTTGACATCGCTACGGTTGAAATAGGGAGCATCGTCGTTGATGGGAGTATAGGCCGTAGGGCAATACTCGAGGATATTGTAGGGGTTGAAACAGGGGTTCGCCACGGAAACTTTCAATCCGACAATGTGTTGAAAATCAATACAAGTCTCGGTGCTGATAGAGGTGAAATTGGGCATCAAATTCTTGACAGAATCGATAGCAGGCTGCATGCCAGACGGAGGAAACGTAAGATATCTATCATAGAATTCGTCGAAGCCACACTCTTCGGAGATTGTGCGGACGCGAGACAGCTCGTTATCGTCAAGAGGAAGCTCAAATTGATGGCGAGAGAGGTAGGGCAGAACCGGAACGCTGAAATGGACAGCTTTTTCAGTTAAAAATCCATCGTAAATTATCAGGCCTGCCACATTGTAATGATCCGTGTCGTTAGCATCAATGAAGTGGCTCGAGATGTATGGACCATAGTAGCCGCCATACGACTCCGTCGCGATGTAGACACGCCAGCCATGCAAGCCAAAAACATCGACAAAGCTGCGCCAGAAACCCATAAATTGGACAGCCAGTTCGTCCTCATCGATGATGCTGGGCTTGCCCTCGGAAAAGCCTGTGCCGATGGGTTGGTCAATCCAAACGACGTTGGTGAGAAGGTGCCAACTCCAAGGGTTGCTCTTCGGCTTCAAGGTTCCAGGTTGCCAGGAAAGGGGGCCGTTTTCTTGGAGCAAGGCGACGAGAGACGAGCAGCCGGGCTATTTGTTTGGGCTCAGTCAGCAAATAGAAAACGTGGGTGGAAGATACTTTGGGTCTGAACATACACCGCCGCTAAGCCAGATGACGATTTCCTTATCATCCTTGTGCTCTTCGTTGACAGTTGGAAAGAACCAGAAGAACATGTTGTCTTTTTCATCGGTCTTGTTGCTGATTGGCAGAAGGCCGGCGTACGACTCGCCTACATCGAAATCGACTTCTGGGATTCCAGTCCCATTGACGGCGAACTCTGTGCAAATATCAGCGTAAGGCCAGGACAAGAGGCCACTGGATCACTGGTTGAGACGTACTTTCGGTGACAGAGTTGAGGTATCGTGACGTTGGCTCTGGCTTACAGTTGTCACCAGTGAAGTTTCTGCCGATGATTGGAAGTTTGGATGTCGTGAGGTTCACGGGATGGTGGTCAACGGATTCAACGAGAGCGTTGCTGGGTCCGGATGGCCCAGCAAAGATGCTGTTGATAGCGGGCAACAGGGGTAACACCCAGTGAAATCCCATTGTGAGGGATATGAAGTATACAGATGGCAGTGGACAAAATATTCGTGCAGGGTGAATCTTGGACAAAATACTCGTGCAGGGTGAATCTTGGAGAAATCTTGAGAATCCAAAACTCGGCTTTACTGTGCTTCTTATAGAAGACGGAGTGTTTATGACTTTGGTATGTCCAAGGGCATCGGGATGTCTCCATCATGTACATTGCCTATTGGCTTCGATATCTCACCGAGTCAACCGTCATGCTGAAATGTTTGTGAGTATGTATCCGTGTCTTTAGTCTCCGAATTAGTTTCCGTCTTGTCAATTTCGCTCAGGCATCGGCAAGGCCGAGGATAGCATCGTATTTGTATGCGGGTGCCCTTTGTGTTTGCCCAAGTAAAGCTTTGGTCAATTACCATCCATCAATGAGATTAATGGAGCAAATCCAGCCGCACAATACAAGTTTCCATGTTGTTTGCGTGCATGTATATACCCAGCTTAGGCAGCCACTCAATATGATGTCCGTAGCCGATATTGACGGAAGGATTTCGTCAAGGCGCCATCTTCGCTTTATTTTAGTAAAACAACGGAGTCTGAATTCAAAGGATTCATCGTCGCCAGCCTCATTTCTTGTGTCGGAGATGAGATGGCGGGTAGATGCATGGTAGGATCCTTTGTTGCGGTCAAAGCTGAAGGGTCGTGTACAAGTGGCTTAGATAGCGACGAGTTTCTCGACCGGGACAAAACAATGAAAAGCATCACGGCATTATTAATATGATAGTATAATTATACATCTATAGCGTCATAATTGTTGAAATGTATGCCAATTGGCCTTATTTTAGCTTGCCGGATGAGACCTCCTCTACCTATGTCTGGTGGCCGAACTGCCCCTGTTCAACCAAGTACCAGTAATTCTACCAAGTCGGCGCCCCTATTTTCAACAATAATCATCACCCATCAAATCAGCTGTTTCTCTATTAGGCACAGGCATAACAGAATTACCAATACCGCGCCGTAATAATAGACGTGATAAGTCTTCTTATCCATTGCGGGACCATCAGATACGTAGATCCTATAAGCGAGGACACAAGATGATCCCTGTTGCAGAATGCACAGTGGCAAAATCCTGGTATCCTCGTCCACCACCGCATATCCAATATAGCAAAGGCATGTGCCAAAGGCGACAACAAAGAGGGAAGTGCCCGCTCGAAGAACTTTTATGCCTCGGCCAGAAAGCAACATGGGAAGAGTTTTTCTTTCGCTTTTTCGGTCCCCCTCAAGGTCGTGAAATTCTTGGATGTGTATTGTTCCCATTAACCAGACAAAGATGATACAGTCAATGGTAAAGCTGATGTTCCAAGCTTCCACATCTCTCGACAGAACCGAGTTCAAGAGCCGCGCCAGAATGTAGTATGATGAGGAAGCAAAGTAGCTGCGCATGAACCAGCCAAACCACTTGGGCCATACATAGCATAACGTGATCATGACTTCAAAGTGCAAAAGATGCATCATTGGCCAGACGCCAAACAGACAATACAGGGTGGCAGGCCCCAATACCCATGAAAACACCCAGCGGGCTTTGGCTTGTTCAATGGACATTAAACCAGCAGGAATAGGACGATATGGCTTGTTTATGTAGTCTTCGTCTGGAGACGATGTCTGGTTGGCAATGTCAAAGATGTAGTGGCAAAGAAGCCCAAGAATGGCTACTTCCATGAGTAACGGGACCATTTCGGCCAGCGGTAGGGGCGTTTTGACGACTCTGGATAGTAGTCCACCCATGAAAATGAGCAGAAACCCAGTTGCATTCGAGTTCAACAGTCGAACGGTTATATCCAGCTCGCGGAGCACAGTATGCCATAATGATGGGAATAGAGTCCCAATGAACGACTGAAATCGTAGAGTTTTCTTCGCCATTTATACAAATAGATATGAAACGGGAGAAACGGGAAGTTGACTCAACTTGCTGACTGTAGCAAGGTAAAGTACTCAATTGTGTTGTTTGAATGCTCTAATGTGAATAGTTTTCAGGATTATTGCTTGCTTATATATCTACATATGCTGTATCTACTTATTTGGGCGTCGACAGCCTTGTTTCTTGCTCATATTCCTTTTAGGTTCTTATGATGCTCCTTGCATATACAGCTACGAAGACGTCAATACTATCCGCGGGGATACCGAAAAGCAAGCGAACAACTTCTGATTTAGAATAGCGTAGTCAATAATGCGATTGTTGCAGCAAATGGCGCATGAGTTCTTTTGTTGCTGCGTTCCAAGTTATTTGTAATCGCAGCCTTCTTTTGTTATGGCAACCTTGATCTTTGTAGTACAGCCCTGAACCTTGACCCGTTCCACTGATATGGCCACCCTGACATCACAGCCTAATATATCTCTGTATGTAGAATGTCTAATGTATACAGCTCTATATAGAAGAAGAGATATCTGGTATTTGCCCACGTTTGGCGGTATCACGAGGTGGCGAATTGGCCAATATGTGCAACAGATGGTCGGGATTCGCGGGCAAGATAGGTGCATGTAGTACAGCCGTAGAGCACATCTTCACTAATCCGGTCGGATTTATTAATCTCATCGGTGTATATACGGGTACATATTTTGTAGTCTGCTTAAGGCAATGAAAGGATTCTCTCTAGACCATAGAGTCATGTGGTCTGCCCATTTTATGTAGCTGATCTCAAAACCAAGCACAATTTCCTTGATCCTTCGGTCAGTCCGAAGCTTCCGAGCACATTTTCCAGTATAGCTTGAGTGGTGCCTACATGTTGAAGTTGTCATGTAGTAGAGTATTGCTGTTCCACCATCCAACAGTGGGCATGCCAGGCACCAGACTCCTCGTATATGCAGACAAGGCCCCAGATCTTCAGTGCTATGCGAGACAGAAATACAAGCGTGTAAGGGTACTCTATATGAATTCGAGCCCTTCCCAGGATAACCGCGTATGTCTTGCTTTCATGATATGCCCCAGATGTTGACGTGAATCTGCGGACATCATCTGCAGATGCATCTTGTCCCGCCACGGCAAGACTTGTAGTAGTGGTAGTAGAGATCAGCCAATTACTAATTACAGATGGATAGAAGGGTAATGCTTAATGAACCGTCGTTTCAATTGCCCGACAGGTGCGAGTGCAGTGACACATTATAGTGTCCTAATGATAAAGACCGGATCGCAAAGAACACCAATTGAACTTGCAACTCTCTCTTGTAACAAATTATGCGCTAGCTAAGGCTGTTAAGGGTTTGTTAGTGACGTCAGCTTTTTAAGGGCCACTCTCCCAGGATAAGTGTAGCGGGGGCTAACGGGACTTTAACAGAGTACGACCTTTGATGTTAGGAGCCTTAATGTCTACCTACCTACGCGTGGAAGGGCGTTTCCTGACAGGGGTTGTGAAAGGGGTACTGTAAGATTTATACGTCAGAAATCTAGTCGTAAGGGCCGCCCTGTTACTATTCGACGCAGTGTAATATCTTTTAATTTATATATATTCTGCTAGGCTAACGAAAGGTCTTACACTAGTAAAATATTACAGAGTAAAAAACCTTACAGCAGCGTTTTAGCTGTTAAAGCTTACAGTCTGTCAGCCGGGTGCAGTCTGTCAGGTTGAAATTACTGTCAGGTTAAAATTGCTGTTAGGTTATAAGCTATCTAAGTACCTATTTTACAGTGTTACTTAGTACCTAGGTAAGTAGGTACTTATAAACCTTAATTGAACGCGATGACCCTGATCGAACGCGATGACCTTGATTAAACGGATCGAACGCGATAACCTTGATCTAGCTAGATGACCTTGATCCAACGGGATGACCTTGATCCAGCTGGATGACCTTGATCTAGCTGGATGACCTTGATCCAACGGGATGACCTTGATCCAACGGGATGACCTTGATCAAACGGATCGAACGCGATGACCTTGATTTAACTAGGTGACCTTGATCTAACGCAATCAAAGTCATCCAGTTAGATCAAGGTCATCTAGCTAGATCAAGGTCATCTAGCTAGATCAAGGTCATCTAGCTAGATTAAGGTCATCTAGCTAGATCAAGGTCATCCCGTTCGATCAAGGTCATCCAGCTAGATCAAGGTCATCCAGCTAGATTAAGGTCATCCAGCTGGATCAAGGTTATCCCGTTGGATCAAGGTCATCTAGCTAGATCAAGGTTATCGCGTTCGATCCGTTTAATTAAGGTCATCCCGTTAGATTAAGGTTATTGCGTTCAATCAGGGTCATCCCGTTGGATTAAGGTTATCGCGTTCGATCCGTTTGATTAAGGTTGTTAAATAAATAAAGTTGTAAAAAGCTTGGGCTAGAAAACAATAATATACCTATAGGGGCTGCTGGGCGCTATAAGCGCTATAAGTTGGAAAGCTAGGTATGTAAACGATGTTAGGATGTAAAAGCTGTTACTGGGCTTGATAGCTGTTAATGGCCCTGATAGCTGTTAATGGCCCTGATAGCTGTTATCGGGCCCTAATAGCTTGCTGGGTTAGATAGCTTGCCGGGCTTAGAAGCTGTTGAACTGGAAAGCTGTTGCTGGCCCTGATAGCTGTTATCGGGCTCTGATAGCTTGCCGGGCTTGATAGCTGCTTTTGATAAAAGGCTGTTGAATTGGAAAGCTGCTACTGGCCCTGATAGCTGCTGCTGACTAGATAGCTGTTGGGTTGAAAAGCTGCTATTGACGAAAGGTCTTGGGTTGAAAAAGCTGTATCTGGCAAGGTAATCTGGTTTAGAAGGAACGCTGTTTAAGTAAAAAATCTAATAGCTTGAAAACAGTTGTATGTCTCTGTTATCGGCCTTTTGAGTGTAAAAAAGCTGTCACGGTGCGAAGATTATTTACTAGCACTGTCCATAAACCACCCTCCCGCGCGTAGGTACCTGGCAACGTTACCCTATACCTTAGCCAATAGATTAGTTACAAAGGAGATGAATAAATGTGCCGTTCAATTCGACGACTGATTCAAGTACAGGCTGGTGTCCTTTTGGAGTGAATGGCTAGGTACCTAATTAAATTGATTAGGAAGGACTTTTCTTTATTGCTATTTTTACCTCTTAGGTACTAGGTATCTTATAAGCTGAAGAAGCTGGTCGTGGAAAGTAGTATTTTAGGCCTAGTAGGAGGTTAGGTACTCCGTACTTCAAATGATCACTTTAGTGCCTGTACTAACCTACTAAGGTACCTACTTGTACCTGATAGGCCGTATGACGTAAAACACACTAACCAATCAAAAGATATACAGTGTCATACGACCATATACTGTGTATTTGACACGGACCTTAGAAAACAAGCCAGGCTGAAGAAAGACGCTATCGCCGAACGGCCCGAGTCTCGGTGAATGAACCAAGAAGGCGGAGAGGGAACAAAAAAACTTGAGAGTTGTGTGACTTCCATCACGCATGTGTGCTGCTCTACAGGTTTTTTTTTTTCTTTTTTTCAAATAGGTATGGAAGAGGGGGAGGGCTGACGCCACTGGGGGAGAGGAATAGGAAGGATTTGAATGACTGCATGGTAGACACCTAGATGGGTGGTTCTATGGTGTTTTGCGCTGTGACAGAAGCCCTTTCGTGGTAGCACACGTAGCACGCCTGGGTTGCTTATCTCGTCACATTGAGGAGGCTCTGGAAGCATCTCCTCTCCTTGCCAAGAGACGAGGCAATCAGTCACATTGCAAAGAAAAGTAGCGGTGCTGCAAGGCGTGAGACTAGCGGGTTGGAGTATGGAGAATCGGCAGGGCCGCTGTGGTGGTGGTGATGCAGAATGCAGGAGAAACAGCAAAACAAGGACGGCCGGAATTAGTATGGAGATGACATGGATTGAAGTAATGGTGTCGTAGTGGCTCTGAATTTTTTTGGATACTGGAGATGAGGATGAAGACGTAGACGAGAACAAGGATGAAGATGGTGAGATGCTATTTACAGTATCGCTAGACGCCCTCTTGCGTGGGATGCAATCAATGGTTTCGGATTCATCACATCTTTAATCCCGTGGCTTATACTCCGTGCCATGGCTAGGGGACACAGCCCACAGCTTGTCGTTGCTGCATCTGGGCTGCATGATTGGCGGAGACGGCGCAGCTGGTGATGCATCGTGGGATGGCGGGCTTGGAACGTGAATGAAATGTCTTCATGGCGATGAGACGTGAGGCGGTTAAATGCCAGCTTATTGGACGCACACCGTGCTTCCAACAGTCTAGCTAACCGTGTCTAACAATCCACTCCATTCATGAGACGAATCGTGACCTCTGGTACAGAGTCTGGTGGCTTTTCCCTCTTCTCCAGTGGCGCTGCTCGAGCCAATCTCCCCAAGAGCAACAAGTGGAGGTCAGCTAGCAATACATACATAGCTAGGCCCGCAACTTGTGCCGTAATCTGTATGTGCTCGGGAGCTGCATGCGCGCCCGAGGGGAAAAGGATGGAAGGGGAGGAAAATGCTTTGTAGATCCGGATCTCCAGAACGGCCCAGGGCGGACAGGCCGGCTCGAGACTCGGTTGAGCCAACGCATCAGTCAGTCCACCATCACCACGTCTCGCCTTGACCTTGCGACTCCGCCTGGCTGGTCACTCCCTTTCCGTAGCTGTGATTTTCATTTTTGCTTCCGCCATCTCTGCGTGCTGTGTGCTGCTGTTGTTGTTGTTGTTGTTGTGGTGGTGGTGCAGCCCAACTTGAAGCCATCACCAGCAGCCTCGTCGACCGAGCATCGGGGTTTGGACGCTGACCCAACCCCTGGAGTGCCGGCTTTGGCCAGTAAACCAACACTTGCGCAACTACTCTTTGAATTCTTTTGTTTCCTTCTTTTTAATCAATACTCGAGTATATTCTAGCTCGTCTGCAAAGCAGCAAATAGGCCAAAAGCAAAGCAAATCAAGGCAAAAAGGAACAAGGAAAAAACCAAAAACAAAACAGAGGCACCCGCGCGCTGTGGCAGCTTCCGGTCCAGTCCAGCCCAGACTCTGCGCAGGCCTTCGTCATCGCCATCATATCTTCCATTCTTTAGCGAGGCTTTTCCTGCCAGCCCAGCCCAGCTCTAGCCGACTTTGTCATCCACCCATCAAATCCCATCCCATCCCATCCAACGCGACTCTGGCACTCCTCCTTCTAGTTCTCACCATTCCCTCGCCTGCTTGCCATTGCCGACACATGCCCCGTGGCCGCGAGCGCGTGTAAAACACAGACACATGGGCTCGTGTGTCTCGGACTAGATTTCTCTTGCCTCTCTACCCTGCTCTTGACTGCAAAACCCCGGCCGGCAATCCCTTCGCCTTCAGCCTTGTCCACCATGGACTCGAGCTTCCGATCGACGGTGATGCACCGGCGCGGCGACGACGAGCGAGATCGAGAGCGAGAAAGAGACAGAGAACGAGACCGAGAGCGGGAGATGGACAGAGACCGCAGCCAACGCGACGTGATGAACCCCAGCTCGCGGCACTCCACCTTCAGCCTGCGGTCTCCCTCGACGCACACGCAGGCCGAGTTCCATCCGCCTCTGCCCTACGCATCCAGCGACGCAAACCCGCATCACCAATCGCCGCCGCGCCATAGCCATAACCAGAACCGCAGCCCATACATGCCGTCGTCGACGCCGGCGTCCTCGGCTTCTGCGCACCCGCTGCCGCCTGTGCTCGCGCCGTCGCCCGGCCATCACCAGCTTCAGCAGCATCAACAGCAGCCGCATCAGCAGGGCCCCTCTGCCTCGCCGCTGCACCCGCCGGGCGCCTACTATCCTCCTCCGCCTCGTGCCGTCTCGTCGGTGCCCATCGCGGCATCACCTCGATCGTCCTCTGCCTCAGCCTTAGCCTCGGCCGCGGCCTCTGACCTTCATCCCGGCGGCAGAGTCTACGATCCAACGACCGACACGACCAAGGAGCGCCCCATCGCCGCCTCGAGGCAACACGCGCCCCAAGTGGCCACGCCAAAGGTAAGCAAGCACCTCAACCTTCTAAAAGTCCACTTTCGCTTTTTGGCCTTAAACCCACGCGCATGCGCCTTTTGCTTTGTTCAATTGAGCCGTACCCTTTTTTTCTCTCTTCCACCAACGTCGATGCAATCATCTCTCCTCACCACCACTCTCTTTCCTCCCCCCGCAAAAAAAAAACCGTCAACCCCAAATTCACCAACCCTTGCCATGCCGGCACCATCGCCATCCCTGGTTTCTCAACGCGTCTTCTAACGTGATTTTCCTCTCTCTCTTCCCTCTCCTATAGCCGTACCACTCCCGCGAGCCGTACCAGTACCCGCAGCCAATTGACCAGCAACACCAGTCGTCTTACCGCAACGGCGACAATTATTCATCGCCTCGCGCCAGGGCTTCGTCCTTCAACCGCCGGCCGACCAGCCCGCTCTCCCTCTCGCACTCCCACCCAACCCTCGCAACCGGCTCCCACAGTCCGCCCAGCCGTCACTCGCACATGACTTCGCCAGTCTCGAGGCATGCGCCTGCCGCGACGCACTCTGCAACAAACGGCACCTCCCTGCCGCCCATGATGAAGACTGAGCTGGCAGCCCCGTCACCGCCGAAGCCGGCTTCCGTAAGTACAAACTCTCTTCTCCTCAAAGCAAGACGAGGGAAAAAAACACAAAAACACACATACGCACGCACGCATGCACGCAGATACTGTACAATTCGGCCACACTCGTTTGCTCGACTTGATTGATTTCCCTCTCTCCTCTCACTATCAATATCCTATCGCCCGGTTTCCCTCTTCCCTATCGCGCCATCTTTTTTCCCTTCAAACAACTCAATGATCGATTGATCATCATTCGGTAATGACTTGTCGTGCTAATGGTGCATCTCAGAGCCGAGCTGCCGACCCAATGTCCTTCTCCAACATCCTCTCCAACTCCGAGCCCGCTCCCAAGCCCGCAGCCAAAGAGCCATCACCCAAGAAAGAGCCTACGCCGGCGCCCCCCGTGTTTGAGGTCCGAGAGCCCGACAACGACGGCGATACCGAGATGGAGAAGGAAGTTGATACCGAGCCTGAACCCGCCCCAGTCAAGAGACCCGAAATCGTCATCAAGAAGAAGACCGCCAAGAAACCCGCCAAGGGCCGTGCATCCGAGATTAGAGGAGACGATGGCTCTAAAAAGAATCGTCGCGCGTCCATCAAGAAGGAGTCTCCGACTCCTCGACCGCCGTCAAAGCGACAAGCCAACGGCCAGCCCAAACAGAAGACGTGGTCGAGCGAAATGGAAAGGTCAATTCAGAATCATGAGGCGCTGCTTGACAAGCAGGCCGAGTCTCTGGATGACACAGAGTTCAGCGATCGAGCTTACAAAGAAGGAGCTTTCAAACGCCAGCGTACTATGGCTGATCTCGACTCTGACAGAGCTTATGCCCGACGCGAACAGTTTGTCAAGACAACTGGAAAGAGGCTGGCCGATCACTCGGATCTAGGTAAACGCCGATACGACGATGTCTTTTACGACGAGGCCCTCCACGAAGTCCGTGAACAAGAACTCTTTGCCGAAAAGGAGCGTAAAAAGGACATGCAGCGAAAGCGACGACGTGAAAAATCAATGGCCGTCACCATCGAACAGAAGGAGGCCGCCCTCGCTCGAGCCGAAGCTGCTGAGGACGAGGAAGAGCGCCAGAAGCATTTGCGTGATGCTGAGAGGGCTAACAAGAAGGCCCAGCAGACGAAACTCATTCTACAAAAGGGCATCAAGGGCCCTGCCCGCAACGTTGAGCTCAACCTTGAAGGGGGCACCATGTCCAGCTTTCTGGCGTCCGATGCCGAGACCCCTAAGAAGGGCAAGGGCCGGGGCGGAACACGACCCAAAAAATCCAAGGAGCAGAAGCAGGCCGAGAAAGATTCTGCAGAGGCTGCCCAGGCCGCCTTGGATGCTGGCGAAGAGCTGCCACCCAAAGAAGAGGGCCGGGTTCGCATCAAGATCAAGGGCAAGTCCAAGGGCGACGGAGAAAAGGCTACCAAGGAAAAGGCCGAATCTACCAAGGATAAGGAAAAGGTCGATGACGTGCCGGATCTCGAAAAGAAATTCATCTCCAAGGGCTACAACCAGATTTACGATCAGATTTGGCGTGACATGGCCCGCAAAGACGTCAGCAAAACGTTCAAGCTCGCCGTCGACTCTTACGCTACCAGAGGCTCCAACCTCAAGAAGACGGCCATTCTGGCGTCCAAGGAGGCCAAGCGCTGGCAGCTACGCACAAACAAGGGCACCAAGGACCTGCAGGCCCGTGCAAAGCGTGTCATGCGTGACATGATGGGTTTCTGGAAGCGCAACGAGCGCGAAGAGCGTGACTTGCGCAAGGCTGCCGAGAAGCAGGAGATTGAGAATGCTCGAAAGGAAGAAGCCGACCGCGAGGCCGCCCGCCAGAAGAGGAAGCTCAACTTCCTCATCTCGCAGACCGAACTGTACTCGCACTTTATCGGCAAGAAGATCAAGACGGATGAGGTCGAGCGCAGCACGGATAACCCCGACATTGCCCCCGATGCGCGCCAGATCTCCGAGAACAAACTTTCCGTACAAGAGCCCACTGGGCCCTTGGGCTCCAAGGTTACCGACTTTGAAAACCTCGACTTTGATAATGAAGACGAGTCTGTTCTGCAGGCAGCTGCCATGGCCAACGCTCAGAATGCCATTGCCGAAGCCCAGAAGAAGGCGCGCGACTTCAACAACAAGGGCCTGGACATGGACGACGAAGGCGAAATGAACTTTCAAAACCCAACAGGTCTCGGCGACGTCGAGATCGAGCAGCCCAAGCTCATCAACGCTCAGCTCAAAGAGTACCAGCTCAAGGGTCTCAACTGGCTCGTCAACCTTTACGAACAAGGCATCAACGGTATCCTGGCAGACGAAATGGGTCTCGGCAAGACTGTCCAGTCCATCTCCGTCATGGCCTACCTGGCCGAAAAGCACGACATTTGGGGTCCCTTTTTGGTGGTGGCGCCCGCTTCTACACTGCACAATTGGCAGCAGGAAATTGCAAAGTTCGTTCCCGAGTTCAAGATTCTCCCGTACTGGGGAAGCGCTGGCGACCGAAAGGTGCTGCGAAAGTTCTGGGACCGGAAACACACCACCTACCGAAAGGATGCGCCCTTCCACGTCTGTGTCACCTCATACCAGCTTGTCGTGTCCGACGTGGCCTACTTCCAGAAAATGCGGTGGCAGTACATGATTCTCGACGAGGCCCAAGCCATCAAGAGCTCGTCCAGTTCTCGTTGGAAGTGCTTGCTCGGCTTCCACTGCCGAAACCGCCTGTTGCTTACCGGTACCCCTATCCAGAACAACATGCAGGAGCTGTGGGCCCTGTTGCATTTCATCATGCCGTCGCTCTTTGACTCCCATGACGAATTCAGTGAATGGTTCTCCAAGGACATTGAATCTCACGCTCAGAGTAACACGAAACTGAACGAGGACCAGCTCAAGCGTCTTCACATGATTCTGAAGCCGTTTATGCTTCGTCGTGTCAAGAAGCATGTGCAAAAGGAACTTGGCGACAAGATTGAGCTCGACGTCTTCTGTAACCTCACCTACAGACAGCGGGCCTACTACAGCAACCTGCGTAACCAGATCAACATTATGGACCTTGTTGAAAAGGCTACCATGGGCGACGACCAGGACTCAGGTACTCTGATGAACTTGGTGATGCAGTTCAGAAAGGTCTGCAACCACCCAGACCTGTTTGAACGCGCAGAAGTGACCGCCCCCTATTCCTTTGGTTACTTTGCCGAGACGGCCTCGTTTGTCAGGGAGGGGAGCACCGTCTCCGTGGGATACTCCAGCAGGAGCTTGGTAGACTACGAGCTGCCGGCTCTCGTCTGGACGGAAGGCGGCCGGCTTGACAAGGCTGGGCATGACAACCAGACGGCCGGCTGGCGCAACAAGGCTTTGAACCACATGATGAATATATGGACGCCGGAGAATGTTAAAACCAGCGTAGACGACGACAAAGCCTTTTCGTGGCTACGCTTTGCTGATGCGTCAGCTGGCGACGTCTACAAGGCCACACACAGCGATTTATTCGATCGTGCTGTGGGAGAGCTCAAGAAGCGTGATAGACTAGGTCCCATGAGCATCGCATATGATGAGGAAGATGAGAGCTTTACGCCTGCTCATTGCCTGTTCAAAATTCGGGAGCGCCGCAATTGGCAGCCTCTGGCAGAGATTACCAACGAGGGCATTCTCAGCAGCCTGATGAATGTTGCCAAGGCAGCCTACCGAGACTCTGGCCTTAGCCGGCTGGAACCGGCAGCAAGACCTCGCGCGTCGGCTCCGCCTGTCCAAGTATTCTGCAACAATCCCAGCGCCGTCGCCGAGCGCCAGGATGTCATGTTCAATACTCACATTCGCAAGACGCTCTATGGACCTACGATATACGACGAGCGTGCTCTAGTCGAGAAGAAGGTGCCGATGGAGCTGTACCCCATCAACAAGATTTTCCCCAAGCCGGACCACGACAAGAAGCGCTTCACCAACATTGCCGTCCCTTCCATGCAGCGCTTTGTCACCGACAGCGGCAAGTTGGCCAAGCTGGACGATCTTCTATTCAAGCTCAAGGCCGAAGGTCATCGTGTCTTGCTGTACTTCCAGATGACTCGTATGATCGACATGATGGAAGAGTACCTCACTTTCCGCAACTACAAGTATTGCCGACTGGATGGTTCAACTAAATTGGAAGATCGTCGTGATACCGTGCACGACTTCCAGACCCGCCCGGAGATTTTCATCTTCCTGTTGTCTACCCGTGCTGGTGGTCTTGGTATCAACCTCACGTCTGCGGACACGGTCATTTTCTACGACTCTGATTGGAATCCTACCATTGATTCTCAGGCCATGGACCGAGCACACAGACTGGGTCAGACCAGGCAGGTTACCGTCTACCGACTCATCACCCGCGGTACCATCGAAGAGCGTATTCGCAAGCGTGCTCTTCAGAAGGAAGAAGTCCAGCGCGTTGTTATCCAGGGCGGAGGTGCTAGCGTCGACTTCTCTGGACGCCGTGCTCCGGAGAATCGCAACCGTGATATTGCCATGTGGCTGGCTGACGACGAGCAAGCCGAGATGATTGAGCGTCGTGAGAAGGAACTCCTTGAATCTGGAGAATACGAGAAGCAGAAGAAGAAGGGTGGCAAGCGGAAGAGGACAGATGCGCCCGCCAGCCTGGATGACATGTATCATGAAGGTAAGCAGACGGGCACATATTCCATCCGACAAGGAAACGTGGGGCTCAGAGACTAATCTAATCCTACTTTTATAGGCGAGGGCAACTTTGACGATGGAAGCAAGCCTGGTGCGTCTGGCACTGCTACACCAGCCGAGAGTGAGCCAAAGGGTAAAAAGGGCAGAGGAAAGGGGATTGGCAAGCGGGCAAAGACGGCTAAGCAACGTCTCGCCATTGCCGATGGCATGATTGACACTTAATCGAAGTGGGCTCGACAAAAGACTCTTCCCCCTGTTTTGGGTCAAATTTGGGTCAAATCTGCATATAATGAGTGGCATTTGTGAAACAGACAACCTCGCGGTTTGTATCAGTAATACTTTTTAGCTTTTCGTTGTTGTTTCTGTTTTTCTGTTTTTCTTTTTTTTTCAAGGATTGGCACTGGATGGAAATAGGGCAAACTTTTTTGGGGGTGCATGGCGCAGAAACCCAACAAAACAAACTTCCGCTGGAAGGCTTGTTTTGTGAGGAGTGAAAATGAAAGCTTATTACATGAATAAGGGATTTGCTAGAGGGGAGGGATTATAAAAAGCAATGGGGAGAGGTTGGGGGGAGCTTTGGTGATAAGATTGTGGGTTAGGGCAAATGTTTTGATGTATTACTAGTAACTAGTAGTTTGGTACCTAGAGAGGGGATATTATACGTGCATGGATGGACTTGGCCGTCTGGTTTAATGCTTGTTTCTTTGTATCTGCTTTTGGTGATGAGCTCCTTGCGTGGTAAATGGTGAGCGATGAACGATGCTGACACTTGAATAAGGGCTCTGATGGGCTATACTTGTGTTGTGAACACCGTCGATGTAAGTCTACTCGAGCAGAGATGACTCTGTGTTGTTCAAGAGTGTCTTGTCTTGCCAGGTTATACTGATGTTGTGGATATGGTCAATGTAAGCTACGTCACAGAAGAGCAGGAAAGGTTTATATGCCGTTGACACAAAATATATTGTCTCGCTAGGTTTTTTCTAAGTCATAGACTCTTTTCATGGATGTGATGCTATTCCTTTCACGCCCTTCCCCTTTCAACTTTCCCCTTGCTCTGATGAGTCTTGACACATCAGAGCCATCGCATCCTGTTCATCGTCCTGCCACATGGGCCACTCCTCGGAGGATTTGTGAGCGTATGTATACACTCTCAACGTCCCTCAGAAGTCCCCAACGGGTTGCTAGGACTAGAAGGTGCCGAGAACGGCTCTTAGGCAAAGGACTTGTAGTAGAGGGTCCACAGGCAGTCCCGAAGGGCACCGTAGCACTTCTCGACGGAGCCGCCCTTGTGCTTGCAGTCCGCCAGGTCACCGTAGCAGTTGGTGACGTCCCCCGCGTGGTTGTCACGGGCTTGGATGAGGGTATCCTCGACGGAGCGCTTCTCAGTCTGGTTTGCCTTGCACTGCGATAAAGTTAGTTATATTGAAAAGAGCTTTTGGGCAATAGGGGTTAAGAGGGCATTGTTAAACTAACCTCCTTAAGAGCGTTTTTACATCGAGAAGAGCAGAATGTAAGATATAAGCCTTCCGCCTCACCTGTATAGCCGTGGGGGTTGCAACAATGGCCATACGCGGCCTCGCAGCTATCCTCATCGCTGTCACGGGCTTCAACAGGGGCCTCTTCAACAGAGCGCTTCTCAGTCTGGTTTGCCTTGCACTGCAGTAAAGTTAGAGATGGTAAGAAGAGCTTTTGGGTAATAAGGGTTAACAAAGCATTACTATATCTTACCTGCTCGTACTCCTGATTGCATTTAGAATGGCAGGGACCTTTGGGTACGAACTCGTCGAGTTCAGGAAAAGGGCAGTTATCAAGAAGGCAGCCCAAATAGTTAGCATAGCACTTATCCACGTTGATGTCACGGGCTTCAACAGGGGCCTCTTCAACAGAGCGCTTTTCAGTCTGGTTGGCCTTGCACTGTAGTAGGGTTAGTTATGTTAGATATATAAAAAGCTTTTAGACAAGTAGGAAAGAATATTAAGGCTTCTATACCTGAACTAAAGCCTCTTTACATTCGGGCCTGCAAAACTGCTCCATTAGGGCTTTTGCCTCACCCTGATAGATGAATGAAATATGGCAACAGCGATCATACGCGGCATAGCACGTAGACTCGTTGCTGTCACGGGTGTCGATCTCCACGGCGCTGGCCTGGGCAGGTCCCCGGGCCTGAGGAAGCGCAGCGGCCAGGGGGAGGAGGGCGAGAAGAGCGGACAATTGCATCTTTGAAGATTGCTATTTGGTATTGCTGGTGAGGATGGAAGGGGAGTAAGCATGTTGAAATGGAGGGAGAGAGAATGGTGGATTTATAGGAAAGATGATGAGGGTTTTTGGAAGTGGTAGGCTGCTCGGAGATTGCGTGAATCGGAGTCTGTGTTCGTTCTAGACGGGGAGAGACTGGGGAGGGATTGTATGGTGGTTTGAGCGTTTGTGGATCAGCGGTGTTGGTTGGGAGTGTTGCCGTCGACAAGCGAGTCTATAGATGAGACTAGCTTCTTATGCCTTCTAGCTGAGATGTAGTCTGGAGGTAAAGGTTTATGCGAGATTCAGATTGCGGAGGAGTGGATTGGAGATGACAGGTCTCAATGTTTCAATTGTGAATTGCCCTTATTTAGATACTATGTAGAGATAGTATTCAATCTTTGATGAGATTGTTGACAATGAGATGTAGATGATCTCACTGCAGTTGTAAGCCTCAGAAGGCTATGTAAGTACATGCTATGAGTTCTACGAATAGTTTGTTAGACGAGCAATAGTTGTGTCAATTCTGCGAATAGTTTGTTGGCTGAGTCGTGGTTGCAAGTGCAGGCGATGTGATATTGTCTACTTGATCGGCATCTTTTCAGAGATAGTTTCTGGTTGAGTCTTTGTGCTCTTGATTGTAAAGTCTCCATTAGTGTCTGTCTGAGTGATATCTGATGTGAAAGAGGCGAATAGAACAGCTCGGCCGCATTGCTATTGTCCGTAGATATCGCCGTTACCAGAGCTCAGTCCTCCGCAACAACGAATTGAACCACGTGTAGTGTACGGCCCTCACTGGTGAAACTACTAGCCTTATTCAAGTGGGTGCGTGAATGAGCTCGTCCGAAATCTTGCTATTATGCCTAAATGCATGGACCTGGCGCATTGACGGTTTATCGGCATCGATACGGGGTATGTTGTTCGGACGCCGAAGGTGAATATCGGCATCGCTGTGATTGGATCGGCCGTCCCCCACATGGTTGATATAGACGTCGGGTGGCCCTTGCAGACACTTCGGAGACTTAGCTCACGATGCTAAGATCTGTTTGCCTCTGCTGCCTAAGCCTCTGAGGCATTTTCGTACTAACAGGGCGTATTTTTGTTGCGAGAATTTATCGGAGGGGGAGGAGAATGATGGAGCGTCTCGGAAGAGTACAGTATACGTGAAGACTATACGCTGTAGAGCACTTATGGGCTTGAATATGAGTTCCATTACTGTATCTGTGTAAGATATAGTTAGCATTATGTAACTAGAATAAGTATCTAAGATTGCTACAGAGAAAGTCCTTCTGATCAATTGACCCTCTTCAAATAAGTTTCCGATATGCCATAGCATCCGCCATAAGCGTCCGGTTTGCTTGGAGCTGAATCTTGTTCTACGGGGAGCTTGCAACTACAGTACTCTTTTCTGATAGCCTATCAATTCTTGTCCTATTTTATATTTGTGGCTTAATTCTCCCAGTGAATCTTATCATGTAGACGGGCGTATGTGACGATTTTGGATGAACGTATGAAACATCCTAGCTCTTCGGCTTGCGATTAACAAGTCAATAAACTCAGAGAGAACATGATTATATTTATGAGACACCCGGAGCATAACCACAGGTCAAACTCGGTCAAACTCGCAGAGTTAAAAGACCATAAAGGGAGCATTACGCTTTTTGATCTCAATGATATATTATAACCCGCACAGAACTACTATCATACGTCAGTTTTAGCCAACGTCCAGCTATTCCCTCTTAATATTCACCCCCCATTTCCACCAGCAGCTTAACAATAGCATCATGTCCCTTCTTAGTAGCCCAGCCAAGCGCTGTCTGGTGATAATCCCCATCCCTTGCCTCAATATCAGCTCCCTTCCCAATCAGCTGCATGGCAACAGCTTCGCGCCCCTGTCTAATAGCCCAGATCAGCGGCGTCATGCCACTTCTCTTTACTTCAATGTCTGCTCTCTTCTCAGCTAGCAGCTTGACAATGGCCCTCGTTTTAGCTCTCGGATGCATGAGATAGTAGTGTTGCCCCATCTTCATCTTTCCCATCAGCTTGATTTTATCATCGTCAAGGAGTGTTTAAACGACTCCCTCGTCGCCTCCTATCGCGGCTCATGCACGAAGTAGGGTCTAATCTACCTCATCGTCGCCTAAATTCGCAGCCAAATGCAGTGCAGCGCTGTTCGCTTGTGGCGACCTCCTTGGCAAATGCTTTCGCAGAAAATGTCGTATGCCAATGACTTCTCTATAATATGCGCATGACCTTTCATGGCTGCCTCATGAAGTGGCGTCCGGCCGTCTTTGTTAGAGATGAGGGGTTAACCCTTGAATGCTGCATGATTATGTTTACGCGATGTTCATGAACTCGGCTAGCTATCCAATACAATTTAGCTCTCTCTATTGTATCTGTAGATTGATGTTTAGGGTAGCCTTTTTGCTGGACCTGTTGAATAGAGTCGATCGACGTTGTAAGCTATGCAGTCTTGTGTCAAATAAACGCTCGAGTTACAGCAAATTGACACAATGGGAGATGCTAAAAGCGGTGGAATCTTAAACATTGGTGTAAAAAAAAACGATATCTAGAAGCATGTTACGAATGTTTTCTATCCGATAATTTTAGCACATCACTCAATGCCACGGAATATTTAAAGAGAGGTAAGGGTCAGACCGCAGAGAGAATACCGCGTTAATCTCATTTTTTCTGTCAATTAAGAGGAAATGGATGGTAATAACTATTTTGTTCCCTAAGCTGATCTTAACTCACGCTGTCTTCGAGTTTCATATGGCGTGGGAAGTCCTTCGATTAATGAGTGAGAAACAAAAGCCTGTTGAGTGGCCTTGGTGGTTTCGGAATCCACCATCATCATGGCTACCCTGTTGTCGCCGGCATTGTAAGGACAAAGATTTGGAGAGCCAAGGTGTCAGGAGATGCTTGAAGAAAGAAAATTGGACTTTGGTGTACTGCTACTTTGCCAATATGAGCGGTTCTTTGTATTTCGCAGGGGCGAAACGGCTTGCTGTAACGGCTCAGCAACTGGCAGAGGACCCTTCATACATACATCCGGAGATCACAAAGGAAGCTATTGAAGACAAAAGCAAATAGGATTGGTTGGCCAAATCTCTTTGCCGGTCTTCAAATTTTACAACTCATCCTTTCCATTAGTACGCGGCATATTCAAGATGTACATCTTTGCAGCTTGGGACAATCACACTATGCTTTGTTGATCGCGGCGTGCTGATATGCTTTCACAAGCCTCAAAAAAATGGGCGGGCCATTGAGCTCAAAAATGACCTTGGAGACTTCCTGGACTTGGAGGGCCGTTTTGAAGGGTCACGATCGGAACTATTTGAGCCGCACGACGAAAGACAATTTGCTCAAAAGTTCCACCGTCTCGCCAATGCTGTGAATGGTCGGCGGGCCATGAAAATCGACGATGCAGCTCGGATCATCGCATGGCCCAGGGAGCGCTGCTGCCCCACGGAGTCGATAAGGGTGTTTTGTACGTGACCGGGTCTCTTTACTGTGCATCTCGGGCGATGTTACTGGCGGTTTGGTTCTCTAGCATCCGGAAGATACCTGGATGTGTTTATTTTGCGACGAATTGGACACGGTACCTGCCAAGGTTTGATGCGTTGGGTGGATGGCCACGGCTCCTCTCAATGTGAGGCCTCTCGCTCGCAGAAAACCTTTGGCATTCGACATATTCCGTAGGTTGACACAATATACCGCAAAACTGGTCCGTGCAAAGAAAATTTCCATTATAACGAAACCCAGATGCATAAATTCGGCTTCTGGTTTGCATATGGAACATATAACTAAAAGTACAGCTACTCGACAGCAGTACTCGAAAATAGTGCCAAAGTGCTAGATTTCGTTATGAGGCTAGTTGATGGCCAAATACAGAGAAAGCAAAGTTGTAAGAGAACAAAATGGCTACTGATCGATGCAAGCTCTCTGGCAAGCTGGAATATCTGGTATCAAGTCTTAGAAACCTCAGAAACGAGGGTAGATCTAATAATATGGTAGAGATCCATCGCTAATACCTCTACCAATCGAGCCAGGGCTATCAACGTCGTCGCAGGAACGAAAACCTTAACACTGAATCCAAGAACACGAAGACCGCGGTAAGAAGAATCCAATTTGACATGGATAGGTGGAGAATCGCACATGCTATTATTGGTGGTTGTTAGCTGCAGCCAGTGAATGAGATGGGTATATAACCGCGTCTTCACATACCGGAAACAATTACAAGCTATTGCGTCAGGACTGAATTTCACAGACCACACTTGATGAAGCCTATTTATAGTATCCTAAACTGTTTATAGTTAATGATGTGACTATGTTTATTGCTTACAATAGTGCCGGTCTGCAGAAGGGACTTTCTAGTATTATATTAGAGAGATGCGGTGAAGTGATGGATAGACGAAAAGAGGTTAATCAAAGGGCTGTTGAGAAACAAGTCGTAATATGCAGTAAGGTAGAGAGTAGTAATAGCAGTATTGAAGGAGTTTTATTTTGTCTGGGGGAATGCCTTCTGACCGAGGCTATACCTCGAGAGCTACGCTGCCAGATTATGGTTCTCCCTTGCCTCCACCTCTTTTCCCCCAACTCAGTTTAAAACAAGAGGATGAACCTTAACTGTACTAATATAGTAAGCTTAATTATATCGGACAAACCCTGGACATATGACCAGCCTTACTCGCCTCCCATTGAAGTCCAATAGAGTTATCTGGGATTACCTTCGCATGGGCGCATGGGTGATAATCCCGTCTATTTATATCCTAAATCTGGCAAAATTGACTGTCAACCAATTGTGTTAAATAACCGCGATGCATGCTTGGAGAAACTTGTTGTATTGACTAGAAAGCTACCGATGCAGCTGATCATTGAGCATGAAGAGCTGATGAACTTTGTGGTAATTTCTTAGGCATTGCTGATATATCGGAATCTAAATTAGTCTTGAAATCTTGCCAGCTTAAGACATCTTATTGAATCATGTAAATAATAAGCCGACACCTACGCGGTGCGAGTTGTATAAGATGGATATGTGTAGAAGGGGTCTTGATATGGATAGTGCCAGACGCTTCTTTCAGTCTCTACTATCTGCCATTTAAGTAATGTAGGATAATAAGATTGTAAATAATAAACATAATCTTGCAGAATGATTCTTTGATCACCGCCCCTTTTTATTTTCGCGCCTGCCCCCATCCTTATTATTCGTTGCGATAAAGCTACCATCTGGTTCTCCCTCTTCGACCATCAGCGGAACAGTCTGGTGACAGAAGAAAATCATCGAGGACGCTCCAATTTTCGGATTCGCGGCCTCGGTTTCAATTGCCGTAGACCAAATCCCCATGTTGAGCTCCAATCCAACGGCATTGTCAGTAGCACAGCGCACCAAGCGCATCATTTGGTGCCGTGCTTCTCCGCCAAATTCTTCAGTGAGCGCGGCTTTGTCTGGTGTCGCTAACGGAATCGCGGAACGATTGTTCTGTGCTACGAGAATTGTAGCGCCTATTATGCCGAGCAAGATGCCAGCCTTTCCAAAGACGAGACATAACAGACAGGCCAAGGCTCCGCTGGTGAGGCCAAGGAGCGCGCCTTCTTGAATACCGTGACGAATACCCTCAACAAGGCTCTTCGCCTCGGTCATTACCGTCTGAGTGCTTTGAGGGCCGTAATTAGGCAAGTCGGGTGCTGAAACGCCCTGTTGCAATGGTCGAGGCGATTTCCCAGATGGAGTGATGACTTTGTAAGAGAGGTCAAAGAACAAGCGACGCTTCTCCCGAATAGTGAAGCGAAGTTTGTAGTCCACGTCGAAGTAAAACCTTTTCTGAAACTTGGAGGGCTCCTGTGTACGGATACTGGTAATAGCATTCTGTAGCGTGGACCCGATGTACTTGTCGATGGTTTTTCGGTAGGACTGTTGGATTAGGTCTTGGCGGAGGATGTAAGTCACCCTTTCCGAGCCAAGGACATTACCAGCTACCCTCGTGGAGATTCCCCAGACTGTTGTGACGGCTATGAAGCAGATTTCCCCTGGTGGCGTGAGAGCAGAGATGGCGAAGAAAGACAAGATCACAACCGCTCCACCAATCACGGACGAGAGGATCATCGCCCTCCAGTTTCTCTTCTTTTCCACAGGGGTCGAGTTTTCATATGTGAAAGAGGCGGCTTGAGACATGTTTGAGCCCGTGATTTATCAATATCGAGTGTATAGTATGGTGGCGCGGTGTTGGGATGTAAGAGGGATCGAGGTGTGAAATGGGATCCAACGCAGCTGCCTGATTTTAGATACAGTGAGTGACCATAATCGTGCCCTACAGACAAATTACAAGGCTCGGTTCCCTGCCTAAGAAATATATTAAAAGGATGAGGGCATGCAACGCTTATTGGCTCAATATTTTCGGTACCGGACGTGTATACTGGTATCTGCGGCGAATGACGTCTACGCTGCGTGTAGGATGTCAGGCAACGACGCTGAAGAGCCAGTAAGCAGTGTGGAAGACTGCTGGATATTTTGTCATGCGGTATGAAGTATCAAATCACGAGTGTTTATCCCATCTGGGCACTGTTTACATCGAAATCTTCATGTAGAGAGTAGAGACGGACGTGTCAGGCAGCCAATGGCCTCACTCCATGACCCTCCCTCCAGCACTCCACCCACTCCGGTCCCCAGACCAGTGAAAAGAAGCTGAATCCAAACTCGTCCATTTCGTTGGGATCACACGCCTCCAGCGTTGCACGGCTGCCCAAGTACGGCAGAAACAAGGGGTCTTCGGTCCGGCAGATGGTCGCCCACTGAGACGAAGTCGACGCGAGCCACAGGGATCGACGCGCGGTAAACTGAATGCCGCCAGCACATTCACACCAGCCGTCCTTCATTGTGCGGTAGGCCGAGATGGTGGCCATGACGGCGAGCCACGTCCGGCGGATGCTCTCGGACAAGATCCAGAGCCTCCAGAGTCGAGGGGTGGAATTACTGCTGCTGGAGTCGTTTTGTTGGTTGTTTTCATTCACGATAAAGTCTGGTGTGGCTTGAGAGGTTGTGATGCTATCCAAGGTTGCCGAATCCCACATCTGCTGACACCACGAGAGCAGCGTTGGTATGGATTCTTCGGCGCGAGTCTGCTGCCAGACGCCCTTGTCGAAGAGGCGGAGGATCTGGTATATGAGCAATGCCTGAACGCGTGCTAGATGCTGGGAGGTGTCGAGTACAGGCACCGTTACTGACATGAGATTGCTGCTCCCCACTTCGATCCAGTTGTTCTTGATGAGCGAGTTTGCTCGGTCCTGGATAATGCGAGCAGTCAAGTCTTGGTTGTTGGTATTACATGACTGTTGGATGCTGATGGACGAGAATGCGTCCTGCATACACGATGGGAAGAAGCCATCGGCGTACAGTTGGCGGTGTATAAAAGGGCATTGGCCGTCATGGATCCATTGAACGAGCCAGTTCTGCAGCCGTCGGACAAAGGTTCTGAAGACGGGTATGGGTATTTGGGGAGCTCTGGGGTTGGCCCTTTCAATGTTCCATGTTTCAGGGGTCATGAACCATAGCTTTGAGGAGGCAGAGGCGGATAGACTCGAGACATGGGTGTTGAGGAAGTAAACGTGGCCTGGATACAACAATCACGTTTGAGAGCTTGATGTTAGACAACCGACCACTCAAAATACCATGATAGACTGAGTCGTAATAAAACATAGGTAACATAGATTCAAACTACTTGCCTGGAATCTCACTTGGTTCATCTGATGGACTTGATTTGGCAACGGCGCGTCGGATCAAGACGGCATAGCGGCAGTCCAAGCCCTTGTCCTCACAGCGTCGACAGAACGGCCGAGCTTTGTCACACTTGCGCTTCGCAGCAATACAGGCAGCGCATGACTTTTGTCTCTTTTGAGCGACCATGACGTATAAGGAAGCCAGGAATAGAAGAAACAGCTGTGGATGCGAGTTGATGACTTGGAAGAGCCGGAGATGCAACCCGGGCTTAAGATGACTGCGGCAAACAAACTAGCGGAGCTAACGGTGGAAATGAGGCGGGAGGCGGACAGTGTTGGTGGAGATGAAGCGGCAATTGCAGCCAATAATGCTTGAAGAGATGACCGAAAGACGGTAGTACAGTTGACGGATGGGGGAGAGAGGTGGAAACGGAGCGGAAGAAGCAGAGGCAGCGTTTGTAAGCTGGCGATGCCTTTGAGACTGGAGATGGTTGTTGTGTCTTGATGATGGACACGGTTGAGAGAGACTATAAAAGGATGCCGAGATCGCACTGCTTCACCATGGAATTATTACACACTGCACCACAGATTTGTATCAAATAACCACAACGCTCTACAACACGCAATTCACCAAAATGGCTCCCACCCGATCCCAGCTCATCGACACGGCAAACGCCTTCATCGCCGCCTACAACCAATGGACCGTCTCCGGCGTTCTCTCCATACGAAGCGCCTCATGCACGCACCGCGTCCTCCCCGGGAATCAACCGGCCAGAACCAAGGCTGAGTTTGGAGAGTTTCTCGAGCGCACGATTCCCGCCATCCGCAACTTTCGCCTACACGCCGTGGACACGTCGCCATGGATTGTGGATGTCGAGATGAGGAGAGTCACGATGCACTTGAAGAGCACGGGGGAGTCGGATCTGGGGGCGTACAATAACGAGTACATTTTTGTGATTACCGTCAGTGAGGATGGGGAAAAGGTGGATGAGATTCTGGAGTTTTTGGACAGTTTGTATTCGTCGGAGTTTGTGAGCAACTTGGCTAAGAAAACGGGAACGGCATTGGGATAGATGAGACTGTGGAGTTTCTAGGGTGTTGAGTTCAGTGTTAATTATTCCAGTCGTTATGGGTACCGGGTAGTTGTGAATGTGAATTGCTGGCTGGCATAAAGAATTCGCAAATGCTGTGCAGTATAGCTTGCGACTGAAGGCAAGATGTCGCATCAACTTCAAGTCACGACATTATTCAATGGTCATAAATCATGAGATGCGAGAGAAATTGCACAACGTAACTTGGCCTATTTATTTGTTTGAGCACGGAGCACGTGCTTTGAATGCCAAAGAGCGAAGAAAATGTGAGCCTGAAATGTGAGCCACCAAGGCTGCGAGATTCACCCCATCCTCACTTCACCTTTAACTCACCTGTGCCTACACTCTGCACTCTGCACTCTCTTCACTTCAACAACCACAAGCATAGCTTCAAGATTCAACCAACACGATGCACAACCTTCACTCCAACCACAGCCGCATCAAGCAGCGACTCGATTGCTTTCCGCACCAACGCAACTCTCCGGCTCTCACCCATCTCAAGTCTCTCGCCGCTCCCTGTCGATACCCATGGAGGTTCTCAACGCCGAACCAATAGACCTTTGCGTGGAGGTTCCGCCGACAGGATATGTCGTGGATATGCCCTCGTTAGAGGGAGAAGGCGATCAACCATTTGCTTGCCCGCATTCGAGCTGTGATGGCTTCACCTTCGAAACGATAGAGGAATGCCGCATCCACGAGGATGATTGGCACAACCCTCCCTATTTCTGCTCCGAGTGCGACTCAGCTTTTGCTGCGAGACCGGCTTTGAAGAGACACTTCAAGGCCAGCGGACACTTTAATTGGATCTGCCTCGAGGATAAATGCGACAAGAAAGGCACCTTATTTGCAAATCAATCCGAGTTTGTGGTTCACGCTTTGAATGCGGCAGGCCATGAACATCTTTTCCTAGAAGAACCTCTTAGCAGCCCCGTTTCCGTCAAAAAGATCAACTATGCTGAGGTTGTAAACCTCATGGAAGGAGAGACGACGGAAGAATGCCCGTCGGAAGAAGAGGGCGAGATGTGCCTGGAGCCATCTTGCCGCCGATACCAGCAAGTATTCCACACTGAGAGCGAATTTACCCGACACAAAGAATCGCACAACCACGTGAACGCCATCAAGTACTCCGAGTTCCTTCGAGAATCTGGAAAGTCAATCACCGACATCATGGCTGAGCAAGAAGCTGCTAGAGAGTTCCGGTGCACTGCCGAGGGCTGTCCCAAATACGGAGAGAGGCTCAAGACAACTCAGAGCTACCATAATCATATTGGGACTGAGCAACATCTGCACCCTCGATCACCATCTGACCCGACTTCTCCGACGTCCGAGATTCGACTCAAGTTTGCTCAAATCAGTCTTGCGTGCGATGAGCCCGAGTGCCCCAAGTTCCAGCACTCTTTCCTCAACAGGGGAAACCACACGAAGCATACAAAGTCCGTTGCACATTGTAAGGCGGTAGAGTATGGAAGTTGGAAGAGATCTTTTGGCAGCTCTAGCACTGGAGATGAGGAGAACACCAAGATACAGACTCCTGAGAAACAGAAGCCAGCTGCTACAGCGCCGCCGCCGTCGACTCCTCACATTTGGACCCGAAGTCTGTTTACTCCCATCAGTCCGGCGGCTACCGACTCTACATATGCCCAGCTTACTCAATTCGTCACCCCTACGAAGCGGCCGGTTCAAGACATTGCCCTCATGACGCCGCCATCGTGGAGGGAAGAGAACTTGAGAAAGAGGAATCGTGAATTGGAGGATGAGCTCGAGCGCATGAAAGAGAAAATGGACAGGATGAGATCTGCTTACCAAGAGCAAATAAGCTCATTGTTCCAGACCCTCGGAGAAACTCAAGACCGCAACCGGCGATGAAGTTGTGGGATTTTTTGCGTATGGGCTGGAGACGGAGAGGACGGGTTGATCTGTAAAGGGAGCTGTTTGTCTTTGACTGAACGACCGTGCTGGATGACAAGATGACGGTATAAGCATTTCTGACTGGTGGATTTTATCCACAGGATCTTGTACAATAGGGATTTTAGGCAAGAAGCGGTTTAACGTGGGATGTGAGCAAGGAGATGCGCGTCGAGTTGCCGGATTGGGTGTTTGACGCAGGTTCACGGCGCTGCCTGTGTAGCTGCTTTGCTTCTCATTGATTCGAGACTGATGATGATGGATAGAAATCCTTTATGATTGGAATTGACCTGTTGATGTCCAAGTCTCAATGCATTACGAGTAACCACGTAAATCTCTACCGTTTGTGGCATTCACTGCCACATCATCATTGCCTTGTATTACACGCTGCGTACCTGTAGTCAGCCGAGCGAATGCAGCCACGCGCACCCATTGCCTAACTTGTAAACTGAAGTAATTCACCGATGGTCTCGTACGAGTTCTACTGCCATTGACCGACGCGGCGAAAAGCCCGGGATAATCGCAATCGGCAAAGTCGTGCAATAGCATATTCAAAATGGCTCAGGAGTCAGGACGGTTGTTCAAGCCGGCAACTCAATCCGAAAAAAGGGCTGACGGTCGTGCTGCCCTCGGATTATACGAGCATCGCACCGTCAACTCCGAAAAAAGAACTTTGCGTATTTCCACGGCCAATGGCCTTGTAATTCACGCTCATCACCGGGATTACGCGGGCATTAGCTGGTCTTACATACAATCTACACACAACACGCTCCATCCTTGGATACTCCATAATACTCTATTTCGATGCGCAACTGAGCTTGAGCTTCTCCCTACTTGGTAATTTCCTTTTGCCGTCCATGCTGGCGGGGCCGTAGAGACCCCAAAACCTCGTCAAAAAAAATAGCTGCAGCTTCTCCGTCGTCCCACCGCAACGCCAGACTTTAGGTTCTCACCGGCGTTTACAAACGGGCAATAATGGTCGACGTGCCTCCTCCCTATAGAGCAGGTAAGTAATATGTGTACGAGCATACGAGCAGCCTCTGCTGTTTCTTCCACCAATCACCAAGGCTCAGCTACTCGTGTCCCAAAGCAGAACTATCGCCCAGCGACGTTTCTCCAAAGGCTGTGCGAAAACAGAACGGCTCGACGGCACTATACCAAGCCAAACGACGCTAGCCTTGCCAGGGGCTCAGCTTAAAGACCTTCCCAACTGGTCGTGCTCAAACGACGGTACTAGAAGCCTCGCCGTTGTCATAGGTGGAAGATTCCATCAGCTCCGCTGGTTCGATGGAATGGGATTCATCAGGGCATCCATGCTGTTGTCTTGCGTACTCGTACTTGTACATACTTGTACAGCTAGGCATGGGCACACTGACTGACGTCGACCCATCGACACAACAAACAGTACTTGTATATAAGACGGCCCGGATCGACAGCTGATCATGTCGTCTTGCTCCTGCTCTCTCTCACAGGCAACTTCAACTTCAACTTCAACTCTCAATCAATTGACAAAGCCTTTCACCAATTAACTCCATACCACCGTCACGATGCTCGTCAAGTCCGTCCTCGCCACTCTCTCGGCTGCCACCGCCGTCTTTGCTGCCACTCCCCTCGAGAGCGGCAACTGGGTTCCCACCAGCCCTGGCTACTCGACCCAGACCTGTGCCGGCGGCAGCGCCAGCGGCAGCACCTTTTCCATCCCCTCGAACCCCAACGGAAGCACCAGTGGCTCCGGCTGCTCCAACGGCCACCTCCGCGCCGAGCGTCGCTACAACGACGACTACACCACCGGCGTCCACCAGTTCGCCGGCACCTTCAAGATCAACTCCCTGGGCGGCAGCCGTATCGCCATCAAGCAGACCTTCAACGGAAACACCGGCCCCTACTTCATCCTGGCTGTCGACAACGGCGGCCGCCTGTACAGCGTCGAGGGCGGTGCTACTCTGGCTACCGGCGTTGCCAACGTCGGCAAGAGCGTCACCATCAACACTGTCCACAACGCCGACATCCACAGCTACCGCGTCTATGTCAACGGCGCCTTGGCTTTCCGTGACGACAATGCTCCTGGCGGAAGCTTCTATGACAAGTTTGGTGCTTACACCACTGACAGCGGTGTTGGCCCCATGAGCATCACTTGGTCTGATGTTGCTTTCTGGACCCGCCAGTAAGCGATTCATCAAGAAGGGATGAGTTGTTGGAAAGGGTTAATGTCTTTGACGGAGAGATTTTTCGTTGTATATTTGTTGGAGGATCTGTATATGCGCTCCTGACTTGAGCGGAATCATGTTTATAGCTCCATATGCTTATTCTGTACATAATCGGCTTCATGACTTGGCGGACGATGAATTATTTTCTGTCTACTCCGTACACGGTTCGCCATCTGCGTGATGTGATAAAATTGGATCTTATCTGCATCCATAAAGGTGTTTCTAACGTAAACAACTCGTGGTCAGGGGGTCACTCGGCCGGTGACTCCGTACGCCAAGTGGACACTCTTCGGAGGAACTAGTCATGAGAATGGAGAGCTGGAAACAGCTATTCTGGAAACATGTATGACTAGCCCGCTCTTTAGGTTCTGACAGTTATACCCATTAAGGCAGTACAGACGTTCTCTTGGCTTGATGCACTAGCAAGGGTGAGTTTAGCTCTTTGGTTGAGCTGTAAACGTCGTGATTGGAATATGTCGTTGCCTGAAACATTTGCCGAAAGAGCTGGGGCTATGCTGGGCAGTATCAGGCATTAATTGTACCATTATCGAGCTCAAGATTTGTCAGGATTGCACTAGTCGGATGAAGACGCCATAAAGTACAGAATTGTTCATTTAGTTTAAGTAGTCTTGTTCTCGAAAATCCCGCCAAAGTTGGTACTAATCTCATAAACCTCTCTTGGGTTCAAACGCTGCGATAGGGGGTTATAGAGAAACGTTGTATTAGATCCAAAGTACTAAAATTGATATCCAGCGGTTGGATTTAATCTGGACTATGGACCTGGATCAACTTGAAGCCATTATTGGATTGTGGTCTTGGTCCATTATTTCAGACCAACGCACGGAAGAAGTATCCTTCGGACTCAGAACATCGACTGCAGGAGATAAACTAATGTAGTGGGTTATAACTGCCCGAACGGAAATTGAAATAGAACAATCACGGAGAGAAGTCCAATTCTGGATCGAGAGACCCAAAATACCATTATCAAGATTGAGTATCAAGAGACTTTCATTATTAGATGATTTGAAGACGGATGGAACGACGACATTGGAGCAAGATGAACAGATGTTGGCTCATGAAATTGATCTATCTACATCATTATCTATTTCAAATCCATATCATAGGTTATTTGGTTTGCACAGCATTGATATTCGCAATGGACTCCCCGCTATTGCTGCGACCAGGCTTGAGTTGAAGCACATTCCTATGTTCTGTTCTCAAGACAATTGCCAATCTTTCCTACGCACCATTTCGGTTTATTTAGACTTTGAAAGAAAAACGATGGTAGTTACCGGTAATACTATGCGCTTGGAGCAAGAACTTGTGACCAAACTCATCGACTGCACGTGTCAATGATGGCTCTCAGGATTGGACCACCACTCGCTTGAGAGGACATAAAATCATCGATAGCTATTGAATGAACTCTAAGAACTGGGCACAATGCAAAAGATGGTCGAAGCCGCAGCTACAAAATGTATGAAAGGATCGGAGACCATGTCAATACTTTTCGATCGATATGAATCTCAGATTCGACTTACAGAAGATTTGGTCAAAGCCGCAGCTACTGACAAAGGGGAAGCTTGGGACATACGACAAAGCCGAGACACTATAGAACTCCTCCCTGAACGACAGGGAGATCCGGACCCAACAGTTCAAGAAATGTTGAGCAAATAGGAAAGATGGATGTAATTATTTATTGAACTATCTGTCGCAGGTTCTTAGCTCCAAATGCATATTTCCATGACGCACCCATCCAGGCCATCGGTGAAGTGAAGTGTTGGGTGGTACTTGTCGGTCAGCCACGAGGATTAGAGCACAAGAGGTGATAATGAGATAAATATATGTATATAATAGTCCGTACTTCCATTATGTTATAACTACCCCCGTCTTAATTCTTTGCTTCAACATGGCTCAACAAGCTAGCAAACAAGGTTGTAATCTTTTCGTCCGCTCCATCTTTCTTCCAAGTCTCTTCCATCAGCTTCTCCCCCTCTCCCGGTTCTCCTTTAACAATTTTGAGTGCCACAGTCGGTTCAACGGTAACCAATCGTAATCCGGTCAGGATTTCGCGTAGATGAGGTTCAGCTTTAACACCACCTCTAAATCCATATGTCACAATCGCAGCAGGCTTCCCATTCCACTCATGAAACACGTAGTCCAAAGCATTCTTCAAGCTCGCCGGGATAGACCAGTTATACTGCGGCGTAACAAAGATGAATCCGTCATATTTGCGAACAAGAGCAGACCAAGCGCGGGTGTGTTCGTAATGATAATGAGGCGTGGGATCATCGGCCGGAACCTCTCCTGGAACTAGAGGTTCGTTGAAGAGAGGAAGATTGACTGTTTCCAAATCGAGCAATTCCACCTTTGCTGTAGTTTGGGGAATGGAGTTGATGACAGAGGCGACATAACCAGCAACGAAAGGGTTGATGCGCCGAGGGCGAGTACTGCTGATGACAATAGCGATAGACTTAGCAACGGCCATGGTGACTGTTCAGCTGAATGAAGAGAGAAAAGAGTTTCGACTCAGAGCAATTTTCTAAAGGCTCTGCTCAGTAAAACATACCAGAACTAGAAGGCTATCGGCAACAGGAGCTTAAATATCATTGGATGAATGACTTACAAAAGGCCAGCCGCCGCTTACTAAAGCGAGTTTCGTGGTGACTGGACAGTTTGGCTCGGCGGTCTTTTGCTCGGCCTTCGCGTATTGCCTAGTGGCCGCTGCCTGATAGCGGCTATTGCGGACCGCAGGATGAAAAATCTCGAAGTTGTGCTCTATCCGAAGATATTCATGGAGTGAAATGCGCAATTACTCACTTGGACTAACGATTCAACATGAAGATTCATATTATCAACATTTTTCTATAATTATGAGTTATGCTTGCATGCAGGTCAAGTATTCAATACTAATAGCTTTCGGCAGTTGGCGTGAGCACTTTACAACTAACACAACTGCCGATCGCTGACAAGGACCTCTAGTATAACCCTTCATAGCGTCAACATTCTAAATCGTTTTAATCCCTCTTATAACACATCTCAGACAACAAGTCTTCTGGCATTCCTACTTACGCCAGCCCCAGCGGACCATGGCGGGAACACTGTCAACGCAAGAGCTAAGCCAGCTATCTCCACTCGAGTGGGTGATGCCGCGGTCATTCATTAGCCAAATCCTCTGCTTTCCATCAACAAATCCTCGAATATACGAAGTCCTCCGAGATGGCCTCGCGGGTACTTTGGCAGACGTTCCATATCTCGCCTCTAGGATAGTGGCCAGGACCCATCCCAAAGGTTCCGTTGCGTTGAGCGCACCATGTGACTCATTGGGAGATTTATTTCGTGTCAACGATTTCTCCACGATGGTCGACTACAACGACCTGAAGGCGGGAGGTTTTCGACCTTTGTTGTTCGATGGGCTGGATCTATTTTCTGCTGACCTCAACGCCGCGAAAACGTCGCCCAGTCCCGTCTTTCGCGCCGTCTTATCTGTGGTGAAGGGAGGTTGTCTGCTTAGTGTCAGTCTGAATCACTCAACAGCCGACATTACCGCTTTTGGCTCGCTGTTGAAGATATGGGCGTCACATTGCAGGACTGGTTCTTCTGAAGACGTTCAGTTTAGTCAACTCTGGTTGGATCGCACGGCAATTGTCAACAGCTCTCATCATGCGCCAACTGATGTGCCGCTTCTCCTTCACACAGAAGACAGTAGCCTGTCCAGCCAGCCATCAAAGCCTGTGGAGATTGAAACAACTTTTTTCAGATACTCTGCAGAATCTTTAAAAGGTTTAAAGGCCGAAGTTAGCAAACACTTGCCTGATGGGACCTCTTGGGTATCAACCAGCGACATATTAACCGCTCTCCTTTGGGGTTCTGCTATTTATTCTGAATCTTCGGATGATGGGGGTGATACTGCCAACGATGTTTGCTCTATGCGTATTGCCATTAACTGTCGCGGTCGTTACAACCCACCTTTGCCTAAGAACTACCTTGGGGCCGCTTTTGGAGTGTCGCTGGTGACCGCTAAGAAAGTCGATCTCATGGATATAGGAAGATCAAGTGGAGAGACGTATTCTATATCAGCAATCGCAAACGTTGCAGCTGCCGTTCGCCAAAGCGTCAATATTATTGATGAAGACAAGATGATTACCATCATTAATCATCTATATAGCCAAGAGGATGTCACTGGCCTCAAACTCTGCGAACGGCCCGCAAGCGTCTCCATTGTCTCTTGGGCTGATGAAGGTGTTTATGAGCTTGACTGGGGTAATGAACTAGGACACTGCGAAACTGTAAGACTACCAACTTTCAAGACCAAGCGGTATCCGGTTGTATTTCCTAGACTTCCCAACGGCGATCTTGAGGTTCTTGTCAGTTTTGACCAAGAGTTGTTGAATAGATGGAAGAAAGTATACAGTGCAAACCCATGGAAGGCATAGAAAGATAGACTACGGAAGCTTCTGAGCTCTTGTTTCATGTGAATAATGAGAATACTAGAGCATAGATATGATTCAAAGTGTTAGATAAGAAAGCAGCTATTAAATTAAAACTACCATTATATCATGTACACAGAACCAAAACGACACCATTCATAGCCTGATAATAGATCACCAATGACGTTTTAATCTTCAGAAAACCTTTGTGCAACACGCCCGTTATTATCTTGTCTCTCCATAGACTCGATAATGCCGTCAATTGCAGGGTTCAGGTCAGCCAACTTGATAGTCCTTGCCGATGGCCTCCATCCAAATTCCGTGGGAAATCTTTCTTGTTCAAACCATGTTTGGATACGATCCTTAGGGCCCTGGTATGCCGATACAGGAGGGTTAGACTCCGCATTAGGACTGTGGTCCGACATCATGACAAGGACCATTGCGGCTTCAAAGAGCGCCGCATTCATCTGGTTTTTGGAAAGCTCGTTTGGTATTGACTCTGATTCCACACGCAGTCGGCTTTTGGCGATAGAATCAACGTTGATGAATGATGTAGGGCTGTCAGCCATGAGACGCTCAATTCGGAGCAAATTTGGCTCCAATTGAGGATTATGAGATGTATAATCATCTCGGGTGAGGGACGCAATGTGCTGCAGTATGTCTGGTGTGTTGAGGTCATCAAGGTCAAAGGTATCATTGCCCCATGCTTTGGCAAAGCTCTTGGCGGCCGCTGCGAATCCTACTTCGATATTGAGGAAGTTTGTGAAGGCGTTTTCTATCTGCGAAGGCGAGATTTGGCGGCCGCTATGAGGACTTTGAGACAGCCAGTTAGTAATTGGATCACACTTTCGTCGAATAATAGAGAGCCTTACATATAGCCATGGTTTGCCAAAGTATTCAGCATTGGGCACGGCCCTCGCGAATCGTCTGGTCCAGGAGCCATCCACGGCTGAACTTGCACACTGGCATATGCAGCCGTAGCAAAAACTGCCAACGAGAAAACATTGGACAAAAGCATCGTGGCAATTATAGATATAGATATTATACGAGACGGTATTAGTGACGGTTTGTATGAGAATGAATATATCCAAATTCGAGCGGGAGATCGTCCTCTTTAAGCTTCTATTAGAACTCAACAATAATATCGAAAGCAAAACACTACCACTGCCAGTGCCAGGAGATCATATGTCTCTCGGTCTCTTTGCAGCCCGCGGCAAAGTCGGCCCTCCGTCTAAGACATCTCGTATGAAGGACGCAATTTACTTTTCTCTACGTCTCCACACGCTCAAATCTCAAGGGTATAGGTGCAGTAGCGCGGTCTGCGCGGTCCAGGCACCTGTATAACCAATGCCGTTGCTTTGCAGAGTCTGAGATTGTCTTTCCTTCTCCTCTGCAGTTGGGCTGATTCGCCTTTTACCGATCTGAGTGGCCCACCCAGAGATTCGGGATTCTGAATTTGTCATTCTGCGGGCCGTGATTGATCCCTCAGCCGTTGTGTCTAAGGCGGCATCTATCATGTACGTGCTGATGATTTGGAATTCAAGAGAGAGATGAGAGGAGGTAAGACTGGACCAATAGGATGAATAAGGAGGTCTCAATATAATATGAAAGTGTATACTAGACCCTGAGAGTTGCTCAACCCATGGTGATGGACTACTTTGTAATTCTCCGGATGTAGCCAGTAAGATCAGCGGTAATAATTGGCCGTATCTGGATCCTTTTGATCTTGGCACATCTGCAAAGCGAATTATCCCATCTCAAAGGTGGATCGATCGTCCCCAGCCTCGCCTGAGCTGTCGTATGAGATTATCCCAATTACGATTCTGGGGGTAGCATCACCGGGGTTGTTAGCACTGGCCCCCATGAGGATCGCTTTAGCTCTGAACGAGTGGATTTCTTTAGCTCTCGTGATGTCTATTGCGGTCCAAAGGCGCCAGCAGATCACAGAAAATCGGCATCGGAGATCAGGGACCTGACCCCAAGGGTCATTCGGAGCAGATGTGCCGCTGATTAGTGCAAGCTAAAACATTAGGGGGCTGGAAGTCAACCAGTCTTGGTCTGAGAAACGGCCGCCAAGGGTATGAGCAAGTCAATAACAAGTCCGTAGACCAAGACGGCAACCTACGCAGTGATGCCGGGTTTAAAAATAGCTTCAAGCATGATCTCAGCTACAATATTGTACGTTGGTTGACCCTGAATTGCAACGTCGACTCCACAATAGGATTCTGTATTCCGTGTTCCACTCGTAACTCCATCAATCAGCTCTCCATTCATTGCCCCGAGCGCGGGAGACATGATGCGGCTAAGCAGCGGATGATCATTTGAACACATTTCTATCCCTGATTATCCCCAGTTCGGACGCAATCCCTCGCGAAGAGATAGGATCGACGTATAGGATACGATCCGAAATGCGAGCCGTGTTACCCCCCTGCAGATGTATCGCTCTAGCTCTCGCTTACCGAAGGGATTAACAAGGGCTACAAGGTTTCTGAGCTAATAACGGGATTTCAGGGATGGTTGACACATTGTTTTTCCTTTGGCTTGGTTTGAGGAAGAAACAAACTCTATTCTAAGAGGGCTATCCGTTGCCGTGGGAGGTTTTTTTTGCTTGTCTTTGATGTATGAGGGGCTTTGTAGGCAGCAAATCTGACGAGCTTGCAAGTGTAAAAGACCAATTGTGTTGGCTGATAGAGGTAGGAGAGGGCAGTTCGCTTAGCAGCGTAACTCTCCGTATTTTCAAACAAATTTATAATGCCGAGGGCACGATGTCACCTCCGGACCTCAAGGGGGAAAGAGTCGCGTAGATTCAGCTCTTGAGTCGTATCCTCTCGAATCGCGTCACTCTAGCCCCCACAAAGCTGGAAATAACATGTCTTAAGTTTTGGCGATCGGTAAGTGTCTCAGTTGCGATAGCAAATTCTTTCTCACCCCAGGATTTGGGTCAGCCACTGTTCCCACATCAGAATCTAAAAACGGTGAATCGTAAGGAAGGCTGGCTACGGGCCATGGGCCGTTGACGAGACAGCGACCTGGGCCGAGCCGGTGAATAGCGTTAATGTTGATCCCCTTTATGAGATGTACGGATCTTGGATTTTGTACGCGGAACTAGGGCGCTATTTGCGCACTTTGACTTGGAAAGGGCAAAAGGGTAGATCTCCAGGTACTCGCGGCTGAGACTGATGTTAATTTGGTTGTTGATTTGTCCACATTTAGAGCAGATATCGTAGTGACAGGCTATAACAGTATAGAATTAAAGACGATTTCCTGTGGCATAGCTAGATTGGTTCCTGTAACATTAGTGTTGGCATAGAGTTGGCCATAGTGGTTGTGTATTTCACCACTCAGATCAAATTGTGAGACGAGAGGGCCTCTAAGACATATTACTGGCTTGCTATCTCGACAAATCCCCATGCGTATGGAAGTATTCCAAATCCAATACGAGCTATTTGTCTAATTGGGGAAGACTTATTCCGTAATGAGATGCATTAATGTTCTTGAAAGGTCATTCCCAGCAAGATGTTGGCTCTCATAGCAGAATGTGGCCACCAATGCACCAATAGATTAATCTATCCACCCTAGGCAGTTGATTATTCGCACTAGCTTGCTAATTACGATACACAGCTAATAGTGACGTTAAATGGATGTAAATACATTTGCGATACAACAAAGGCGAAGCTGTTATGCTGAGAACAAGTCTGCAGATGCCGGGTACACGCATACAAGTAGATGCTGGATGCAAGCCGTAGATGGTCAGCGCTATCGGAGCTCCGGAGGCTCCACAAGAGTCGATTTTCAAGTAGAAGCAATGATTTAATGAGAACAAACAGAAATATATAAAGAGATGCACATTGTCTAGAGTCTCTAATCGGTCTGATGTTAACCGGATTCGACACCGTCGAGATGCCCAATCCAGACCGCCGGATAATGTGAGCGCTCCATCTCCTGCAGGTCAGCGGCTGGCACGTGCGACCATCAACTCCAACAAGTGGCTCGCAGATCGTTGGCGCTTCCGAAATACCGAACACTTACAGCAGTCGAGGGGGATTTTTGTCAAGGCTCGGCGAGGAGACGTGCGATTTCGAAGCAGAAACAGGTGCTGACGAGGCTGCTGATTTCATCGATAAACGCCTAGAAGCATTCCAGCTAACGTGCTTCGAGAATAGGTGGCTGCAGCTGAAATAAACCCATCCGTTGCTGTTCCTGTATCGTCACCGTCAATCTACAATTTACCCGTGCTGGTTCGGGCGTGTTCCTGCATGCGATGAAGCTCAAGCACAGCCACGTGGTCGCGGTGCCGTTGCAGGCCCTCGGAGTTATATCTTCGGACGTGTCCCAGGAAGTCCTCCAAGGTAACATCAAACCCAGCCAGGCCTCACTCACTGTCCGTTCAGTCCATCGCCATCATGCTGACTCGCGCCATGGCAGCGGGCGTCTTGGCCCAGGGCTTCGCTGTTGCCGGATCCCATCTGTCGCCTATCGACACTTTCTATCCCTCGGGGCTCAATGACACGTCCTACATCACCAACAGCGCGCTGGGGACGTATGGAGGCATCTACAGCGCTCCCGCCAACAGGGCCTCGCAGGGCTCTCCGTTTGGCGTCTACGACTACTGCTCCATGCCTCACCCGCGTGTCAACGAGTATGAGCTGCCCAATGACCGTCACGCCAAGCTGGTGTATCTGGAGTATCTCCAGCGACACCAGAGGCGCACCATGTACAACCTGGCCCCAGGTGGAGAGGTAAGAGATGATGTGTGCTGTGCTGTAGTTGAACTGCGGTGATGTCGGCCTGCTAACACACACAACTACCTCGTGATAGAATCAACCATTTGACTGCTCCAGCTTTGAAGCCTTCCTATATGGCGGCCAAGTACGCGGCACCACTGGCATGCAGGTCTTTGCCGACGTCTACACGGACCCGAGCAACCCGTTTGTGGACGCTCTGCCGTACATCAACTCGACCTGCTTCTTCCCTCAGCTGACCACTGGCGGGTTTCTTGATGGCATCCAGCACGGCAAGGACCTCTGGGCTCTGTATGGCGGGAAGCTTGGCCTGATCCCATCCAGTCCCAACGACAAAGTCTGGCTGCGATCCAGCTCTGCGGCTCTCACTCAGCAGAGCGCTGGAGGCGTCCTGCGCGGTCTCTGGCCGCACTACTCTGGCGCAGTGCCTCTTCACCAGCAGCCCGGTCCCGACACCGTCAACAACGGCTACGGCTGCAATGCTAGAAACTCCATTCTGTCGTCCATTCAGTCCACTGCCGAATGGAACCAGCATCTCAGCGTGACAGCTGACCTTAGGCGGTCGCTGGGAGACATCCTCGGTGCCACCAGTAGTGCGTGGCAGAACACCTTTGACCACTTCTCCGATAACTTCCAGGCTCGCCTCTGCAACGGATACGAGCTTCCCTGCAGCTTCACCGACTCCTCCAAGTGCGTGTCCAAGATCCAGGCCGAGGAAGTCTTCCGTGCTGGCGACTGGGAGTGGAACTACTACTGGCGCGACAACCCTCAGGCAGTCAAGTACATCCAGGCCACCGAAGGTCTCTTCATTCGTGAGATTGTCAACCGCCTCGAGGCCGTCTTGGGCAAGAAGCAAAAGTACCTCTACGCACACACTTTCATCCACGACGGCGATATTGGTCCCGTCTTGGGTGCTCTGGGAATCAACCAGCTGAGATGGCCTGCCATGGGCTCCAACGTTGCCATCGAGGTTTGGGAGACGACTGAAGAGTCCAAGAAGGCTTATTACGCTCGCGTTCTTTACTCTGGCCACACGCTGCAGAGCATTCACGGCAGCCTCGATTGGATCCCGCTGACCCAGCTGATTGACATTCTTCAGGTGTATGTGCCGGAGGACATTATCGCTCTTTGCAACTCGTAGAGGAATAGACGCTGTCTTACTTAGCTGCTTCAATAATATATATCAATAAACAGGCTAATATTTCCATTACCTTTGATTCCTACATTCACCGACATTAGTCGACAAAAATCCCCAGCGGAATACTTGCAGACACGGTGTAAATGCCAATCCCAATCTCATGCATCATCTTGAGATTGCCGACAATACTAAACAGCATGTAACCCTCCACCTGCGTCAGTCCCTTTTCTTCTTCCAGCCACCTCATCATTTCCCTCACGGCCTGCTTAACAACCGTGTCGCGATCGGTGCCCGTCATGAGTGCACCGTGTTCTCCCTTGCTGGCAACGCTCACCATCTGTTTCACCCTCTCAGGATCTGTCTCATAGTGAGGGCCAGCCAGCTTCCCTTTGCCCTTGACAACACTCAATCGCATTCGTGAGCGCATAGTCGTCTCCAACGCTGTGCAGCATATTTCGCCATCTCCTTGGCAGAAATGCCCATCCCCAACAGCGAATAAGGCTCCAGGAACGTTGACAGGGAGAAACAACGTTGAACCCTGGCCCAGGTAGCGGCAGTCAAAGTTTCCGCCAATGTCGTTGCGCGGATACAGAGCAGACTGCTCGCCTTCAGCTGGGGCCACGCCCATGGTGCCGTAAAATGGTTGGCATGGGATATGAATGCCAGGCTTGAATACTGCGTAATCTTGGCTTTCGGGAAGATCAAAGGTCATGATATGCGGTCCAGGTATTTCGTCCTGCAACAGACCCATTCCGGGGATGACAGCAGTCCATCCCCAACTGCCAGTCTGCAATTCGAGAATCTCAACTTTGAGAATGTCGCCGGGCTCGGCGCCATTTACGTATACTGGGCCATTCACATAGAGCTGTCCTATGAGCTTCTCCATGTCTTTTGGGGATTGTATATCCATTGCAACGGCATCGGCTGTGGTTGAGTCTCTGGTGAGGTTCACGAATCCAGCATGGGTATTATCAAAGCTCACTTCAGCACCTGAATCGACTGTGAAGGATGGCTTGTGTTCCTTTGAAAAGGTATAGAAGGTATTGTCTGTCTCATGGTGTACATGATGGATTGTTCTGGCGAGAGGTTTCCAGGTCATAGTAGCCAATTCAGTGTTGTTGGAGGGGCTTCAATGTGTAAGCGTCGCCGATTGGTATAGCAAATGTTTAGATCTCCAGCCTGTCTTTATACCTTCGAACCGGCTTCCGTCTAATCCGACCATATGTCACTTTAGTATTCTGTCATTCTTGCTTGGCCTCTATTCCAATACTCGTATATCGTTTCTTAGTGCTGACAGGGGAATAAGTATTCGAACCCTGTGGAGGTGGAGGTGTAAGCAGAGAGTTTTGTAAGAAATTGGTCAGGAATGTTCAGTCACCATGAAGCAAGTGATTGATCACATACGTAGGGTATCTTTCCATGATTCCATGTATAGCAGTTCACGGATATCATCAATTGTACGTGGGGTTTATGAGGTGAGAAGGGGACTTACACGCCAGGGAGCTTCTCTGAATCGAACTTTGGCATAGTATTCTGATTCTGATTGCACATAAACATGATATCTACAGAACATTAGATATGGCGTCAATTAAAGCCGTATTGTAAAATGAAGGAGAGGTAACAACACGGTGAGACCCAACTCTTTCGCGCTACATGATGGCGCCTAATTGATGCCCATCGCCAAGTCAGCTGACTGTGAGCCAAATGCGAGCGTAATTGAATCGAAATGGCACGTCTAGCAATTAATTGTATTATTTTGTTATCATGACGGAAACAAATCAATTCATTTATCCATGCATAACTAACATATTCTCTCCGCATTTGCGTTACAGTCTTGGAAAAACCCAGTGGGAAAACCACAACCAAGAGATAAAATCATGAAGCAATCAAAACCCAAGTCCAATAATTCAGAAGATGACGGATTGGATGACATTACAACTCAAGTTATTGTAAACATAGCGTAAATGTTGCGATGGGAAAACGGACTGCACCTGTCACGGCATCACAATGAGCTCTTTTGCAAATCTCTCAGGCTCTTCTTCAAGCCCTGTACCTGCAAAGCCAGCTTCTCCCGTCTGGCGATCTGTTTCTCAGACTCGGAGCCGATTCGGAGCAAGTCTTCTTCGGATAGCTGAGAAACAGAATTTGGACTGAAAGCATTTGGCAAGGGTGCTATAACGTGGCGCTCAATGACTTGCCTCGCGACGTTATCAACAAAAGTCTTCATTGAAACCTAGGAGACACCCATGTCAGCATCTTATATAAATGGTTAAACCCAGAATTGAGGCGTGGTGGGCCCTTACCTTGTAGTATGCGTCCAACTCCGTGATCGCCTCGTGGCATGCCTGCTCATCCATATCCACGGTAATGCGAGACCCAACTGCAGCGATGAACTTTTGGATGTCCACTTGGACGTTACTAATATGTAACTTTCCGTGAACATCTCTCTCAGCAGAAACGGCGTTTTCCACCGCTTTCTTCTGCGCATCTAGTCGAGATTTTTGGACATTGTCCGTATAATAGTGATTATACGTCAATGGACTGCGTCGTTCGTCTTCGACCAGCTTTTCCAGCTCACCGAGTGCATTCTTCTCGGTCTCTTCAAGCCATTGTTGAAGTATTGAGTGGATTTGAGCTCGCATACTCTCCTCGGGGATGAGTCTTTCGACAGCCAGCTGAATCCACTCCGACACTATCTTGAGAATAGTATCGATGTGGGACTCTGCAATAGTAGGCCAGCGACGCGATTGTTCGTGAAACAGTTCGGCCAAGAGTGCTGAGTTGTAGTTCCCAGGTAACTCTTTTCCTTTTGTGCGTGCATATGCCTGTGACGAGCATTAGAAAGGTGCCCCTTTCATTTATGTTAGGGTATATACTAACCTCCTTCACCCATCGCATCATTTCCGCTTTGTTTACAATAAGTTGAGTCGTAATGTCATCCAATTTGTCATCTTCCGAGTCGTCAGACTCTGGCGCTGTATTGTCATGATTGAGTTCAATTTTTATTTTCCGTCTCTGTCCGGACTCTCGCATGTAGGCTGCGAACTTGGTGTTTGACTTCTGCACGCGTGCTCGTAGTCTCGATGTATCGCTCTCTGAAAAGAACTTGATATCGATACTGTGGTAGTTTCCGTCAAGCGCAGCCTGTAAGAGCTCATAGAATCTCATGCCAAGGGCTGTTAGGAAAGTCCTAATGAGATCTGTTGTAGGCCTAGCCTCTCCAAGAGATCTAAGCTCAGCATCTCTCTCAATCAGCAGCTTCTTAATCTCTTCTCTCACTTTAGGCAACTCTCTCTCTATATGAGTATCGAGCAGGTCTTGGAGGAAAACTCGGAGCTTTTCTGCGCCTATTCGATTCATATCGAGATCTTGGCTAGCCCAAGCGGGACCAGAGAAGAACCGCCGTTCTAGGTTTGAGCGTGCAGCCATAGTGACACATTCTTTGAGCTCAGCAGGACTGGGGTTCTTTAGGAGAAAGAATCCCAGTTTGAGCTTGATACTGTCTTTGTTTTTTGCCACGAGTGCAATTTTGGCTTCGCTGCCACTATTTATCAAATCAGGCTTCGTGATGATTCCCACTGTCCTTTGGCCAAGGGGATCATGAGTTCTCGCCAACTTAATAATAGGTTGATTCGCCATATCGTTGCTTGCCTGCAAAACAGCCAGAATTATCGTTCGCGAGCTCTGAAGATATGATGTTACCATACTGTGTACAGCTTCGACATCCTCATCAGTTTGCTCTTCGTTGGCAACAGATATAAGCCCTGGCAAATCCACCACGCTGAGGTGTAATCCAATTGGACCGGCAACCTCTATTCGTAGAACATCAACAGAAAAGGCACTGGCGTTTTCGTTGTCGCAACATCCACGAATATTCATCAATCGTGACACCTCTTCGATAACACTAGGCAACTCCGACATGTCCTTCAATTGTTTGCGATACGCAGAGAGGGTCTGTTGAACTTCTGCAGGCCGCGAGATGTGCGGCCTGATGCTAGCAGTAATCGTAACCGACTCGCATTCTGTATGCCGAAGATTGATCTCACTGGGGAACCTAGTACAGAGTCCTTCCTGTCGAGGGAAAGGTATTCCCGTAACGCCCTCCAAAACTGAGCTTTTACCAGTTGACTGGTCTCCACAAACGACCAATGCTGGTAATGAGATCAGGTCACCCACACCATGCGCTCTGATCTTCTCGACCTGGTTGAGTCGTTGACTAGATTTGGAAGTCCGGAGGTGACTGAACTTCCCATCTGGAGGCTCTCCATCGCTTTGTGCGGTCATAGTATTGGAAGTAATAAAATTTTGAGATTGCTGATTTGCTTCAAGTCTTCAATGCATCCCTTACTGAGTAGATTCAATGCGAGGATAAACGATATTTATGACAGACGAGATTATGAAGCATAGTTGGAATGCATTAATAGAGCTCACCGTTTTGAGACATCATCTCATTGCCCAACCAACACCGGTAGATGTTTCAGTGCTAAAATGAGACGCAAACGGACGTCTTTCTAACATTCCATAGATGTCTCAACGTTTTCGTCGGATTGAATTGTGCCCAACTGCCAACCACTCTGTCCGCAAACGCCCGTGATTGTAGTTTACGCATTTAGAATCCAAGATCGTGGCTACGCGTGGCGAATGAGAAGAGAATTTACAAAGCCTAAGCACACGAAGATTCGACATTTCACAATGTAAGCGAAAAAGGGTGTCAGGTAAGATTCGTTCATCTATCAACAATGTTTCACCCTTTCCCATCAGTCAGATTCGTCGTCAATCTCCATCTTATATCTTTCATTCAGCTTATCTGCCCCAGCCAGCCTGATTGTTGGTAGGGTCAACTGCGGTACCACGTCTTCCCCATCCTGCCTGGTTGTTGGTAGGGTCAACTGCAGTTCCTCTTTTGCCCCAGCCAGCTTGATTGTTCGTAGGATCTACTGCAGTATCGCGTTTGCCCCAACCAGCCTCGTTATCAGCGAGATCCACAGATGTATCACCTCGTCTTCCCCAGCCTGCCTGGTTGTTCGTAGGGTCAACTGCGGTGCCTCGTCTGCCCCAACCAGCTTCGTTATCAGCAAGGTCGACACTGGTATCGCTGCGTCTTCCCCATCCGGCTTGATTGTTCGTAGGATCAACAGCAGTACCACGCTGTTCGACTGGAGCAGCGTCGACAGCGCCCAGAAGGACCAGGCCCAAAGAGAGAAATTGGGAGATCCTCATGTTGTAAAAAGAATCAAGTAATACAAGGTGTAAATTTACTTTTCGTGTAGAAAACTTATAGGTGAAATGTCTAAGGTTGAATCCGAGTTTTGAGGAAACACGAATAGTTATATCAAATTCTAGCTGCCTCTCCTTTAATACCTGTGTACGCGGACTTATTTGCCCCTCGTTTATCTTTTACTTAGTACAAGCGCGAGTGTGAATGCGAGCCCACCGTATATCTCATGACATCTCTTTACGGACAGTGTGCGTCGATTCCTATTTGGTAAGAGTGTCTATTTCAGTATCATACATTGACCAATACTGGCTCACAAATGGAAATTCTTTCTGGACCAAGCAGGTGTATTGTTATGATACGTTGCATCGTTCCCACACCGACCTCTTCCCCCGCATGAAAACTTGGTTCTCCTCCATCATTTTCTTAACCTCTTTAGACAAATGATTGCCAAAATGTATAAAAAGACATGCATTTGAGTTCAGCGTACGGGTTTTCCGGGAGAAATGATATCGTATCCCAAAAGTAACCTTGCATGATTAGCGCCCGCCTCGAATCCTTCGCTTGGATGAGAATGGGGGCTAGTTCAACTTCTCCGCATCACTAAATGTTGGCAAGACTCAATTATGCAAGTACAAGGATGATCAGAATTTTGTCTATCAAGCAAACCATGACAACGATTCTCATACCAAGAATTTGGTACCATGCTTCCAATCCAATGTAACCTAGACCCCTGGCATCGGCTATCTTTGGTTGTCTATCCTGAAAACGGCTGTGTCATTCTAGTCATGAGAACATGACCAGCTGCTACTTTTTGTTTCCCTAAGGGCCAGTGAATGAAGTTTACAGACGGTGGACTTCAAGTGTTTCCTGCCTATTCACTCCTCATTCAGTCACTAAGTGATATTACGCACAGGACACACGATCAACATGGCGTTCAAGAGCTCTGAAGAGTTTCACGACGAGGAACATTTACTATGTGATGATGAGAATGACAGAGGCCACAATGAGCGACTTTCAAAAAACGTGCCCCGGGCGAAACTACTCCCATATTCCGCTGCGTTCAACGTTGTGCTACTCTTGGCACTACTATCAACATGGGCAATCTCATATCGAAAGTTTGCACAGCCAAGAATATTAAATGCAGTTTACTGTCAGTAACTCTTTCCGATGTAATAATTGGCAGATAGGGATTCTGATTTTTCCAATAGCTCCAGCTGAATCTGCAATCGAGTACAAGACAGTTGTCTTCACAGGGGGTCTACATGGTGATAGATCTGCCTACCAGGGATACTCTGAGGAAGTCAACGAGAGGTGGAATAGACTTTTCAATGGTAAGCGAGCTTTATGATGAAGCAATCTGGACGAGAGGATTTTGTTAACCCATTGCGACGTGAAGAGATTGGCATCTCCCAGATTCCAGCGGCCATGGCAGCTCGACTCCCCAATGCCACAACACCAACCGCCCACGACCCGAAGCAATACATGGTTGAACTGGACGTCTTCCACCAACTCCACTGCCTGAATTTCATGCGCAAGATTGTCTATCCGGATGTTTTCAAAATTGATCTAACGCCTGGCTCAGAAGAGGGCGAGGACAATATCTATCACCTGGAACACTGCTACGACCAGCTCAGGCAGTCCATTCAGTGCGCATCAGACATAGGCACTATCTACTGGGAGTGGAGTGAACCAAAGCAAAAGATGTTTGGTAATCTACGAACGACGCATACATGCAAGAATTTTGAGAAAATAAGAGAATGGGCCGCTCAGCATAAATTGGACGAGACTTTTGACCAATTTCATAAGGTTGAGGGGGCCCCAATTCGGCAGTCAAATTAGACGTATGACTAGGGTCACACTGCAGGGTCGTTTTCGCAGTTGCTGCAAGTAGATGCACGATAAAAGAATAAATTACAGATCTATTCTTGTGTCATAACGAACGGCTTTACAAAATGTAACACTATAAGCATAACCTTTTCCCCACCAATGTGCTTCAACTTCGATACCACCAAGTGGCAATATTGCAAGAGATCAATGGGCAAACCTTTATTCTAACTCTACGTCACTTCAGTGACCTTGGGATACCATATCCCATCCCATAGCTCCATGGGGAAGGTATGAAGAGACTCTCATATTGTTGCATCATGTTCAATGTGATCTACACTCTTCTAACTTCCTTTTAACCGACTAAACAAATACTTGGCAGCACAGGATTGGATCTGCAAACCCAGCTTGGTCGAAACAACGCAATTTGAGTCGCGTGAACAGGTTTTCGGACGTGTAACGTAGCCCATCCGCGTCTATAGCTTCCCCAAAAGTACCTGTATATATGGCAACGATTGCTAAGCTTAAGAGATAACATCCTTAGCGTAATGTTATACGCATGCATGTAGCTAGTCTTTGCCCTATACCCTTGTCAGAACGCAAATCCGTCTAGCCTTACGGCAATTCAGCTTTCACCTACCGGAAAAGGAATGAATCTCGGGTATCTCAACGGTCCCGAACTGTCCGTCTGTTGAAGGATTCAACCCCACACAATGATATGCGAATACACAGGTGGACTTGATTCATGTAGCTAAGAGTCGACATTTCTGGTTGAAGCATATTCCAAACTCATTATCTTGGCGAGCTTGCGTGACAAAGAGCCGACGCCTTTATGTCTCAGCGTAGGACCGAAGTTCTATGAGAAATCTAGGGTTATAATCCATTTTCATCATTCATTTCCTCACTCACACATTCATTTACCGTTGCAACGACTTTGTCATGATGGATCGATTTCGCAAGAGCGTTCTGTTCATCAAGCCAAAGGCATCCAAGCAAGAATATGCTCAAATTGAAGGCAATGACAGTGAAGAAGCTTTGTTATATCAAGCTACTTCAGCTGCACGGCCACGTTGGCGCCTGATTCATTTCATCTCATCATTTTTACTCGGCGCATTGACTGTAGTGCTGGCACTTAGTCTATGGCAAATAATCATCGCCAACAACCACAGCACAAGGACAAATCGACCTTTTCCCGAAATCCGCAAAGGCACTGATGAAAAAACTGGCCTCCCATTAAGTTGGTCTCACGGCGACTGTGGCAACTCTCCTACCGACGCGCAAGCCCTCGGCTGCCGATACAGCATTGTCTTGCACTCCTGGCTTCCCCAGGATTGCCTTACGGATGATGACATAGAGGATGAAAAGCTCATGTATGATGGTCGGAGCTGGCCATATGAGATCAACGGCAGAAACCTCACCATGGATGAGCTTCACCTTGGTGACTATGGTCACTTTACTACGACATTCGATTGGCATGTTGTCCATTGCATGTACGTGTGGAAAAGAATTCACAGGGCAGCGATAGATGCGAGCCGAAAGATTGACTCGTATACGGCAAATTTCCACCATACAAATCACTGTGTAAAGATGATTGGGGGTCATCCGGGTGGCATGAAGGACTCTGGAACCAAGATTTTTGTCAAATATCCCATCTGTGCTTAATAACATACGCATGTCATATGACCCAAGAAGATGTTGCCCGATAATGCAAACCTGTATCATGTATGACTTTTACTCTAACTGGAAATTGAGCGTTGTATCCGACAAGCTGGATACATGCATGTCAACCTACTACTGCAGATCCCCCTCCTTTGTTAACTCGCCTCCACAGGATGTAAACCAAGATCTTATTTGCAGAATCCCACTAGGCTAATCCTGACCAATATGCCTCGCTTGGCCTAGTCATGAATCATGCATTGCTCCCTGGCACGTTGCATTCGGAAGGCTGGTGGAGTGTGGTATCACTCAGTGTCGACCCCAATCTCCACCCTTCTTGGAACCTGTTGGATGCTATCTGATCACGCTTCTCCTCAGATTAAGATATTTTCATGAATTCTCGGGAGAACTAGAAATGTGAGGTAATTGATGAGAAAAAACAACATGTTTACGTCCAAGGCATCAGACGCTGAATACAAACGACTTACCGATGGAGATGGCCCAGATGCCGGAGAAAATGTGCAATCGCAGACAAGCAAACGCCTAAGTCTTCTAGAACGGTCATTCAGAAGATTCAGTGCCATACACGCCTCCATAATTCTCCTGGAAGTGATCCTATGCGCTCTCCTTGTCTCAGGGTTCATGGTGTTGAATCAGACGAGGCGGGCCGTAGGGTCAAAAGTTTCGCTCGATGGCTTGTCACAGCTTGGATCATATAATACTTCTATGAAATTTCAGGATGGCTCTAAACACATGGCTGATTCGCGTGATGCTGATCAATATTGGACAGACCTTCTTGATAGTGGAGGCGTGATATCTTTAAATACAGAATGGGCTCGGAAACAAGGATTGAGGCCATCAGCGCAATCGCCAACAGATCCTTCCCAGAGTATTTATCAAGTGGACGTATTCCATGCCCTTCACTGTTTGGTATGTCTTTATTTCTCACAAAATTCTTTTATGTAGTCTGATCTAACTGAATATCATAGAACGCAATCCGCCAAAACCTCATGTCCGAGACACCTCCACCATGGGACGAGACGCATATGCTCCACTGCCTTGACTACGTTCGCTCTCAACTACTTTGCCATCCAGACTTGACACTGGTCACAACGAACGATTTGGAGGAATTTGTTCTCGACGAAGTACATACATGTCGCGACTATAATGCGATGGCCGACTGGGTATATAGGCATCGTTGGGTTGAATTTCCGGAATGGCTGAAGACAAAAAACAATGGCCACGAGGCGACTCACAATCACACGATGGCTGAGCCCTTAGGCCACGATCATTCATGATTACAATTAGTAGCATAGATCTGATTTACTATGACCATTGAACGTGGGCTCAACATAATACATAACTGTCATTGTCCGCACAAAACACCGCCCATTGTTACTTGCATGGCTAAAGATCTTACACAATAATCTGTGCGGGCATCTTTCCAGGGTATGGAATCAAATCAAATAATGCATAACGGCGGTCAGCAATTCAACCATCCCGAGTAAACTTCTCCATCTGGCAGTAATCGTATGAAGAATGTGCCCAGACATACACGGCCTACGGTCCAAGGCCGAAACCCCGCAAGTCCGCAAATTTGATTGAAACACCGCGAGTGCCGCGAAACACCGCATTGTTACTTCACGATGATGCATCTTTGTGGATAATTTGAACGTCTTAATAGAGGAGAAGCATCACTGATAGCAGGTGTGAGATGTACTCAGCAACTAATTTAAACCTTGTAGTGAAATTAAGCTTAATTTTGAATAAGACATCGAATATTATACCTGATTAACTTGCTGCATAATTCCTGATCCGTGTAAATAACCCAAAGATTCCACCTTCACATTCATTGACTTTGTAACCGCATCCGATCATTGCCGCGACAAACGACGACGCCTAGTAGCACAATCTACTCCATCACGAGCAGAATCTCTTGCTTCTCCAAAAGTGAGAGGTACGTGGCTATAAAAGCTGTTAGTGAGAGCAAGATGTCTTTTAATCTTCAGTCAGCCACCTACAAGTGCAAAGCCATCGATTTCCGACGAGCTTCATGCTTTTTCTCAAAATCTCAACTTTCTCTCGATCCTCCCTTGTCTGAGACTTATGTGCTATCCTCAAGTGCATTGAGGCCACCTTGTATAACAAATGAACAAGAAAAGGGCTGGCAATATCACAGAGCTGTTCTGAATCCCCATGGATCAAGGTCAAAGCCATCTCTAATGTTGCTTGTGAAATGATGGTACTCTCGGTAGAGAGCTTTTTACCAGAGTCACTTATACACATACCCTTGCTAAACGACGAGTAGTCGAGAGCGAGAATACCACTAACACCACATTAGTCAAACATGCATTGGTAAAGCAGGTTGAGTATCGCCCTACGAGTAACAGACCGCTGATTGGCTACAGTATTCCAATCGCCTAATGGATGCCTCGATATTGGAGACATTGACTAACGCAAATATTGTGCGTCGTAATTGGGCAGTCTCGTTGGACTGCTCAGCGACGTGATGTAGAACCTGGCTGAGAAGATGCGCGGCTTGTGCAAACCTCGCAAACAGCCCCAGGTGGTAGCTATTGGCTGTTGCTAAAGTATAAATACGATCAGGGTTGAGTATCTGCGGAATAAGGTCAGAAGTTCCTCTGTAAGGTGATGTGGAATGATGTTCGCAGTTTACTCACTCCGGATTCCCACACTTCATCATCTACAGGCAAGTAACTCTCTAAGCCCGCATCTATGGTAATCAGATGCCGTTTAGGATCACTCAAGTTGAGATACCTAAAAATGGCATCAATATCGTGCTGTTTTCGTAACAGATGTAGCAATTCCAGGAATCGGACAGGCGCCGCAACTCTTACACGTCCATGTCACATACCTATCAAGAACCAAAATCGCCCACCACATTCGGCGGCGTTCTTCTTCTTCGATCCACTGACCCTGCGCAGGGCTTGATGAAAGAATAGACTTTTCGATACCCAGGGCCGTTGCGTACCGAGCACAGGATCCTACTGAGAGATAAGCCGCCGGGTATATGCCATGTCCCAGCTCGTAGAGTGCGATGAGAATAGAAGCCTGGAGAACTAGGGTTGACAACACCCCTGAAGCCTCAATCTTAAACTGAAATAGTTTCACCGTCTCGTACAATGGCGTGTTCCAAGTTTTGACCCGTGTGTAGCTTAGCTTCATAGACAGCACGAGCAGGAACAGCTCAGCTCTCTTATAGGTCAACCGATTGAGCAGGTTCGCACAAAAGTGAGGTTTCGATATAATCGGCATCCACATGTGAACCGATTTAAAGAACTTGGCAGAGGTAGCCTGAATATCCAACACGCTGCCGACCAGCTCGGCTATGTCATCTGTTACCACCACATCCGCGTTTACCACTTTCAGCTGCGCCTTGGAAAAGACCTCGGGATCTAGAAAACTCTCGGCGATGAAGCTGGAGCTGGCAGAAGGAAACGATAGCTGGCGCACGTCTTGCTTTTTCTCAGGCAGAACAGCGGAAGGCGGGTCAACGATGGATTTTGCCACTGGCACAATCGCCTTTATGCGGTTCTTCAACTTCTCTCTTTTCCGACGGCCTGGGTAGTTACAGGGAGTATTCTTTCTAAAATGGTGTTACTAAACACTGATTTACTGCATCCTCGCATCATTCACCGCAACGGAGTTAAAGGGCAGACTCACTGAACGCAGAGTGTGCATCTCGGGTACATTTTATCGCAGCGGCGTTTCGATTGGCGGCATGCCGAACAAGACCACCTCAAGGCCAAAACCCCGAGAGTGGTTTGGCTGGCCATGGCTCGAGGCCGCGGTGACGGGCTTTCGTTGGACGTGGACATTGTGCATGTGTGAGTTTGTAAGGTGAGCGGACTTATAATCAGCGGCGTGGGGACATGCGGGCTTATAAGATGAACTGCGTGGAAGATTCACTGGGGCAATGATTACTATTCAACCGAGTTTCCACAAAGAACATTCGTCACGCCGTCGCTTTCTATTGGTACGAGCGTTGACACGACTAGTGGACAATTACTAACATGAGCGAGTAAAGAAGACATATTAGGTTGGTATATTCAATCTTGTAGCAAGGCTATTAACACAATGTCGAAATTCCGAATACCCCCATCTCCCCAAAGGGTCAGCGGCATTAGTAGTGGCTGCTCATTTCGCTGATTTGCTCTCCAGCACCTGGTCTCTTCTTCATCTTAATCATAATCTCAGACGCCCTGGGAATCAAGCTGTTGTGGACCTTCCATTCCTTCTTGGGGTCTTCCAATTCAAAGTCGAAAAGAGTAATCAGCGTTGCCACCGTCTTGCTAACCTCCATCTTTCCAAGATTCATGCCGATGCACTTTCGCGAGCCAGCGCCGAAAGACAAGTCCACATTGTTCAATTGCTGGATGCGGTTCTTGTATTCCTCGTCCGCCTCATTATCGGCTTGCAACCAGCGCTCGGGCCGGAACTCTTCAGCGTCAGCACCCCAGACCTCCTTGTTTCTGTGAATCACGTAGGCATTGAATCCAAGAGCGGTACCGGCCGGCACGACGGAGCCATCAGGAAGCGCCAAACCGCCAGGTGGAACGTAACGCTCCTGGGCGAAGCAGTTACCGGGCATGTATCGGAAACACTCTCGGGAGACAGCCTCCAGGTACGGAAGCTGTCGGGACTCGGCATAAGGAACTGGCACCTGCGAAAACTTGGCATTGACAATCTCGTCTCTCAGACGACGGAAGACGGCGGGGTGTTTCAGCGAGAGGTAAAAGATGGAGCGCAAGCTCGCCGCAGTGGTGTCGGCACCGGCGGCAACATTGACGAGCATGTAGGAGAGGATACGGTAGATGTCGACAACTTCGGGGTTCTGCTGCTGGGCCTCAAGGTAGCGGTCCAAGAAGTCGGGCTTGGATTGATCGTGGCCGTCTTCGCCCTTCATGCGCGCCATCAGATGTCCAAGGCAAATTCCAGTGACGGTTCCAAACGATGGCGGGCCAAATCGCATAATCGGGTTCTTGTCGAGAAACTTGTCGAAAACAGGGTTCATGCCGACCGTGACGAGATAGTCGTAGGCTCTATCGGAGACGTTGAGGGTGCCATCGAAATCATGTCCCTTCTCGAGATATCCGACCGCTTCACTCCATGTAGTCTTGGCGACCGCATCCATCCCAACTAGACAAGTCAGCTTGATTCGAATAACATCGCATAGGTAGCATCTTACAGAATAGCATCCATTCAGCAAAGTCGAACGTTTTTCCAAACGCCTCGTCGCCAGCGAACCGTTGATCAAGCGCTCGGCACAGTGTAGAGATGACAGAATCAACGTGTGGCTCCATTGGCGCAACACCAGGAGCAGACCAGTATTTTGCAATTGGCTTCTTGATCCGAGCATGCTCTTCGGGGTTACATTCTGAAAAGATGTTGTAGTAGAGCTTGCCTTCAACCATTGCTCCACTGACACCGTGCCAATCAGTCTGTGATGGGACAACCAAACGTCAACCCATGTCCACTCTAGTAACATGCAATGCCGAGACTCACCTTTCTCCAAACTCCCTGAAAGTCAAAGCACGTCTTAATCAATGAGGGGTAGTCGACGTCGATGTAGTTGGGGCCCATGCGAACAACCGGGCCGTACTTGTCGTGGAGTTTCTTGGTCAAGAGGTGCATATTTCCTCGATAGGCATAATACATTCGGTAGAAGTTGGTATAGGCTTCATTTCGCACAGCGTGTTATCAATGTGGCTCTCTTTCAGCTCGAGATACTCTCATCTTCACTTACATGCTAAGAATGGCCCGGGATACTTTTTCAATGGTGAGATTAGATACGAGACAAAGCTCCAGAAGACATAAGTCGCGGCTGGAAGAAGCATGAAGAGCACCGCTGGCCGCACCAACATGGCCGGGCCATTGTGCAGGAGCCCAGCACCTCGGGCTGAGTTAGGAACAGAGTTATTGTCCATGATGGTTAGCTTCCACAAGAACTTGGACTGTTCTCGTAGTAGTACCAAGACAATCTACAACTTCAGTGTAGTTATTCTGGAAAAACTTCCAGAAAGATAAACGGGAAACCCCTCTTAGTAATTCACATGCAAATACTAGCAAGAATAGTTGCTCTCGAACTTGCCTAAGGGGCCGAGACCCCTCAGGCATGTCATATCGTCAGGCGGAATTCTACGGCCAATGTGATCCACAAGTCGACGGATAGTCAACAGCAACGAGTCAGCACCAATAAAAGGCTCAAGGATGCCGGAATCCATGACCCTACTCGAAATAACATTATATCTGATTTGTTACACCTTTTTCTCATCGGTGGAGTGGGTCGACATCAACCAAGTTTTCGACTCGTCTCCACAACGCACGTTTCACTCTTTGCCAGCGGAGAAGCTCTTAAACCCCGTAGTCCGGACGAGTTCTTCACGTCGAAGATCTCAATAATGGAAGATCCTTGGGATTTCCTTTTCCGACGACTTTATTCATGCAAACCTTATCGACTGCTTCTCTCTGGGGAAAGTGACAAGTTGAGGTGGTATTGAGAGTACTTTGAGAGCAATTAAGGAGACTGCTGTTGGTTCAAACATCCTTGCTGAATGCAAGCGGTAGTGCTTCTCCGCAGCCAGGGGATGATGAACCTACTTGTATGCAGCAGGAACTGAAAGGAGATGGTGACCCGTTATGTTCCAGTTTCTTGTGTTGCATTTACCCGTCCAAAGGGGGAAAAGAACACAACCAACAACAATCTTGCGTGCTTTGATTGGGGGTTTTTTTTCAGCATGGATCACACGGCCTTTTCCTCTATCCACGCGGATTCTGATATCGGCGCTTTCAGCATGGAGATCAGCATGTCCGCTGCTCTCTGTCCGTCACTCGGCCGAGTCCGTTCCCCGCGGGCTTTCCCGTTGCGGGTTCCCGAAGTTGTGTATCCGTCTCCTTGCCCACTATTTGACCAAAGCCTACTTATAAGGCTACACACTACTCCGTACTTTGTGTACAATAATGCCATTCGGATAGAACTCGGGAACCGGCAATCGCTAACTCGTGACTTGATGTTCCAGTACTATCCTCCAGTAGCTCCCTCCTCGTATACCTCGTACTATGCTCTGAAAAGGCCAAATGATCTTGCAAATTGCAGGTCGGCATCTCTTAGTGGCCCCCACGAGCCCCTAACCACCACAGCCATTTCCCCCTCCCCGCGGATATCGAAGCTATATTCAACCTAGGTCTTGGCAGGGTTTGGAAAGGTTTTGGCAGCTGTAGCGAGCAGCGTATCCTCCGTAGGCGATTTCAACCCGACATGATAACTAAACAAAGTTGATTTTCGGTTACGTTGCAAGTGGCACACTCGTGGTTCCTCGCTTGACCCCTACCCCTGTCTAAGTGAGATATTTGCCGGGGTCTAACGGCTCGGTTTCCTGTTTGCCGCGGCTATCCATACTCAACTAGGCAATGGACACAGACTTGGTCCAGAGATCACAGACAACCCCCTGATCCCCATTGTTACCCCATGTCCAGCCAGATGATTGTAAGCGACAAATGATGAAGAGTAGAATTTTTTATGAAATTTTTTCAACTACCGCTCCCTTCTTGCCACTAAGCAGCTGCAGGTACTGATAATATTTCCTAGAACAGATGTCTTTGCTGATCTTTACTGTTTATATTACTCGTATCCATCCAGAATGGCGTCCGTGATTCTGGTAATGGGCGTAACTCCAGGTGCAACCGACGACTCGGTGCCAGGGTGAGTCTTACATACTCCAGAGATTCAAAAACGTGCTCCCCTTTCCCTGTCGAAATGTTCTGCAACACACGAGCCAGCTTTCTGCATCAACCTGGTTGGAACGGGCTGCAAGCCATCAACAGCAGCCATGGCAAATCAATATCAGACGGGACTGGGCGGAGATGCGCCCAAGATGTTGGCTGTGCTGTGGTCACTTACCGCGCTGGCGCTGGTCTTTATTGTTCTTCGTTTTTATACTCGTGTGAGAGTAATTCGCGCGTATGGGTTGGACGACTACTTTTATAATGCCTCGTTTGTATGTGCATTGACTTTCGGCAGCGAAAATGTGATGAGTCGTATGTTCTAGAACTAACAAATCAACAGATCACCCTTTTAACCTACGACATCATGATGACGATTGCGTCGATGTACGGATTCGGCCGAAATATTGACGACGTTATCTCCCTCAAAGGTCCTGTCGTGGGAATGGAATCTGTCACAAGGGCAATTCTCTACTCTGCCATCGGTCAGACCATCCTCGTCTTCGGAACGATCCTTTGCAAGACCTCCATGGCTCTCTTCTTGGTACGGCTCGTCCCGGACAAGCGCAGTCAAATCATCGTTTGGATCCCCAACTTCTTCCTCGCCACCGGCATCGTAGCCTCGCTTTTCGTCTTCTGGTTTGCGTGCCATCCCACAGCCTTCTTGTGGGATCGTCGAATCCCTGACGGAAAATGCCCCATCGACCCAGGCCCAATCTCAATTTACGCAGGCGTCTGGTCTGTCATAACGGATTTTTGGTATGCAGCTTTTCCCTGGTATCTTCTCTGGAATATTCAAATGCCGAAGCGTGAGAAGCGAATCATTGCTGCTTCTTTAAGCTTGGGTGTGGTTGCCGGGGCTTGCGGCATCGAGAGAGCTATACAGTTGAAGTACTTGGGCAGCCCGAACTACCTCAAAGACGTTGTTGGCATCATTATATGGCATGCTGCGGAATTTTGTACCACCATGGTTTGTATCGGCATTCCTGTCTGTCGACCGCTTTACCGAGGCTGGTTGGACGGTCTGTCGAGCGCCAAGGGGAGCAGCGGTACGGGAGGTGGCAGCGGATGGATGAGAAATAGAGACCCGTCAGGGGATAACATGTTTTCGTTGCATACCATTGGTGGATCTGGAGCTCGAGGCAAATCGGTAAATGCAACGATAGATGATACCATGGCTGCCAGGCACAGCACTACCAGGGCGCGGGTCACCTCAGATAACACCAGTGAAGAGTCGATCCTTGGCCCAGAGGCAAAAGACCATGCGAGGGGCAATGGGAAAGATCTGGGGATCAGGGTCAAGACGGAGTATAAGGTGGATTACGACAGGAATTAAGGACAGAGTTGGTTGAGGGTTAACTATGGTCAGGAACCAGAAGTGATGACAGGCTAGAATTAGGCATGATTTCAGTGAATGAACTTATAATTATCTATTGTAATAAATGAATCTATGGGGCAACGATGCGCCACTGCACACATGGTTAGCTCTAGTCTTCTATTCACGATTTATTATTTGGCATTTCTACACGAGCTAGATGTCCGTGGCTGCTGGTCTTCAGCTTGGTCGAATAGTAATCAGATATGATCACACTGCAGTCGGAAAATGGATTGCATCACTGGAGAGAAAGAAAGCCAGCGTTGGAATATAGACAAAGAAGCCAATGAGTTTATTTTTTGGAGTTGTTGATGACTTTTATTCAGCTATGTACGCAAGCAGAGCAAATAGCCTGCGACTAAGATTGCAGTCTCACTGTGCATCTTCAGTCTTTCCATACATCTTGATTGAAGCTTCATGAAGATGACGTCCCATATCTTTTTCCACGGGACCAACCTGCTGGATACCCATCTCAAAGAGAGTCTTCATTCGCTTCATAGTCTCAGGCCAAGTACAAGATCGAACAAAGTCTTGCATTGACGAAAGAAGATCCGTCAATCGAGGCAGCCCAGCACGATCGTTAACGGCACGCTTAGTTTCCAGCAGAGGCTTGCGATCAAACCCAGCTATCCGGCGCGCAAAATTGTCCACAAAGGCAGACAACTCCGAGTCCTTGATGGCACGGTTGATGTATCCGTACTGAGCAGCAGTCGTGGCGTCGAAATCCTCACCCCCAAGGAGAATCTCCAAGGCTCGCGAGCGGTTTACCAGGCGAGGCAGCCACTCGATTCCTCCACCACCGCAATGAACGCCAGCAGCGGCCTCGGGCTGCGCAAAGATTGCCTTTTCAATGCTACCAAAGCGCATGTCGCATGCCAGAACGAATTCGCTGCCATGGCCACGAGTGCGTCCGCGAACCTCGGCAATGCTGACTACAGGGAGACGTGCAAGACGAAGCACAAAGTTGGCCCAGTCAAAGATGGGAGCAGTCTCTTCGTCTTCTGGCTTGTCTTCACCAGCCGTTAAGTCCCAATGGGCGATGAAATAATCTTCGACTGAGCTATCAAAGACGATGACCTTGACAGCTCCGTCATTTTCGAGGAGCTCGACGAGCGTACGCAAGGCAGCATAGGTTCGCGGCGTAAAGAGGTTCAATGGCGGAGCATTGAACGTAGCTCTCCAGTAGGCGGAGCTGACTTTGGTGAGTTTTAAGACGTCGTCAAACGACCACGGCTCTGCAACGTATGGCATAGTGTCGTTGATGAATAGTTTGAAGAGGTTTATTATATAGAAATGTATAATTTGGATTGAGGATCTTTGTTATTCAACTGATTGCTGCTGCAATGTCTATACTGCAGCGCGAGCCTTACATCCTTTTATATGTTGTTTTCCAATATCAACAACCTTAAGCATACATACAAAACTTAAAAATAATATTCTTACACATGTCATTTGAAAGTAACTTTTGAGAAGTTTCGAATTATTTTGCTTGCTGTCAACACCCGCAGTGAAGTCAATAGACCTGCGGTGTGTCGGCGTTGACTGCGGTGAATTTGCGGCCTTTCGGTGTTATAGACTGCATTTTGAGTTATCTCAGCTTACCAAACTCAAAATTGGTCTATCAGAAACTCTTCTATCACACTATTGTCGGTCAATCCAGCCATTGCCGTCATCTTATTCATTTCAAATACTGATTAATTGCTGCATATCATAAGATTGTTTAATCCCAAGCAAACAAAGACGAACAAGATCAACCCAGGCGTTAACCATGGTGCATCAGTCATTGCACGTGCATTATGCACACATACAGCCGCCCAAAAACCCCGCCACACCAAGCTTACATGCACTTAAACTTGGGCAAACACACACCTGCATACACACACACATATAAAAAAAGAGAAAAAGAAGAAACAAAAAACAAAAACAAAAACATACAACAGCCGGTGTTCGCCAGTGGTCACCCACCTGACTACTAATCTGCCGGTTAGAGGCTTGTCTCTGGGGGAGCAGACGGGACCCCGAATTTTCCTCCACCTATGGTCGTATGTGCTAGTTATTCTTTTACGCCAGATTATATGTGATGCTGAGGCACCTCGTTCTGTGACGTAGATACACCAACAGTCTGGAAACATAAAGGAACTTAGTCTCTTCGGCTGCGGTTGTAGAACATAGAGAGAGGTTTGGAACACCAATGACTAGTGGTATTCACAGTGGTGATTGTAATGATTGTATTAGTGGGAATATCTATACTTGATGTTAAGTGCCTAGCTCAAGGCCACATCCAGCCGCCGTCTCCTACACAGTTGCACAGCGAATAGAACAACGAGCACCTCACAACAACCACAAAACAATTTTTATCTTGCCGACTGCGTCCAACAGCGACCAATCTGTCTTGTGTTACCATCTCTGTCGCTTCACAACTACACGGTCGATCAGTAAACTCTCAGCTCTCTATGGTGAGGCTACATGTGGTTCTAGTTTACTCCGGCTATGAAAGGAACTGCAAGCCATTGAGGCCATTGCAAGGAAGCAAATATTACAAATAATGTCGCTATTAACTACGATGACTGATTCCTGTTTGACTGAGTCAGACCAACACTCACTTTGGTCTCAGGAATGTGCCTTAATCAGCCGGCATTGACCCGCACAACGGCAGCATCATGTAGCTGTGACTCACCAGTTGCTGCGATGTTTGCTCCGTCGCCGTTTTAAACACCCCTCGCGCGCCTGTCACCATCATTTGTTCAAGATTCTCTCTCAAACATGAGCAATGGCTTCCAACAACGCAAGAGAAAATTCGAGTAAGTCCAACCAAAAAGCACTCATTAGTGCCCAAGAGCGAAAGTCTGGCTAACAGACATTCTTCGTGGGGCAGTCGCCGCAACCGACCCGCAGCCGGAGGGCACGCCGGCTCCGGTGGCTGACAGCATCGAGGCCGGCATACAGCCCAGTTTCTCGGACACAGCACCCGCCCCAGCCAAAGTAAAGACCGAGAAGGAACTTGAACGGGAGCGCAAAAAGGCAGAAAAGCTGGCCGCTTACGAGCAGAAGAAGGCTGCCAAGGCTGCGGCGGCCACCACCGCTGCGAAAAAGACCAAGGACAAAGAGAAGGAGAAAAAGGCCGCCGCTGAAGTCCTGCCTCCATTTGTTGAAGACACCCCGGAGGGAGAGAAGAAGCGGCTCAAGCCCTTTGAAGACCCTCACTATTCTTCGTATCATCCTGTTGCTGTTGAGTCAGCTTGGTATGCTTGGTGGGAGAAGGAGGGGTACTTCAAGCCCCAGTTCACACCGGAAGGCGATGTCAAGCCTGAGGGCAAGTTTGTCATCGTTGTTCCCCCTCCTAATGTCACGGGAGCTCTGCAGTAAGTCTCCTTGCTTATACATTCCCAAAGCCTAGCATCAATAGTCATTGACAATGGAAAAGCATGGGCCACGCCTTGGGCAACTCGCTGCAAGACCTGATGATCCGCTACAACCGACAAAAGGGAAAGACTACGTTGTGGCTACCCGGCTGTGACCATGCTGGTAAGACTTCTCCTGCTATGCTTGGTTAATTGGCATGATCTGACGGTTCCCAAGGCATTGCGACACAGAGTGTTGTAGAAAAGACTCTCTGGAAGAGGCATCAACAGACCAGGCATGATCTGGGCAGAACACAATTCGTTGAGCTCGTCCAGGATTGGAAAGAAGAATACCACCAGAAGATCAATAATGCCTTTAGAAAAATGGGAAGCAGTCTTGATTGGAGCAGAGAGGCGTTTACAATGGTGCGCATCCCAAAGTCACCCCATGAATCCGTCACTCAAGCTAACCTCTCAATAGGACGACCACTTTTCAGCAGCCGTCGCGGATGTTTTCATCAGATTCCACGAAGAAGGCATCATCTATCGAGCTAACCGTCTAGTCAATTGGGATTCCACCTTAACGACTGCCCTCAGCAACATCGAGGTTGACAATGAAGAGTTGTCAGGAAGAACACTTCTTGACGTACCAGGATACGACAAAAAGGTAGAGTTTGGTATCATTGTTTATTTCAAATATCCAATCGAGAATTCAGATGAGACGATTGAAGTTGCGACAACGCGTCCCGAGACCATGCTAGGCGACAGTGGCATCGCTGTACACCCCGACGATCCTCGGTACACACATCTGGTGGGCAAATTTGCCGCTCATCCTTTCATCAAGGGCCGCAGGCTTCCAATCGTGGCTGACACATACGTCGACCGCGAGTTCGGTACGGGTGCCGTCAAATTGACCCCAGCGCACGATCTCAACGATTTCAAGCTGGGCATGGCCCACAATCTCGAGTTCATCAACATCTTGACGGACAACGGATTGATCAACGAGAACGGTGGCCCGTACCAAGGACAGAAACGATTCGACGTCAGGCGTTCCATCCAGGAAGACCTGAAGAAACTTGGACTCTTCGTGGATAAAAAGGACAACCCCATGACTGTACCTCGTTCAGAGAGGACCAAGGATGTCGTCGAGCCTATGATGAAGCCACAGTGGTGGGTGAAGATGGATGATCTCGCAGAACCAGCAGTAAGCCTCCACATTCTTTTAAACTGTTTTTTGTGCGTTGACTTATTTGCTAATATCCGTTTCATAGATTAAAGCAGTTCAAACAGGCCAAATCAAGATCAAGCCTGAGTCAGCGGAGAAGAACTACCTTCAGTGGATGGCCAACATCAACGACTGGTGCATCTCAAGACAGCTATGGTGGGGACATCAGTGCCCCGTATACCGTGTTCGCTTTGAAGGAGAAGATGATCAGGATACCGATGACAGGTGGTTCGCGGGACGAACTCAAGAAGAAGGTATTACCATCGCATTCCAGTTCTTACTCTAGGCGCCGGGTACTGATTAGAACACAGCCTTCGTCAAGGCCAAGAAGGTCTGGCCGGACAAGAAGTTTGAGCTGGTGAGTTAACATCTTTGATCTTTCCTTGATCTACACAAATCACAGTTACCAGGGATGATATTTCCCAATGAACTTTTCATCTCATGATCCGCCAGAAGCTGGCATCTCAGAAGCTTACATATGGAATACTAGATCCGGGACGAGGATGTCCTTGATACATGGTTCAGCTCTGGTCTCTGGCCTTTCGCGACTCTCGGTTGGCCCAGAGAAACTCCCGATATGTCTCGTCTGTTCCCCACCAGCGTTCTAGAGACCGGGTGGGATATCATGTAAGTTCACGTTTCTGCGTGAAACTTCCATCTCGTTTATAAAGCACATGCTGACTTAGAGCCCTGCAGTCCCTTCTGGGTCGCTCGTATGATCTTCCTTGGTATCAAGCTCACGGTAAGTAGCATGCCGTCTCCTCTTTACGACAAGCAATATTGACTCAATTGACAGGGCACGGTACCATTCTCCGAGGTATTCTGCCATTCCTTGAGTAGGTTTACAGCATCCTTCAGCGTGACTTAAGCCGGACTGACCTTTGTACAGTTCGTGACTCCGAAGGCCGAAAAATGAGTAAATCACTCGGTAACGTTATCGATCCTCTGGACGTCATTCGCGGCATCGAGCTCCAAGCTCTCCATGACAAGCTACTTACCGGCAACCTCGCTGCCTCCGAAGTCAAAAAGGCTACCGCATACCAGAAGACTTCATTCCCACAAGGCATTCCTGAATGCGGAGCAGACGCCCTTCGCTTCGCTCTCATTGCCTACAGTACGGGCGGTGGCGACATTAATCTCGATGTCAAGGTCATTCAGCTTTACAGGCGCTTCTGCAACAAGATCTGGAACGCCTGCAAGTATGTCCTCGGCAAGCTAGATGCTGTCAAGGACTTTGTTCCCGCGAAGCAGCTGGCTCTTAATGGAAATGAGTCGCTAGCAGAGCTCTGGATTCTCGGGAAGATGAATCACGCCACCAAGGCAATTAATGAGGCTATCGAGCAGAGAGATTTCATGAGGAGCGCCAACCTTGTATACTCTTACTGGTATTTCCAACTGTACGTGGCCCCCCACGCAGACTAACTCGGGCTTGGCTAACTGTTTACCATCTAGATGCGATGTTTTCATCGAGAACTCCAAGGCTTTGATCCAGGAGGGTTCGGAAGCTCAGATAAATTCTGCGCTTCAGACGCTCTACTCTGTTCTTGAGGTTGCTCTCGTCCTCTCTCATCCCTTCCTTCCATTTATTACGGAAGAACTGTGGCAGAGATTGCCCAGAAGACCGGATGATGCAACACGGAGCATTATGATAGCAAAGTATCCCGAATGGGACCAACAATTTGAGAACCCCGAGGCTGAGGCTGCCTACGACATCGTTTTGGGCTGCTCAAAGGGTATTCGGTCCCTGGTAGCCGAGTACTCACCCAAGGACGAAGCGAAGATCTTTATCCATGCCTACGACGCAGCGTCACACAAGACCGTATCCGAGGAGAAGTCATCCATTCGTTCTCTCAGCGGAAAGGGCGCCATGGAAATCGAGATTCTCTCCCCGGATCATGCCCGCCCGACCGGCTGCGTTGCCTTCCCCGTGTCCAGCGCCGTTTCCGTCTTCATCTACGTCAAGGATCGCGTCAATTTGGACGAGGAGATTGCCAAAGCGGCAAAGAAGCTGGAGAAGGCCCGTGCCGCTGTTCAGAAGCAAACTAAGCTGATTCAGGATCCTATGTATATTGAGAAGGTTGCCGTCGCAACGCAGAACGCCGACAAGAAGAAGTTGGCTGATTTGGAGAGCGAGGCGAATGGCTTTGAAACAACTATTGAGCAGTTTAAGCAGCTAAAACTCGAGTAAGAAAGGGGCTAATCCCTTAGATCGTTAAGAAAATAGATTAGTAGACCTCAAATCTTTGTTGGTTCTTGTCATGTAGTTTTCCTGTGACACGGAAGGCTTGTGTTGGTCGCAAGGGCCTGAAATCTGAGCCTGGCCGCTCTTTCTTTGCACCACAGATGAGGGTAGCATCGCTTGGTTAGTTTACTTATTTTTAGTATATCGGTAGAGGCTCTCAAATGACTTCAATTTGCATTGCTCAGGTTACTCAAGTGATTCAATTTACGACAATGCTAGCTTTCGATTGAAATATGGGGTGACCGTGGCTCGGACATTGAACTCGATCTTGTTCTATTCTGCGTGTGTATAAATCAAGTTCATAGATGTCTGAACGGGGATGGCTGAAGCTATTCCTCCATCGAACTCTTAATCTCCCCTGAATTGAGGCTCTCTCCTCTAGAAGAACTGAATGATATGCTCGACCATCGCTCGGTGTCCCAGATACGCGGCTAGGCTTACCTGCATACAGTAGGACTAACAAGCGCCTCAGTATCACGCCGAATCTTGTTATACGCGGAGTCATTAGGATCAGGGATACCCATGATCTATCCAAGAAACAAATTTTAACCTCAAGCCATCTTTGCAGGTCAGTTCATACCAATTCAAGCCTTATTCTTCGTTATTAGTCTCAAATTAGCTCAACGCGATTATTCTTGGGTCAGAATGAAGTCTTATACTAAATACAGGTACCTGTATCAGCCATTCGTCAATACACCCTTGCTGCAGCCTGTGTATCAGTGCATGTATTACACAAAACGCTTCATATAAATACCTTTCTGATCTTTGATTGGCGGCCGATGGGTGTAACACTGGTAGGTGGAGAACGGAGAACCTCCTTTATCAACTTCTTGCAATGTTTGACGGCCGTTGGTCGGGATCGAACTCCTCGCCAATAGTCGCTTCGATACCGATCAAACATGATGAATACTGTTGCCTCGCTCTGCATGCTACTCTATATTTGGGTACTACAATGCCTCACCCAGAGTTCAAGATTGGAAGCAGCTTATCCCGCCCGCGTCTCAAGACTCCATGTACATATAAGTACGTTCAGCGGCATAAGTCTCACGATTTCACAGTCGACTCCATACGTCTTAAGACTAAACATCCAATACCATACACAGTAATAGTTGATTCTTCAGCGTATAGTTTGAAAATGTTGTTTACAATCTGCCTCCTCGGCCTTCTCACTCTCCCGGCTGTTCGTGCAGATGGCTGGGATGATTTCTCGAATAACCTCGTGACAGACTTAGCTCCCTTTCTATCCCTATTCGGCGAACAAATTACGAAGCAGTATCTCAGCGAAAGCATTGCCACGATTGATTGTTTCATCTTCGCAATGGCACCCATGGGCATCCTGACTGCGATTGTTTCAGCCATTCGCGTCTGTGGGAGTCCTTTGCTGCGTGCCTTTATTGGCAGGGCACAAGAAGGAAGGGGAGTCGCCGAGGCAGAGCTGTGCTCCTCCACGAGTCGAGATGTGTGCGAGCTCTATAACAACGGCGGCATCGCGAGGGTCTTTAGGCGTCCAAAGATTCTTAAGGTTGTATACGACCCCGAGCATAATTTTGCAGACGAGAAAGCCGGTATATATACATTTCAGGAATTTATCGAGAAATATCCGAAGAAATGGACACGATACATCGATGTGTTGAGTTGGACACTACGAAACTTCAGGGACCCAGCAACAATTCCAACCTACGACATTGAGAAACGTCAAGTAGAAGTGAATATTTCTGTAATTTTCTACTTGAATACCAACTGGTTGCTGTAATACATTGATAAATACGCAGTTCAGATAAAGATATATATCTCAAAGAGTATGACTCGATAGAGCTATGGAAACACATATGCCCGCGAAAAATGTCATTTAGATTTATTCTCTGAATCCATCACTCATTTTCCAAATTCAACCCCAGATGCAGCAGGATCGTGAATCGAAATAGTCTTCTCCACCAAAAACTCGCTCAGAGCATACTTGCCGTTATTCCTTCCCCAACCACTGCCCTTCGTACCTCCAATCGGGATATTGGGCTCATCATACTCCGTAATGTTGCCAATATGAACCTGTCCTGCCTCAATTTGCTTGGCAACGCGAATGGCGGCGAAGACATCTCGGCTATGAACCGCCGCGTTCAGGCCATATGACGTGTCGTTGGCAACTTCGACGGCTTCATCTTCGTCCTTGACGGTGATGAAAATGGCGGCGGGAGCAAAAATCTCTTCTTGGTAAATTGTGTCTGTAGGCTTCACGTCGGTGATGATGGTCGGCGTTAAGCTGGTTCCAGCTGCGTTGAGGCTTGCGTCTCCCACGAGGAAACGGGCTCCTGCAGCATGGGCTTTGTGCAAGAGGTCATGCGCCCTCTGGGCCAGTCTTTTACTGACAGCATGACCAGCACCTTTGGGATACTTTGTCTTCATGACCGTCTTGATCTCTTTGAGAAGCTCATCCGCAACCTCCTGCACCACAACAATGCGGTCGGTAGACATGCAGATCTGTCCGTGGTGTAAAAGTGCACCCTCAACAATCTTGTCGGCTGCATGCTTTACATCGGCATCCTTGAGCACAACTGCAGGAGCTTTTCCTCCCAGCTCCATCAGAACTGGCTTCAAGTACTTGGATGCAAGTTGGCCAATGATGCGGCCCACAGCATCGCTACCAATGAACTCGACTTTGCGGATGGCTCTATGAGCAATCAACGTTTCCGTCACAACTGGGCCATCCTCACGCGAAGCTTGCAATACGTTGATGAGACCCTTTGGCATACCAGCCTCTTCAAAAGCCAAAGCCAGTAGCTGATGCGTTGCCGGGGACAATTCCGATGCCTTGAGCACAACGGAGCACCCAGCGCCAATGGGAGCAGCCAGTGCACGTCCAGAAAGGACCATACTGGCATTCCATGGGGGGATTGCAAGAACAGGGCCAACCGGCTCTTTATAAACCAATACAAGCGATCCAGGAGTCTCTAAAGATGGCAGTTCACCTGTCGTGGCATGCGAGACGTTTGAGGCAATCTCACGCAGGCATCGTATCAAGATAATGGCATTAAACCGAGCCCAGCCTTCGGGGCAAGAAGTTTCAGCAACTTGCAGTTCGACGAAGCGATCAGTCCAGGCCTCAATCACATCAGCCGTTCGAAGAAGCAAGTCTCGACGCTCAGTGTGGGTAGAGTTCTTCCACTTCCGAAACGCCTTGTAGGATTCCTCAGCGGCCTTGATGGCCAACTCAGGTGTCGCACTTTGGGCATAATGGACAATTTTATCCTGACTGCTGGACTCGACGGGAATGAGGCGAGTTGCATCTAAGGGTTCATTGACACCATTGATTCTGATGGGGACAACTTCTTTGCCATTGGGGTCGTTGATAAAAGGCATGGTCGATGATGTTATTTGAGAAGTTGGATTGAGTGGTGGTGTTTGTAAATGGCTTAAAACGAGGATTAAATACTTATATCGTTGAGAAAGGTTCTCTAGCAATGATGTACCATGAGAGACAAAAAAGTCAACAAGCAAGACTCTGATCTTGAATAATGAAAACACTTCGTTGAAGCCTCAGAGAAAGTCTTGCCTAAATAGACTCTAAGATAATCTACGGGGTAAAGTCAAGTATTAAATACACAATCATTGCTGGCTCCGGGTGTTGTTGTCGGGACTTCGCTCTCCGTTGTTTGGTGTGCATCGGCATCAACATGGGATGGGTTGGGTTGGTCAGTTCGCTCCCAGGATGCTCGCGACACCGATGCAGATTAATTCCGATGCTGATGCTGTAGATGATGTAAAATAGATCGAGCCTAGTTCATTGGAGACCATTGGCCTCGCGTATACATTATACAATAGTAGAAGTTGGAGATATTTCCTATCAGGGATTCAGGGCAAAACAAGTGCCCAAGACTTGGCGTATAGTCAACAAACATATGATGATCATTGGAATCATGTGTATCATGCTGACACCTTTTCCATAGCCACTGTTTCTACGCTACATATCATTGTCTCGTCCTACGTATTGCCTATTGAAAAAGGTCTATGTTGTCGCTGTAACTTATCGCTGTGATTTAAAAGTCTTGCATACATGTAGAGTGTACGGTTATGCAAACATTGATGATACAGCCCCCACCAATTACCCAGTACATACCCCAGCTTTTGTGGCCATCCATCCCAGTCTTTCTCACTAATTTTCATCAAGATGCACACCCACTCTCGGCTTTCCATGAAATTCGGAGCACTGGTATGTCCGAAACAGGGGAAATTCATCGGAGATATCCATCAACTCCAAGAAACATATGTCAGCTGCGTAACATTTGCTCTACGTATTACTTCTCTCGTACTATCTAAAGAATATTCAGCGACTCGCAATATGGTAATCGGCGGCACCGTCGGACTGTAAACTCTCCGACTATGACCAATCGATTGTATTGATAATGATTACCAGATCTCACCTGTAAACGTACATGTTGAGCTTGATAAACGGCAGTGAAGAGATGGTATAAAACATGTTATAATGCAGTACTCTTGAATGTATAATATAAGGGTTAGAGAGTAGCATTCGCTAACGAAGAAAGAGTGTATGAAAAGCTATAGACTTTGATCAATCCCACGGCCGGACTATAAGTTTCCTGATGTGAGTGGATCACACCATCTAATACATATAACTTTATTTCTACCCACTTGCCGGCGTGTGATAAACGACATAAGCTGCGGCTCATTCACGCACGAGACGTCTTTTACTGTACATGGACAGTCTCACCACTAATGACATATGTCAGGTCATCATGACAATAACACTTTAGAACCTTATCAACATAGGTATGTAGGTTCTAAATCAACAGCGCGGCGGCATAGAGAGTAAAAACATTGAATTCTGAAGGCAGCAAACGTTTAATTCAACTCCGCATCTATCCCCTTCAAATACCGCTAATCTCTGGCTACGAAGAGCTGCAAATGTATAAAATACCGAATCCCAAACCCCAAGTCCCAAATCCCCATGTTCATAGAAAATCCGACGCCAGTTTTTTGAATCCCAACCCCCAAAACAGAAAAGAGCATTGAGTAAGATGCTCATCAACCCCCCATAATATCCCAGTAGCAAGACAACTTGCCGAATTTGAAAGAAGATTTCTCCAGCCGAAAACATTGCAATGATATCCTCCCAAAACGCAAATTGTAGACGCAGAGATTCCCTCCCAAGAGCAAACCAGTTAACCGAAAGAAAGAAAGAACCAAAGAATTTCACCAAGTGAAACCATCCTCGGTGATTTGAATGATGGAAATTTGCTCTCCACCCTCATTTTCATCCGCTTCATTATCCTCATTCTCATCCATAACTTGATCATCGGAGTCGTCCTCGATTTCCTCCAAGGGCGGTCCACGTTCCGTATGATCGTTCCCTTCATCACTCTGGTCAGGAGGAACGTCAAGCGAGCACTGTAGATCCATCCCAGGAATCTCAACCTCCATAAGACCATCATCGCCAAAATAATGTATAAACGCATCTCCATCAATCGCCAATTCAAGTTCCGGAAGGTCCTCTACTTCGTCGTCGTCCTCCACCAAGTAAACTTCCAAGTCGACATCCGGGTGACCCTCAAAACCGCCCACAACCTCGACATCGTGAAGAATATGCGGAGCTTCGTCGTCGCTCTCCGAATATTCCGGCTGGGTATTGACCACGTTGTTCATGTGGATGACGTCGTCAACTTGCTCGTCATCTTCAGTGCTGCTACTGTTGCCACCGCTGCTGCTGCTAAAGTCGGAACAGCTGTCGTATGTGCTTGAGGAGTCGTACACGATTTCGGGCGAATTCGGAGCCCCACTCGCCGTGGATATTGTAATGGTCTCGGATTCCGGTGTTTCTGCTTGACCGAAGACTGATGAATCTTGAACAGTGGTTTCGGTGCTCGTTTCTCCCGGAGGGGTTTCCAGCCCGTAAGCTGACTCTTGGGTAGACGCCAGGGTATCCCATGTCGCCAGGAGCCCCTTCCCAATCATGATGTCCTCGATGCCCAGTCCGAGTTGACGAGCCTCTTCGAGTTTCCTGTTCCCCTTTTCAATGAGATCTCTCCGAAGAACATCACCCAGTGTACTCGAAACTTCCACATCCATCAGCCGATCTTGGATAGCGCAATGCAGAGACTCCCTTTGCGGATCCCAGTGCATACCGATCCAAGTTGGCAAACAGTCCATGCCGATGAAAACGGTATCCAGAGTAATCCCTTCTTGCCTTGCAGTCTCCAGACGAACGTTGGACTCTCGCTGGATGTAATTTGCGACATCACCGGAGATTAGCCTGCTTGGTAGCGTTTGGGAGAGAAATTCTGCAAATGTCGGTTGGCTTTGGGTAGACTCTTTGTCTGCTTCTTTCCCTCGAGAGATGTCAGTATCGATGTTGAATCAGGTGTTTCAGGATATCTCAGTGTTACGAACGCTGCGGCTCTGGTATCTTGGATCGTCGGCGGATCTTGCGACGCGTCACGAGAGGGTTATCATCGTCGCTGCCAGAGGATATTTCGATGACTGTTCTCTTGGTGGAAGCCATGGCTGGAGGCGGCTACGAGAAGAATAGCGCTCGAGAAACTATGCAGAGGTGAGTGGGGAGTCTGTTCAAGGTTGGAAGAGGAAAGAAAACAGAAGAAAAGAGCAGAGGGAAGAAAAAGGAGAGAAAATGAGAGAAGAGGGAAGAAAGAGAGTTGAGAGAAGAAGATGAGATTAACCCAGCTGCACCTCAGAACTTTAGTCGGTAAGATGGGAAAAAACTTGGCCAAAGTAATGCTGAGAACAGCCAAAGTCGCAACCGTGAACAACAACAAGGAATTGAACACATCCTGGCGGCAAACGAAATCATTCTCTCCATTGGCCCGCGCTCTACCATTGAAACTCGCGAACAATTATGATGTGCTTGTATTGTCGATGTGCAGAACATGTCGTTCTGGATTCACCTTGACAGTAAACTGCAGGGAATCCACACTTCAAACACTCCGCTTCTCTTATTGTTCTTGGGCTTCAACAGCTGTCAATATCCGCCGCCAGACCGGTCACTTGCATACACTCTTTTTTGCACAATAGCTTTATTAGGGAAATGTTAGCCAGCACCACAGAGACTGCTTGAGGTTCAAGTGTCGGGACAAGATACGGAGGCAAACTTATTGCTTACTTACTTGTCTAACAAAGAATAGATATCTAGCTCTTCAAGGGTCTGCTATTGTCACTCCTTTCTGTTACTACCGATATTTTAATCTGGTATCTACTACTAGCGCTACATGTTTCTGCTATCTGCTGCTATAGCTATATTTCCCTGGATAATTTCTGGTATCATCGCTTATTCTCAGGTATGCAGTTTCAACTTGGACATGGGATATTAGATAGCATTTCCCTGTTCGAACCTATAACGCTTCGTTTGCCGGCTTCAACAGCAATCAAGTTCACAATCCCAACACAGAGAAACATCTTATCACGTACCAGTCCGTGATTCACTGCCAGTGATGAATGCGCAGTTACACCACAAACGCACATGCCTAATCGAGTGACGCAAGCCATATGCATCAGCTCTGCGATAAAGCACTTGACCAATACACATGTGTCTCTCCAAATCTCATATCAATCATGCTACGCTTAACCTACCTTATATAAACCTTCTTCTTTCCTAGTTTTCACGCAGATGCCAATGCAGATACGACTGTGATACTCTACCGAAAATCCTCACCATCTCTATACCTTTCACATAACTTCAAGAAGCCCCTAGGACAACATGTCTACGATGGATAACACACGTCCAGCTCAATCTACTAACCCATCGTCCTCATCCAACGAAACAATCCAAGGCTCTCGAACCGTCACAGCCACATCCACCACCAGCTCCTCGTCTTCATATTGTCCCGACTGCCCCATATGCAACCCTCCCGATGCCAAATCAGCCAATACCTCTGCATACGGCACCATCGAACCGCTCTCTTACGATTCTCAACCGCCTGAGCCAACGTTCCTCGAGTCATCAATAGAAGCATGCGCTCAATTCTGTTGCTGCATCTGCGACAGCCCTCCTCCCTCGATTCGAACAAGCGACTGGTCATCAACGACCTATCCTTCTTCAATCTCCTCGAACTCGTACTCCTACGGCGAAACAGAGACTGGATCCTCCCAAAGTCAAACAAGCGATACCGAAACCACACACACACAGAGGCACAGCGACGGATATAAAAGCCAACAAGAGATGCGACCCGTCAAAGACGACTCCGTTCAAGACCCGCAAAGTCTGTCCAGCAACCTCGACACCAACTCGGTAACTCATAGTGGCGAAAAAAAGAAGTCGTATTCGATAGCTTAACGTATCACATAGCCGTTGAAGATGCTCATCCAGTCTATTCATCGTTGCAAAATCCAGTTCCCCATCCTGCGCCGTGTAATGTGTCCCATTGTACCACAGAAAATGCCAATCAAGCAAACAACCGACTTTTAATCTGTACCATCAGGTTAGCCCGCAATCTCGCCTCCAACTGCAAAAGGTCTTTCGTACTTGTGTATGATATCCCATTCTCCAAACAAGCCAATCACTGAATCTCCATATCCTGCTCCTCCTGCGCAGCCTTCTCCTCAACAACAGGTGCATCTATTCCCCCATTAGCACTTCCATATACCTTCTTCCACCTCTACCCAGCCCCAAGACTCAAGCAAGACAAAAACGCACCTTTCATCTCAGCCTCTCCCTCCGCCTCCATCTTCCTCTTCAGCGCATATCCCATCTTCTTCTCCAGCTTCCTCGCCTTCTTAGCGCTAATCGCAGCTCTCGGCCCGCTCGTCGGCAACAGGCCCGGTCGTGCGCCCCTGGTCTTGTCGGCCTTGGTGATCTTGTTCTTGTTGGCAGGGTCGGCGCGCTTCTGGTTTGCCTTCTTGGCCTTTGCGGCACGGGCGGCGAGCCGGTTCTTGGAGAGACGGTTTGGATTCTTGACGGAAGGCATTGTGAGGAAACAAATCAACGACGCTGGTATTTATGGATGTATATTCTGAATGAACCGCAGATTTGGTTGGTAAATGTACGTAGAGAGATGGTGGTGATATCGCCAAAGAAAAAAAAAAGATAAGCCCCACCAAAAGAGAGCAGCCGTCCAGCTACTAAGCTTTTTTTGGTTGGACCCTAGACGCAGGTACCGAAAGTCCAGTACCAATCGCAACTTTTATGCCAATGAACATCTAGATGCAGATTGATGACGCTCAATAGTTATTCTTATTTCAATTGTTTTTTAATGTCATTATTACACCCAAATTACCCATCGTCTGACTTCCCCATATCGTATACAGACATTATTCGAAAACAAAACTCCCAAACACGCTTAACTTTATGTAGAGGTCTTCCAAAGCATGTGTTTGCCCCGTTGACATAACTTTCATATCCCATTTGCATATCATGATTGAGCTGCAGCAGGTCGCTTAGGAACGTTGGATCCCTCACCTGCCAGCATTCCTTGCCTCTCATCGTCCTCGTCATCGGTCGACAGTCCATCCAGCTCGAATTCCTCCGCCGCTCGGATTTGGCCATCCTCTACAGCTCGTCCGTTCAGGTGAGTGTGGCCATTGGTGAATCCTTTGGTATCCAGAGGTGGGTTTGACAGACGATCATAAAGGTGGATGAGCATATTGGCAAACAAAAAGACCAAAAAGGCGAGAGAGTAGAGGATCAGGATGTAAGAGATGACATCCATGCTGGAGCCGTCGATGAGAGACATCTGCTGTTCGGTCGCACCCATGAAGAGGAAGCCGGCGGCGTACAAGAGCTGCGAGCGTTAGTTACCATCCAACTTGGCGCATCGGGTGCGGTGTCAACTTACGAAAACAGGAATGTACTGGAAGCTGTTCCAGGTGCGTCCATCATCGGATAGGGATTGAGCATCCTTGAGAACAAAGGCAATCTCAATGATACGTGTAAGACCAGCGGCCATCAGAGTGTAACCAAACATGGTGTGCGTCATGGCGCTGACCATCAGCTCTTGGGGGTGCGCAGACATGCCCCAACCAGTCATGAGGATGACGAAGCCAGGGATGAAGTTGCGCTTCGGGTTACCATCGCGATCTCGGCTCAGCCAAATACCAGCCAGACCAGCACACCACCAGATGACGCCCATTGTAGTGTGCTGCCAATCATTCTTGACCCAGGCGGTACCCCAGCGGTGCTCTGTAAAGGTGTTGACGCAGCCCCAGGCGGCAATGACGGCGCTGTCGTAGAACTCTTGCGATCTTCCCGTACGGCGAATCCAGACTTGTCCCGCGAGCAGAATAATGGTCAAAAGGATACCGTAGGCAATGAATGCGCCTCCCATGATGAAGTGGGCTGCGCATTGGCCAACGTGATCGCCTTGGCAGAAACCAAGGGTGGTGATACCTCCAAAGATCATCTGCACCCAAGCGAGAAGAGGCATCGCTTTGCCAATGACGGAGTGGAAGGGTCGGACAAACTTGCGAATCATGCCGAGGGCGCCCTTCTCCCAGTGAAGCTTCAAGTATAGGCCCAAGACGACCTGGCCGATAAGCAGGAGCTGCAAGATGTTGGCAAACACCGAGTGCACATTGTGGCTGACAAACTCCCTTCCTTTGTGCGCATGGCCGAGAAAGAAGCCGACGACGGCGAGGATGGAGCCTAGGATTTGCGTCGGAACGTGCCATCGAGACTTGGTCATCTGTGAATGCATAAAATCAGTCGCTGCGCTCCTGCAAAGCACCATCTGCAGTAGAGACGGTGATTCTTACACCAAAGACCATGCCGATGGGGAAGATGACGCCGTATGCGAGCATCTGGATGAGGATGTGGATCCAGAGAATCGTGTCCTGTGATTCGAGTTAATTGCCTGTTTTCTCTTCTTGTCTATTATTGTATTCCCAAGCGGCGACTCACGACCGGTTCGAGTGATATCGCTTCGCCCTCGGGGATGTGGCTTTCGCCGCCCTCGTGGTGATCGTGGCCCTGGACAAGCGTCCCAAACGAAGCGATCGACAGCAGCAGCAGCGCCGCTGCCGCTGGCCGAGACAGCTGCATCATCTTGATTGCGATGTGAATAAAGAAAAAGAATCAAGAATCAAGCGGTATAGAAAAGAATCCCTTCTCTTCACCTCCTAGAGCCGAATCGTATCGCGCTTCCGGTCCTTTGCAGCCGTAGAGAAGGGACGCCAGAAAAACCTCGGCCGGGTGGTTATCAAGGGCATTGAAACATTTTTGAGCGGCTTGATCGGAGATGAAATGCCACGACTTGCATCGAAACGCGCAGGGAGGGCCCCTGCCACCGACGTTCTGCCGGGCGAACCAAGAGACCTGCAATAGGCGATTACACTCGCCAGATATGAAGTACCAGCTACAATTGGAGTAAGACCGGGGCCCCGATTACTGGGATTTGCCCCCGCAAAGTTCGCTGTCTTGATCAAGGATTATAAGAGACGGACGGAGAAATAGTAGTAGTGACCAAAGATAAAGCAGACATTCGGTCTCTTGATAAGTTCCACAGTCCATATATGCTTCATCATTGAAAAATATATATAGGGATGTACAAGTGAATTATTCCGCATCCAACGGTCCATGATCAGGTTGAAAACACTACCTATTCCACAAGCAGAGAAACTCACTCCATACCTGTAATTCGAGATATAGTACAAGCAAGATTCCAGATTCTCCACTCCTGCATGTCATCTCACGCGGCTAACGCGGCGCGATGCTCTTGAAAGAGTCGCACCTTATTGAACACGAGCTCGAGTATTTCTTTGAAGGTGATCTCGGTGTTGACAAAAGGAGTCTTTTGAGAGCCCAGCCCCTACGAATGTACTTGAATCCATTGCCAGTGTTACATATCACCAATCTCCATTGTTCATCCAATGACTGCTCATTGCGTACTGATCCATAGATTCGCTCTTACACGAACCACAATCCGGTGTTATCTGCCAAGAAATGCAATTGATATGATTAAGAGCGTGCATATCACATGTCAGCTAATATTATACGTTATCCTACCACCCTACGAGTTAGAGGTATGGAGTCTATAACCTGTGCAGTTTTCTGACATTGGTACCGCCAAACTAAACCCCCTCCCAATTTACAAGGTAGGTACCCTGAACGCTCCACGAAATGGAATGCATGATGCCTTGTGCCACAACTCAGCGCCTTCCGTTAAACAATTCCATCAGTCTAGAATTTCGGCGATTAGCGCGTCTCGTTAGAATCAGACGATGCAGCGATCAAACGGCAGTGGCCCAATTAGCCGCTTCCTTATTCTATGCATTTGGGAAAGCGGGAGAAAACGTCGATATGATGATGCTATGACATGAAATCAATGCCTTGCCTTGAGGGGTCTCTCACAGTATTGAAACATATCAAATGAAGATTGAACCATCTAGACATTTACCTCCGTCTACTACAACTTCAAGGCCCCTCTTCCCAGGCAATACTACAGCTAAATGACCATGCATCTCGTTCAGCTTCTAGTAGCTGCCTCGATAATCGCTGCGACCACGGCAGTTCCTCTCCTGAATCAAGAGATCATCACCGAGACTCAACACAGGGCGTGCGTTTACGGAGTCCCCAAAAAATATGACCACTGGACCATTCACTATCACGAGGTGCAGCCGCCATCCCAGTTCCCGATGCGGTTTGTTCTCGATCCAGCATGGGTAGCGCGCCACCAAACCGTCGGAGATGCAGACGTAAGTTTTAGTTTTACCTGAGCTCATATCCATCTCCAAAGGCTACAATCTAACAAATCCAGCATTTCTCTTTGGGCGCTGATTGGGTCCCGTGGGCTGAAAACAGGTGCCAGTATACCTGCAACGCGAGAAAGAAATGCGTCTCTTGGGTTGGGTATCAAAGTAATACGTCCTGATTTGCCTCCATCGCCATCATATAAACTAACTCCGCCTATCCAGCTAAGCACTCGACACCCAAAGAAGGAGAATTTTCCTGCTATTTCTTTGACGCCCTGTAAGTGTGCCGTCTGAAGTGTATTCGTTCAAGCTGACGCCCCGTTAGCATTCAGCCCGAAAATATTGTGCCGCGCGCACCAGACGAGCCTTTTAAACTTACGCATGCATATGACAGGCTCTGCGAGAATGATACCGAGATCTAGGCATAGGGTGCCTGTGTCTCAATAGCCGCCCTGTGTGTGTAGATGGGATTGTGGCAGATTGCATGCATGGGAGGCCCAGCCTTCAACAAAATGTTGTTAGTAATGTAATGTCAAGCAACAAGTAATGATTAGAGTACCTTGAAGCATGCCTGATTAATAAATCCATTGTAAAATATTTCCAAGAAGCCAGCCTTCTCATGCATCTACTCCTTCTTGACGCTCCCCTCGTCCTTTTCAAGGAGCTCCCGCGCCCTTCTCCACAGCTCCAGCTCCATATCTCGTTCAACTTTGGTACTCCGACTGTTCAGCCACCCAACATCCAGATTTCCGATGGCTCCCATGCCATTAGGCTTCAGAGATGGCTTAACAGTAGTGTTGCGGCCTTGCCGAGGTCCGCTGGATAGATTGACGATGCCCGCTTCTTCTAGTGCGAGGATTTGGCGCTTCATTCGTACGTCGATACTATGGAGCGTATCAAGAAAAGTACCTGTGGCCTCCCTGAATGCCTCCTTTTGCGCTGTTGACTCTACTGATGCTGAAGGATTGCTGTCGTCGGATGACGCTGGCGTGGTGAGGGCGCCAAGCGCAGTGGCAGTGTGGTTCATCAGCTGGACAATGGACCGGTCGATGGAGTTGAGCTGGCCGATATTTTCTTCCAGGGTGAAAGGGACAAAGGGCTCCTGGGGTTGGGGGTCTTCCCTTCCGTCTCCCATGACAATGTCCTCTGGTGAAGCCATGGCAGTGAGATTGGACGAGAGATTGCTAAGCTTGTGTGGTCTTGCTCTATCTGATTGTGTGATCCTTGGCTGATATTTTGGAGATTTCAGATCTGTTTCCGAGGGCCACTTGAGTGATTGAGGCGGTATGGAGGATGTGAAGCGTGTGGTTATGGATAGGTATGTGTAGGTAGTTGAGTTAAGTTCAAGTTGTGCTGTTAAAGCATGGCCAAGGAACATTGGAAAACTGTGGGTCCCGGTAACGCGCCGCGAATCTGATAAGATACTAACCAAGACGCCGGTACGGCATTGATGCGTTATAAGAGAAGACTCTCTATTAAAATATTTCTATAATTCAAGCATCTTACAAAAATAGTATTCAAGAATCAATTCATTGTACCATATTCCAGACCTAGCGACCATGATGATGTACAACAGCACACTTGGCTTGACAGGTACCGAGCCCGAGCAGCTGAGAGGCGCTGCTTAAACTTCGGCTATACTAACCGTGCTTCTGGTCTCGCGGTCTTCAGTCCTCTAAGTTTACCTTTCTCAACAACAACCTGGTGCCTTGGCCATCAAATCACAGTCGCTTTCTATCCTCTGCAACGCCCTCTTTTCCTCCGATTATCGCACACAGGCATCCCAGTTGGAATCACTGGACTTTATTGGGCTTTGCGGAGCTCACGACTGGTACAGATCGCCTCCCGCATACCGCCAAACGACCAGGGCGTGAGATCCAGGCGCAACTTGACCTCGCTGAACGACGTTGGCACGAACTGCGTTGCGCCTCACGCCGTGCGGGACAAGGATCTACTATGACATAGCTCCCAAGTTTAAGCATCTTGGAAGCACATCTCCCCAGCAGTACCGATCTTCGAAACCATCTCTCTTCAAAGACGGTCTTCACTCTCCCTCCGCCATGGCTTCTCAGGCGCCAACCCAAGGCGCTGGCACGGCCAACTCATATGCAGGGCAACCAGCAACATCACCGGCTGGCCCTCCCGCCGCGACTACGGCTGCAGCTGGCACCACTGGAGGTGCCATGTCAAACCAGAATCTGAACCAGATAGTACGTGGTAGCATTTGGAATCATGCCTGTTCCAACCGTGGTCCTTCTCCCCACCGTGGTCCCTTTTCCGGGGGCCGCTTTCATGTCGGATGGAAAAGTTTTTGTCCTCCACAGGAATTTGATGAGCGTGCACTTGCTAAGGTATACTGATGTCCTTCTTGTGCTACATTGCCTCAACCACTCTGTAGCATTCGATGAGCAGCAGCATCCTAAAACAAGTCTCATGTGCCACCCATTTTCACTCACTACCCCATGCTCAAGAGCTTTGTCTTCTCCTTCATGCCTCTCTCTTTATCCTCATGGAAAATAGTGTACCCAATCGCAACTACACATCAAACCCTATCAAATACTCAGAATCACTTCAGCTAACGACATCACTAGGTAACGGATTATTTGCTTAAGCGAGGCTTCAACCGAACTGAAGAGGTTTTCAGACAGGAGTCAAAGCATCTGGGTAACGATGGAAAACCAGTCCAGCAACTGGCAAATCTAGGTCCAAAGAAGTATTCGAGAGCGTTTCGCCTCTTGAAGGACTGGGTCGAAAACAATCTCGAAATCTACAAGGTAGGTGCTTCCTTGAACGGCTTGCTGTCCATGTCCGCATGCTAAAGAGACTCTTGCGTTAGTTTGAGCTCTCAAAGCTTCTCTGGCCGACGTTTGTTTACTCTTTTATCGAGCTGGTCGCAAATGGATACACAGAAGAGGGCAAGCTGTTCCTCAAGGAAATTGGACAGCATTTCCAGGCGTCACATGCAGATGACTTAAAGACGTTTTCAACCATCACGCTTCCACAACATACAAACGAGAACCCCATCACCAAATTATACAAGGAGAACAAATATCGTATCCCCTTGAACCAACACGCGACCGGCGATCTTTTCAACTTCCTCGAGCGCGAGTCTGATCAAGGTGGATCCGTGATCCGACAACTACTCGTCTCATATTGCCAGATTGATTCAACGGCTCGAGGGCCCATCACTCCATTTAGCTTTGAAGCAGTGTTCAGGAAGACCAAGAATCTAGAAGTTGAGGAGGTGGATACCAAGGAAGGTATTCCAGGTGTCAACATCGGGCTGTCCAACAAAGATATCTTGGACCCGGCCGCCCCTCTGAGCCTTGGACCTCTACCGATGGATACTGATCTTCGCGACGATATCCGAGCGGAAATCGAAGACGACGAACGGCGGAATCCCCCGGCCCCAGGTGCACCCAGCCTGATCGAAGAGCTCGACCAAAAGATTAAACGAGAAGAGAGTGCAGATGCCCCAAGCCGAGCCGATCTACCTCTACCCCCATCTCGCCCGCGAGACATTATGCTTGAAATGCAAAAGCTGCGAGAAAACAGAGACCGATTCAAAATCGAGGGTCGAACAGGTGGTGTGGGCGTCCCCGTCAGCGCCTGCATGTTTACCTTCCACAACACATTTGGAAGGCAAGTAGTGTTACACTTGAACTGACAAATAAGAGCAAAAGAGACTGACCTTTAAGACAGCGTATCATGCATGGAGTTCTCCGACGATGGGCAGCTTGCGGCTGTGGGTACCAGCGAATCCTATATCCGCGTCTGGTCTCTAGATGGCAAAGCTCTCCCCAGCTCAAATGCTCATGAGAAGGGTGCCAAGTTCAACAGCCGGAAGCTGATTGGACACTTTGGCCCCGTATTCGACATTTCGTTCTCCGACTCTGCTTCGGGGCCTCCCCAAAAGCTGTTTGGTGATGAAGGACGCCAGAACGCGGCAATGGACGGGCGGCCGAAGTTGTTACTCTCATGTTCAGGGGACGGACAAATCCGGCTGTGGTCTCTAGAATCTTGGACCTGCCTATGCGTTTACAAGTCACACGACGGACCTGTCTACAGAGCGCAATGGGGCCCACACGGACATTACTTTTTAACTGGTGGCTACGACAAGGTCGTTCGAGTGTGGATGCAGGATCACGCATCACCTCAGCGTCTCCTCGTTGGGCACGACACCGCCATCTCCGCTATTGCATGGCATCCCAACGGCATGTACGTATTTTCGGCGTCAGACGAAACGGACAAGTCTGTCCGCATGTGGTCTGTGGTGACAGGTGCCTGCGTGAGAGTATTTACTGGGCACACCGAGCACGTCAGCTCTCTGGAGTGCGCTCCCAATGGCAAGATTCTAGCCAGCGCAGACGTTGCGGGCAACATTTTCTTCTGGGATCTAGTCAAGGGAACTCGCATAAAGCGGTCTCGCGGCCACGGCAAAGGCGGCGTCTGGTCACTGAGCTTTAGCGTTGAGTCTAACATACTTGCCTCTGGTGGCCAAGATGGCACTGTTCGGCTGTGGGACGTCGAATCACCAGCAGATCCTCACAAAGCCGCTCAACAGGCCGGCCTTGAGGCTGCCGCCGCCGTCGCCGATTTGGCGATTGGTGGTCCCAACGGAGAAGCGTCAAGAATCAACGCTGGACCTTCGGGCCAACCAGCCAACACTGGAGCCACCACGAGCACCAAGAAGAAGAGCAAGGAGGTGATGATTACTCCCGATCAAATCTCTGCCTTTCCCACAAAGAAGACGCCTGTGATTAATGTCAAGTTTACTCGAATGAATCTCGTTATAGCAGGCGGATGCTACGATCCTGACCGGTAGAGCGGAAGCAGGGCATGGCTGAAACAGGTAGATGGGATATGAAACCATGCCGCAATTATGGGGATGTTATTGCAACCGAACGCGAATTGCGCATCCAAGACACCTTGCGGGGGTCTAGATGGCTGCATTGGCGAGTAAATCGCACGAGGTACAAGTGCCGCAAAGAGCCTGACAGAAGGCAGCAGGATAATGACGGACTGGGAATGGGTGTAATACAGCTATAGGCATCGCTTGGTCACGGGGATAATCAGTTAGAACAAAACTGGATGCATCATGATGGCAGCTTAACACCGCCAGAGCATCGAATGAGGCACGAATCTGCCTAAATAATAATAGAAAGCTGAAGCTGAAGCTGGAGAAGCATTCAGTCAGTCAACTTATGGTTAGGTAGCGAATAAAGGCTGTGTTTATACCCGCGCTGTTGATCAGATAATCTCGTCCATTACTTCTTCTTCTGTTATTTCATCCAATTGAGGATGATACATCACTGAGCTCGTCTTTTCTGTTATAGTATTCATTCCCCTTCTCATCACCTACCCATGGAAGGCTGACGATCAGGTGGGGGTGCAGCCTCGCGCCCAGGTACAGGTACCTACGCAACCGCTGACGTTGAGCAGGCGCTAGCGGGTACCGGTGTCTTGTCTCCAGCCAACCCGGTACGTATGCCACCTCAACCGGACAAGCTGCCTTTGCCTTGCCTTGCCTTGACTTCGCAGCTCCGCCTCCAGGCCAGTCCAATTCCTCCAGCTCCTCCAACATCCCGCTCACAGCCTCGGATTTACCGCATTCGCAATGGACGTCGAAGAGTCGCCATGGGCTGATTCCAGCCAGACCCCCCCTGAGCCTGTCGCCGAGAGCGAGCCCGTTGCTTCCCCGCCAGCGACATCACAGGCCTCAACCTCGTCGGCGCCCCGACCTTCGCGCACGCCCCGTCGCATCGTTGCTCAACCTACGAAGCTGGAAGCCGTCGATGATCCTCTCGGGCCTCTGAGCGCCGGACCGACCCAGAATGCCGCGCTGGATGCCCCGCCCGTGCCGCCCCAGAAGGAGCAGATGGTTATCCGCACGACCATGGCGCCGCTCCAGCAGCAGAGACGGTCTGCCGATCCGCAGCTTGTCGAGGATGACGACGACTTGGACAGTCCGAGAGGTCCGAGAATGCCGCCGCCCGTTGATGCTGCGAGGCCTAGCAGTGTGAGGAGCAGCACGCATCCAAGCGTCAGCGTCGAGGAGGCATCCAAGCCTACATTTTACATCACTGTTGGAGACCCGGTCAAGATTGGAGACCTAACAAGTTCGCACATTGTGTACTCGGTGCGGACCAAGGTTAGTCTTGATCAGCTTTGATGGCTTCTCTCGTATATCAAGATTCCCTAGCTAAAGCAAACCCCCCCTTGCCAGACCTCATCCAGAGCCTACAAGCAGCCCGAATTCGAAGTCAAGCGTCGATACCGAGACTTCCTCTGGCTTTACAACACCCTGCATGGCAACAACCCCGGATACGTGGTGCCTCCGCCGCCTGAGAAGCAGGCTGTTGGCCGCTTCGACAGCAACTTTGTGGAGAGCAGAAGAGCAGCGCTGGAAAAGATGCTCAACAAGACTGCCGCGCACCCCGTTCTTCAGCATGACGCTGACCTAAAACTGTTCCTTGAGAGCGAGGCGTTTAATGTTGACATCAAGCACAAGGAGAGGCGGGAGCCATTGCCCAGTGAGAGCAAGGGAGTTTTGGGGTCTCTGGGAATCAATGTCGGAGGAGGAAGCAAATTTGTCGAGCAAGACGATTGGTTCCACGATCGCAAGGTGTACCTCGATGCCTTGGAGAACCAACTCAAGGGGCTTCTCAAGGCAATGGAGGCCATGGTCAGCCAGAGAAAGATGATGGCAGAGGCTGCGGCCGACTTTTCTGCCTCTCTCCACGCACTCTCCACTGTTGAGCTCTCGCCCTCACTATCCGGTCCCCTCGACGCTCTCTCCGACCTTCAACTTACTATTCGAGATGTGTATGAGCGCCAAGCTCAACAGGACGTCCTCACCTTTGGCATCATCATTGACGAGTACATCCGCCTCATTGGATCGATTAAGCAGGCATTCAGCCAGCGCCAAAAGGGCTTTTATGCCTGGCACTCAGCCGAGTCTGAGCTCCAGAAGAAGAAGACGACGCAAGACAAGTTGCTGCGACAGGGCAAGAGCCAGCAAGACCGACTGAACCAGATGAACGCCGAGGTTCAGGAGGCAGAGAGAAAAGTCCACCAAGCCCGGCTCCTGTTTGAAGACATGGGCCGCTCAATGAGGGCTGAGTTGGATCGATTCGAAAAGGAAAAGGTGGAGGACTTCAAGAGCGGTGTTGAGACGTTCCTCGAAGGTGCTGTCGAGGCTCAGAAGGAGGTAAGCGTTGCTCTCTCTCGATTATAATGATACCATCAGTCTGACTAACATGCAAATAGTTGATTGAGAAGTGGGAGACGTTCCTGATGCAGCTGGATGCCCAGGACGACGAGTCGGCTTTCTACAGGCCACCCGTTTACCAGCCAAAGCCTCCAGGCAACACCGTCGTTGATCGCGCTAGGGCAACTATAGATGAGGATTCAGACTAATGGAATGCTTTGAAGCTGTAACCCTTTCATTGCACGGTGGAGTTTTACGGTTAGGCAAAGAGGCAAGTGAATGAGAGCGAAGGGGGGGCTGCAGTGTGCTACTACTATTCGTATTCGTTTCAAAACTTCGGAGATGCATCCCTTTTGTTATATCATACAGGCCGCTAGGCTCAAAGTGCTGTACATATTTGAACAGAATCCACCCCTCTAATCGATGTGTTTTCCTCCGCTGTCTATTCTCCTTGTCCATCTCCCTTCCCTTTTTTTTTTGTTATTCACCCAATCTGCCCACGCGGACAGGTAATGTACACATCATATAAACCCATCTCATTATTTTCTTCGTGTAGGAGACCTCTTGGGACCCGAATCCTTCATCGCGCTCGTATCCTGCGGCGTATACTCCGCCAGCAAATCCTCAAAGTTCAGACCGGTATCCTCCTCGACAGGCTTAGCAACGACCTCCTCAGCGGCCTTTTCACCCTCCTCAGCGCCCTCTACAGCCTGAGCCGTAGCATCATAGCCTCTTCCGAACCGTTCTCTGAAAGCAGCCAGTTTACCAGCCTCGTCCAACTCGACGTTGCGCAAGCTCTTCTCGCTGGGCTGCCACAGAAGCGTGTTGCGGGTGTCCTTTTGGGCGCGGTACAACGGCAGCGGGGAGGTGGTGCGCGCGGTGTAGGTCGATCCGTCGGAGAGCTGGATGAGCTGGGTGAATGTGTATGGCCTTCTGGGGCGGGGGATGAATGTCGCGTTTCGGGTTTGCGTGGAGAGGCTGTGGAAGGGGAGGGAGGATGTGGTTGATGGGCGGAGGGGGGAGGATGAGAGGAGCGTTGAGGGGACGGGGAGCTTCCCCATTTTGGGATATTTGTTTGTTGAGAGATTGAATAGATTGAGGGGAGGGTTCAATTGAGGAGGATTAGAGGCGGAATATGCTTGGTGTTATGTTTTGGTGAGAGGCTTTGGAGGTTGTCGCAAAATTTCCGGCCCGCTGGTTTGGTGTTGTTCCGTAAAGTGGCGGCACAGCGGGAGTGGATTGGCTTATCGATAAGGGAATTGAATCTTGTGCCGAAGCCCTCCAGCAAGAAGCTCTGCCAACTCTTTGGCTGCTGTCTTTTATTATTACGATTCCTTCTTTGCAATTGGGTTATCCTTTTTCTCTTTATAGGTCTAATTCAGGAGATTCGAAGAATCAAGGCCGCATGATTCGATGAGGCCTGTCACGGCGGTGCGACAGCTGTCGCGGCTTGCATGCTGTGGCGCAAGTCGGGTCACGGCTGGGTGGTTGGGAGATGCGCGGACGGTGATGGTGCAACGGAGAGGGTTTTGGGCGTTGCGGCTGATGAGAGGCGTTCATGATGTTGTGGGCCATGCGCTGACTCTTGGGGAGAATGCGACTGGTGTGCGATCGTCTCGAGCAGCTGCGAGCTCCAGCATAGCTTCTCGGGATGCAACATGTGAGGATCCCTGGATACTGTTTTGGGTTGACTCTTTGCTGACAATGAAGTAAGCAATAGCTGAAAAGCCGCAACAATCGACTCCGTCTAGTCAATCGAGCCATACACCCAGTTCGTGGCATACTTCGTTTCCCATACCGCCGACGGCTGATCCGACATCTCCAGCCGCCCTCTCTGAGCAGATACGATCCATTATGCGATTACTCCCACACTCCGTCGTCGTCTGCACCTCAACACATGGACAAACTCCAAGAGCAATGACCATGTCATCATTTACATCACTCACTCTCTCGCCCACACCATTGATATCGTTCAACATTGCCACTCCGAGCCGAACCCTCGACGCCATAATAGAGAGCCGCCATTTCAACATACACATCATGTCAGGGGACGAATTAGGCGTGCAAGTAGCAGACAGGTTTACGAGGGGCAACACGGACGATGTGTTTGACGGGTTGGAATACGATACGAGCAAGACGGATGGAGCACCTCTGCTGAGAGGCGAGGGAATCATGTATGCTCTGAGATGTAGACTGCTGCCCGACGAACCCACGAGGGGTCTGTTAAAAGTCCGGGATCATGTCATTGTTGTGGGAGAAGTGGTGGAGATGCTACCTGGCAGCTGCGCGAACAAGTTTGGGCTGTCGTACGCGGATCGAAAGTATCGCCAGATTGGGAGTGTGATATCGCAGGATTAGGGGTGATGGGTTTCATGGACTCGGAAAGCATGTGAGGGGAATGTTATAGAAACAGATGGATGGATTGTGTATTGTGTACGAGTATATGTGAGGAGGCGGATGCACGGCGTCGGATGTATGAAGCTTACATGGTAGCTATAGAGTTTCACAAGGGGGTTGGTTAGATGGCATGCAAGGGGGGGGTTCGGGACGGCACAAGCGGGGGTTACAGCTGCCTTGGTGCTAGACGAGGCAGACGGGCGCTCAGCGGATTTCTTTGATGAGATAATTGGATTTGATATGGAAATACAAACGGTCACATATTGATTGTTGTGTTGAGTTGCTGGTTGTCAAGGCAGACAAAGGAATGGAATAGTCGATGCCTTTCAGCTGTCTTCTGTTGCCTTCGACCGGCTCCGCAAAAGGTGGGATGTTTAGCGGGCGATAAGATTCCATCGATAGGTACCAATAGTGTTAAGAGACTACGGAGTGGTGAAAGGGCCCCTGTCGATGGCTGCTGCAGCAGTGCCCAGTGGCCATCGGAAGCCGAAACGGGGCGCTGCATTTTGGTTTCCCCTCATCGTCGGCCTCGTTTTCAAGGAGGCAAAGGGGAAACGAGACAAGGTGGAAGTTTCTAGATAGTAGTAGTAGGTGGTAGTAGGAAGATTGGGGGGAGGACAAGGGGAGGAGGGGGCAAGACAATGAATGAATGACAAGGGGTTGTTGTTGTTGTTGGTGGTGAAGCTGTTATGCATGAAAGAAGAAAGAAGAAGAAGAAGAAGAAATAAAAGAATTCATTGTATAGAATTTCTCAGAGTTGGTTATTATTGAAAGAACATGGAGCTGCGTGGTTGCTACTCCAAAGGCAACAGCATCAGCAACTCCATCAGACAGACAGAAGCCCAAAGAACCTGGACAAAGATGGTCAGTGGAGCAACAAGCCCCAAATCCGTCTCGCCTCTCCCCTCACTAAAACAGCGCCCAAAAGCGGGCTGGCGGCTGCCTTGTGCCGCCTGAGAGAGCCTGAGAAACAGAGACACAGGCAGAAGCACGGCGAAGGTGGATTTTTTCTGCTAGAAGGCTCCAGCGCTGACCCCCCCTAGCCAATCACAGCCACGCTCCGACCATAGAATCCCATGGAATCTCTCGCCCACGGCCATCGCAGCTCGCCAGCCTTTTTAGACGCCTCTTTCCTCCTCTTCCCTTCCTTCCATCTCCTCTCTTTTTTCCCTTCTTCCTCATTCGCATTCTTCATTCTTCTTCTTTCTTCATCAAATACCCCCGTGCTCGAGATACAAACAACGTTGCGCTTGTTCTCATTGGAGCCTCTCTTTTTTCTTTTCCACAGGTGAGTTGGACGATCGCCCAGCAGCACAATCTTATCATCCCACTTTCCCCTTCTAGCCGCTGTGCTTTTTTTTATCACCCCGCCATTTTGCTTGGGAGGAATTTCAGCCTTGTCTTGGGTTTGATCGAGTCTCTGCCATTTCGAAGCCTTTTTCTCTTCTTCAAGCTTTGCATTGCGCAGAATCCGATTGGAACCTATTTCGAGCGCTGGTGATTTTCTTTCCATCTGAATTTTGGTGTTGCCTCCTCAACTCCCCCCTCCCCGCCTACTTCTTCCCCAGCTGCAATCCCAACAACTCCTCGATTCAGTCAGCTAACTCTTCTTCTTCCAATCCAGACTCACACACATTTTCCGTTGATACCCTTCACCATGGCTGAGACTTTCGAGTTCCAGGCTGAGATCTCTCAGCTTCTCTCCCTCATCATCAACACCGTCTACTCCAACAAGGAAATCTTCCTGCGAGAACTTGTCTCCAACGCCTCCGATGCCTTGGACAAGATCCGCTACAAGGCGCTGTCCGACCCCAGCCAGCTCGACTCTGGCAAGGACCTGCGCATTGACATCATCCCCAACAAGGAGGCCAAGACCCTTACCATCCGTGATACCGGTATTGGTATGACCAAGGCTGTAAGTTGATTACCATTCCATGACCCTGTTTTACTCGACAACCTGATGCTAACACGAAATCTGCAGGACCTTGTCAACAACCTGGGTACCATTGCCCGCTCCGGAACCAAGCAGTTCATGGAGGCCCTGACCGCCGGTGCCGACGTGTCCATGATTGGCCAGTTCGGTGTTGGTTTCTACTCTGCCTACCTCGTTGCCGACCGCGTCAGCGTCGTCTCCAAGCACAACGATGACGAGCAGTACATCTGGGAGTCCAGCGCCGGTGGTACCTTCAACATCACCGCCGACACCGAGGGCGAGCAGCTCGGTCGTGGTACTGCCATCGTCCTCCACCTCAAGGACGAGCAGGCTGACTACCTGAACGAGAGCCGCATCAAGGAGGTCATCAAGAAGCACTCCGAGTTCATCAGCTACCCCATCTACCTCCACGTCCAGAAGGAGACCGAGAAGGAGGTCCCTGATGAGGATGCTACCGAGGAGACCGTCACAGAGGAGGGTGACGACAAGAAGCCCAAGGTCGAGGAGATTGACGACGAGGAGGAGGAGAAGGAGAAGAAGCCCAAGACCAAGAAGATCAAGGAGACCACCATTGAGGAGGAGGAGCTCAACAAGCAGAAGCCCATCTGGACTCGCAACCCCCAGGACATCACCCAGGAGGAGTATGCTTCCTTCTACAAGTCCCTCTCCAACGACTGGGAGGACCACCTCGGTGTCAAGCACTTCTCCGTTGAGGGTCAGCTCGAGTTCCGCGCCATCCTCTTCGTTCCCAAGCGCGCTCCCTTTGACCTGTTCGAGACCAAGAAGACCAAGAACAACATCAAGCTGTACGTCCGCCGCGTCTTCATCACCGACGACGCTACCGACCTCATCCCCGAGTGGCTCAGCTTCGTCAAGGGTGTTGTCGACTCTGAGGATCTCCCTCTCAACCTGTCTCGTGAGACTCTCCAGCAGAACAAGATCATGAAAGTCATCAAGAAGAACATTGTCAAGAAGTCTCTGGAGCTCTTCCAGGAGATTGCCGAGGACAAGGAGCAGTTTGACAAGTTCTACAGCGCCTTCTCCAAGAACCTCAAGCTTGGTATCCACGAGGACTCCCAGAACCGTGGCATCCTCGCCAAGCTCCTCCGCTTCAACTCCACCAAGTCTGGTGATGAGCTGACCTCCCTGACCGACTACGTCACCCGCATGCCTGAGCACCAGAAGAACATCTACTACATCACTGGCGAGTCCCTCAAGGCCGTCCAGAAGTCTCCCTTCCTTGACGCTCTCAAGGCCAAGGGCTTCGAGGTCCTCTTCCTCGTCGACCCCATTGACGAGTACGCCATGACCCAGCTCAAGGAGTTCGAGGACAAGAAGCTGGTCGACATCACCAAGGACTTTGAGCTCGAGGAGACCGACGAGGAGAAGGCTGCCCGCGAGGCTGAGGAGAAGGAGTACGAGACACTTGCCAAGGCTCTTAAGACCGTCCTTGGCGACAAGGTCGAGAAGGTTGTCGTTAGCGACAAGCTTGGCCTCTCCCCCTGCGCCATCCGTACCGGCCAGTTTGGTTGGTCCGCCAACATGGAGCGTATCATGAAGGCCCAGGCTCTCCGTGACACCTCCATGAGCAGCTACATGTCCTCCAAGAAGACGTTTGAGATCTCTCCCAAGTCTCCCATCATCCAGGAGCTCAAGAAGAAGGTCGAGGCTGACGGCGAGAACGACCGCACCGTCAAGTCCATTGTCCAGCTGCTGTTCGAGACGTCGCTGCTCGTCTCCGGCTTCACCATTGACGAGCCCGCTGGCTTCGCCGAGCGCATCCACAAGCTCGTCCAGCTCGGCCTCAACATTGAGGAGGACGACTCGGCCCCCGTCGAGGGCGCTGCCGCTCCCGCCGACACCCCTGCCGTCGAGACCGGCGACAGCGCCATGGAGGAGGTTGACTAAGCGGCCTCTTTTGTGTGCACCAAGAATCGGGATAAACGGACAAAAAGTTTGATTTTACACGATGGAGTTGAACGGTTTTAGAGCAACATGGTCTGGACGTGGATTTTCTTTTTATGCTTTGTTTACTAGTTGAGGTAGTCCCAGGTTTAACGGACACGACGCCTTTACCCCATAGTGCCCTTGATATCCCCTCCAAGAGAGGCGAGGGAGGGTGTAATATAGCCCAGTCTATGAGAAATGAATAAATGGAATGGACAAGACTTGGTTTTCATGATGTAACGTGACGTGGTGGCACAGTGATGAATGCAACTTGCCCCCCAGTGACAGATGACGCAAATGTCTTTACAGTGATTCGGTACTCTGTACTGCACAGCTTGGTCTATCAGTGCAGCTACGACGCGAAGAAGTTTGTCCATGATTGAGTGATGTCTGCTTGATCAATTGAAGCAAAACAAGAAGCTTGTGATATTTATACTACGTACCAAAGGTATAGTAGTATCAGCAAAAACATCGTGAGATGTATGTATTTACGCCTGTAAGAGTAACGAAACCGCCAATGACACATTTATATCCAAACACGCAATGGAACAAAGGAAAAATACAGAAGAAGAAGAAGAATCGAACCACTCCTGTTTATGGACACAAAGGAAAAAAGGAAAAAAAGGAAAAAAAGATACAGAACCAGTCTGGAAGTTAATGTACGGTAATGCCTAGTATGTAACTGCTGCAAAAAAAAAGGGATGAAAAGGACATGCTAATGAATGTTGTTGTTTGAGTTTGAGTGAGTAGGTGGGTTGGGTTGTTTAGAGGAGGACGTAGAGTGCGCAGATCTATCATGATTGTTTGTTAGTTTCTTCTTGATGTATGGTTGTTATAGAAGGGTGACCTTACCAGGCTGAGACCTAGGATCATGGAGCACCAGAAGCAGACGTTGTTGAGCGTCTTGCGGCCCCTGACCCAGCGCGTCCGCTGCAGCATGACAATAGGCAGCTGCAGCATCTGGCAGACGAAGCCGTAGCCGCGAATCTTCTTGGTGATGCACGCCATGACAATCTCGTGGCCGACGGCGGAGATGAGGAAGGTGATGAAGGTGGCAAACGCCTTGCCGGTGTGCGGGCGCGAGGCGCTGTAGACGTGGCGGCGCAAGAAGGAGTAGACGGGGACGTTCCACTCGCGCGAAAACTCCATCCAGTCGGTCGAGTTCCACCAGTCGGCGTAAAAGTGGCGGTCGGCGAAGCGAGTGATTTCGGCAAAGGCGCCGAGGACGTACTCGAAGATGACGAGGAAGACGAGCAGGAAGGTGAGCATGAAGGGGAAGAGCAGCCAGGAGATTGTCTCGGCGAGGATGAGGCCCGACTCGAGGGCCGCGGAGGAAGACGGGTCAAGGAGGTGGGCGGAGGCGACGAGCTCGAGGCGGCGGGAGGCGTCGACGAGGACGGGGAAGATGTACTCCTCGGAGATGACGGTGAGGAGGAAGATGCAGCCAAAGGTGGCGACGATCTTGGAGACGAGGGCGGTCCAGTTGACGGCCGGGGTGCGCGGGTACTCAATCTCGTAGCACAGCGTCGGGCAGCAGAGGTAGTCGAGGTAGTTGGGCCAGGTGAGGTTGCGCGGGTACGTGACGTTGCCCATGGGGCTGGTAAGCTCGCGGGCGAGGTCTTCACGCAGGGTGTCGATTTCGTCGGCGCTGGTGGGCTCGGGCTCGGGCTCTGTTTCGGTTTCGGCAGCGGCAGCGGCAGCGGCGTGGCCGTTGGTGCCGTCGACGCCCTTGTCGAGGCTCTCCTGCTGGCGGTGATGCTGCTTCTTCTTGGGCTTGGAGGCGTCCTTGTCCTCCCCGGCGGGGCGAGGCATGGGGATTCCGGACACGCTGCCCTTGCGGTGGTCGGCGCTGGGGTAGAGGTAGGCCGGCCTGCGGTCTGCCCTCGAGGGATTTGGCTCGTCCAGGCTGCGCAGCCGCTTCTCCGTCTCCGACAGGTGGCCGTTGTAAAAGGCGTACGAGTGCATCTTCATGAGCAGCACCATGGTGTGCAGCAGGAGGCAGACCTGCGCGGTCCACGCCCAGTCCAGCCAGAACGGCACAACGACCCAAAACGCCAGCCACACGACCTGGTAGATGCTCTGGATCGCCATGCCTCCCCTGCTCCAGCCCCAGACGCCTCCCACGGGGTTCCGGCGCGCCCAGCGGTGCAGCGGCAGGCTGACGGCGGTGGTGGCGACCATGAGGAAGTCGGCAATGGCCAGGTGCCACAGCCTGTCGGCGAAGAGGCCCCAGATCTGGACGCGCAGCGGGTATCCCGTGTCCTTCCAGTTGCGCAGCATGGTGGTGATGCCCATGATGGCCAGGCCGATCCAGAAGAGGTTGAAGAAGCCGTGGAAGTCGCGGTAGTCGCTGGAGGGGTCGAAGTGGGAGACGCGCGAGGCGAACTCGATGGTTGGGAAGATGCGGCGGCGCTGCTCGGCGCGGACGAGCTTGCGCGCGGAGGAGAGGGATTTGGTCGAAGGGGGAGCGTTGTCTGAGACGGGGGTTGAGCGGCCACTGATTTGTTCGATTGGCGTCAGTCAGCGTATTCTTTAGCAAGAGGAGAGGAGAGCATCGTCAGAAGACTCACCTCGTCGTGGCGCTGCCCGCGCCGCCATTGTCGCCCGCGGGCAGCCCCAACAGATGATGATTGTCGCCGTCCGTCGAAGATGCGCGCGACACTTGGGCATGCAGCGGCTTGTGGATTCTCGCCCGCAGCACGTTGTCGGCGTAGCTGTCAAAGTGGCTGTGGCCATTGGCCAGGACGTCTATTGATGTCATGACGCGCCAGGCAAGGGCTGTGATGTCCTCATCCGGCGGTTTCTGCTATGTAACGTAGTCGCTCGTTTGTCGACAAAGAGGGTTTTCGTCTGGTAGACGCAGATGCAAAGATGGAGGCAGTGAAAGAAGGAAGAAATAGACTCGTATTATTATTTCCTTGTTTTTGTTCGCAATTCGCAGACCCTTCAGGAGGCGCGGCAGCACCGAAAAGCTGGTGGGTATGCAAGAGTCGCAGGTTGAATCAGATATAGGAGGTCGTAAACCAGCTTGCCGGGCTGGAGATTATATCGCTTGCATCAATGCGGACCGGGGGGGTTCGTTTCAGCGCAGTGATAATGAAATAAGAAATCCAGTAGTAATAATAGAACAAGCAGGCAAAAGAGAGATGCGCGACCGGACACTGCAGAGCTCGCTAAACTATACGATGCGGTGATTGCTTGCTTGTTGGACGATGAGAAATTAGATGAAGCATAAATAGAACCGGAAACTCTTGAGAGCCAAGAAGCAGGACAAAGAGGCAAAAAGAAACGAGGTACCGTCACAGTACGTCACTGGGCCCCACTTTCTGACGCCGACGAAACGGAGTTGCTTTTGCTTTTTTGGAGAGGAACATAAAGAGGCTGCATTTGCACTGCATTGGTTCATGTCCAACAAGGTTGGAGCTGTCATGGAAATAAGCATGGATCAATCAATGTCGCGTGAATTGTTCTCGCATCCAACGGCCACTAGAACACAGTGGCTTCTCACCTATTCAACCACCATCAAACACCATCAAATACAAAACAATACAATCAACCAACCAACATTACACAATTAAACCCAGTACATACATACTTACATCAACACACACCCCGGACAACAGACTCAATCCTCCCTCCGTACTTGACAAATCCTAATCCCAATCTAATCCATCATCATCATCATCATCCAAGTACCGCAACATATCCCTCTCCAATCCCATCCCCCCCTATCCGCGCACCGATCCCCCGGCACTCCGTTTCCTCCGTCCCATCGCCACCCGACCCTTCCGACCTCCCGAGGCTTTCTTCCTACACCACTTTACTTTCTCTTCCCGCAACACACCGCTTACATACTCCCTTCGATGGAAAGAATCGGGCTGTCCGGCATCCTCCTCCGGTCAGACAAACTCCGTAAAACAGCCCACCCAAGTCGAGGTCAGAAAAAGCAACACCGCAAAACAAATAAGCACATGCATTCGGCAATATAAGCACATAGGTACCCTATTAACGTGATACTACTAAAGTAGTGCCTAGTATTTAGCTAAACCTCTAAACTACCTATATAAATATAATAGCATTTATTTAAGATATATAAATAGTAGTATTTACTAGAGAAATATAGATATAGTAGCAGATATTAGAAGAGCAGACGTATAATTTAACTTGTGGGTGTCTATAATCTTCTCAGTCTCGGTGTTCCTGTCCCCCGCTTGCCACCTTCGCTCAAACAGAAAAAGACTTTGGCTCACCGAGCTCCCCCGGCTCAAAAGCTTCCGCTGAGTAAAAAAAAAAAAAAAAAAAAAAAAAAAAAAACTGTAAATCATCCCGTTCGCTTTCTCCTCACTACATGACAGTGTTGAGTTGTCACGTGGATCTGTGTGACCACTCTCCTTGGTCAAGTCCACTTTCTGTTTGCTGCTGTTTGCAGCTAGTTTTTTTCCCTCTTGCACACATAGATCAGCTTAGCAAGACACAGAGAGCTTTGCACCTTGCAGCTTGTCAAATAGTCCGCGGAGTCTGCTTCCGCTTCTCCGCCATCACGTCCCTGACGTACCGGCTATGCACCATAAACGTCCACGGCATGTGCAGCCACCACTCGCCCTGCAGATACTGCAGATACGTGCGGTACCACTGCGCGTCCTGGCTGCCAATGAAGAGCAGATAGCTGTGGCCCTCGCCATGCAGCTTCTCGGCGAACTTGTGCAGCCCGTCCTCCACCTGGAGGCGCCGCTCCTCGCTCCGCCGGTTTTCCACGTCGTCGGCCTGCCATCCGGGGTCCACCGCCGGGTCCACGTCCCGCACAATGTGCAGCGTCTGCCGGAGCGCCCGGACCGGCCGCGGGAACAGCAGCTGCAGGTAGCCTCCGGACGATGCTCGCGAGCGCTTCTCGCGGTACGGCACCGAGCCCGTCAGCATCTTGCGCTTGGCAAAGTCCTTGGCCTTGTAGTAGTACACCTCGTCCACCAGGTTCGTGTTGAGCCACATGGTCACCATCTTGTCAATCGTCGCGTTCAGGTCCGATCCGCTCCTCCGCAGGTCGCTGGCATACACCACCCGCGACGTCATGAGCTTGTACTCGAGCTCCAGCAGGTGGAGCTGCAGCCGCAAGATGGGCTCGTCTCCAATCAGGAAGCTATCGCTGAGCCGAGGCGTCGACGGCCTCCACTTGCCGCTCATGAAGCTCTTCATCGAGGTATTGGACGTGGACGACTCGGCCGAGTGCGCCGACGGCGTCGGGCTCGGCTCCCTGTGAATCGTGGCCGGTCTCCGAATGTCCCTGGTGTAGTTGACGCACAGGAAAAAGTCCTGGTACGGCTGTCCCGTCCGTGTCGTGGGCTTCTTCTGTATGGCGTCGCGGCCTCGCTGTGCCGCCACGTGAAAATCGGTGCCTTTGATTAGCAGCTCGTTGTAGAAGGCCTCGAGGTACGTCGCCACCGTCTGCCAGTGCACGTAGAACCACATGGCCGACACGTTGTGGACGCCGCGCTCGAGAAAGATGTGGGCCAGGTTGGTTGACGGGCCCGACCGGTTGTACGCCGAGAGGCACGCATTCAGAACCACGTTTTCGACGTGATAGTCGGCCAGCACCTTGGCAACGTCCGATGCCTTGGCGAGATGCGTCTGTGGAACTTGGTTGACGTGCGAGCTGGGGCCTGGAGGCTTCTTGGCAAACAGAAGCCAGGGCATTTGCCGGCCGTACCTATGTGTGCCACTGGTTAACTCATGGAACCCCTTTTTGGGAACACCAAGATGAAATAACGTACTCATCATCCATGATCCTTCCGTGAAGGTCAAAGTGGACCAAGTTGAACTGCACTCCATGCCCAGCCCTCACCTTCAGGTGCTCGTCCAGCTCCTCTATACTGCCCGGCCGCACCACCTCCAGCAGCAACCGGCTCCTCAGCTTCTTGTGCACATTCATCAACGGCCACTGAGCCAAGTCGGGCTCCGGGTCACGGTCGGCCCCCGACCGGCTAAAGTCGCGGGCAATCACCAGCAGCACGTAGAACGAGCCGTTGGGGTTGGCCTGTACGCTCGACAACGACCGCGGCGGTCCCAGTGGTCGGGCTGGCTGGCTGGCAAAGTCACTCATCCGCGTCACTCTCAACCGCAGGTTCCGCATCAGCGGGCTCCTGACAGATTCAAGGAGTTCCCAGGCAAGGCAGTGGATGCCGGCGGCCTTGTTCATGGACTCTTCATCTTCCCGAGAATCGTAATGCTCAACAACGACGAGCTGGACATCGGTGCTGCCCGTCCGCAGCACTCTCGGCCGCAAGAGACCCAGCTGGGCGAGCAGAATCTCCCCATATGCGTGTATGCGGTCTTCGGCCAGCGATGCGCCGTTGTCCTCGAGCTCCAGGCTCTGCAGGCTCCAATGCTGGCGGTCCGAGTTGCGGAGATAGTCCTCAAAGATGTCTTTGTACTCCGCCTCGAGGAACGGATCTGTGATGGTGGTGGCGATCTCGGGTTGCTTGTTAACCTGGATGTTGACGTCCCATGACCGCCTGCCATCGGGCCCTGCTACCTCGTGGGGGCTCGATTGCCGCACGTATACGACGTCCATGGGGAGCAATCCCGCGACCGCATATTCTGCTCGATCCGTCACCAGCATCAAATACAACGCAATGCAATGCAACAAGTGAAAAGAAACAAGAAGAAAACAAGACTCGCGTGCCGGGTCCAGGGAGAGAAATCGCTGGAGAAACAGCGTCTCAGCAAGTGCCGTGTGCCTGGCAGGGGTTCCAAATGCGCTGTAACCAACTGCATGCACTAAACCCCAGTCCCAAACATCGGATCCAATCCGCTAACAGATTCCCCCCCCTTCAAATTCTCCATTCTGGCAAGTCAAGGTCAGGAAAAGCAAGACCGCAAAGTAAATAGATGCATACATGTGGATAGCAATATAAGCACTTGATTAGTAAGTGTATCCAGTACTATTATAAAAGGAATACCTCTTTGGCCAGTACTTAAATTTAACTACTAGTCATATAATTAGACTAGCAGTTACTATGAAACATAAATATAGTAGAGGTAGTTAATAGAGAAATGTAGATGTAGTTGTAAAACTAAAAGAACGGGCTCGTGTATAATTCATCGTGTACGTGTCCATAATCCTCTCTGTCTCGGGTTTTCTGCCCCCCACTTGTCTGCGTCTCTGCTCAGCCTCTCTCCAGCCATCCAATGCGACATCATTCCATCGGTGAAGGAAAAAGAAAGCACGGCACAGCATCTGGATGGCAAAATCCTGCCTAGCATGCAACCATCCGCGCTCCAGGCATCCTTCACTACCGTACTGTCCTTGTGACCAGTACATGACATTACTGAAGCAAAAAATGCCCTACCAAGTGCGGCAGCCTCATTTTTCTTCTCCTTCGCTCACGACTTCCTGCAAAGCCTCAATTCAGCCGCAATTCCGCCTCGATTCAAACAGACAAAAAGGGGGGACGCGTAGGGCAGCCCTAGAATCTCCCATCAAGGCAAAACATACTCTAGAACCCGTGTCTCGTCTCACTTCCTCCCATTGTCTGAGTACCACGTGGGATGAGCTTTTCAAGACGCTTAGAGTTTGATGGCGGGCTGCGTCGAGAGCGTGGACAAAAGTGTAAACGCACCCACATGAACACCATGGCAGGTTCAGCAGACTCACGTTTGAGTAGACCATGTGTAGCGTAAGCTGCTTATTTAGAAGTCATTAATTAAACAAACCTTTCATCCGTCAACCGCGAAACCAACGCTTAACACAATCCACACTGTTACTAC